ATCCATGTGGAGTCAACGCTGGCTGATATTCTGACAACGGCAAAAAAAACACGATTGTCTTAAGAATTCGCACGAGCGCGCGCAAGTTTTTTATTTTGAAAATCCGCGTTGCGAAACGCACGTTTCATTTTTTCCAATCGATTTTGTAAGCATCGCGACACGTAATGTTTTTTGTTTGAGGAACCCAGCATGCGCGCGCGACGACGCGCGCGCGTGCACTTCGCTTCATACTCTGTTGCCAAAAATTCTGGACAACTGGTAGCTGTTGATACACGAGTGCGCTCGCTTAGTATTTGTTGCACAGGGTGGGGGGTGGGGGTGGGGGGGCGGGGGGGGCGGCTCGGCTGGCATGGTGCGAGTTAATACTTAGGATGGAAGATGGGGCAGAATCATGTCTCAATTGCACAGCCCCAGGGGGCGCCGATCAGTCTGGCCTCGGGAGGGCGGCGGGGTCTTTGTTGTAGAAAGGAGGATCTAGGTGGTACAGCCTATGTTGCGATATCTACGTCGCGCACTCTTTTTGAAGCAAGATGCGTGGTGCGATGAATTTGGCGCATTCCCGATGGCAGAGCTTGCAGGAGTCAGCCGCTCTGCTCGCGCAGTCATCCCGCCCGCCCGCCCGCGCTTAATTTGCTGCGCGGAACCCACGCGGCGACGATTGCGATGACTGCTCGGCGATGGCTGCGGCGTCGCCGCGGCCGCGCTAGCGCGCGCAGGCTCGCGCGCAGAGTGGCCAGCTAGGTCGGCGCGACCGACGCTGCCGCGGCGTCGCCGACCGCCGCGGACATCCCGGCGCGCCCCGCAGGCCGCGCTGACGCGCGGGCGCCGCAGTGCGAGTCGGCTGCTCGGGCGGGTGCAGCGCCGGGGGGGCGTCGGCGAAGGCGGACGCAGTGATGATAGCGCTGCTGGTGGCGATGATGACGACGGCGACGGCGTGGCCATCGACGGCGCCAATGTTGGTCGCGCCGGCGACAATCCTGGCGCCCGCGCGTCAGCGATGAAGTTTTGGCTGAATTTCGACGCGCCCTCGCGGCTGGCGCGCGCGAGTGGCCCACATTGTGTTATCTGAGAGGGGTCGTGCCCCCGCGGCGAGCGCGCGGCGGCGCTCGAATGGTTTCGACGCGCGCCCGCGAGAGGCCCGCGCGAGGACATCTCATGATCGCGTTCTTGTAGGTAAGAACGGAAGACGCAGGAGAGCGCGCGCGTATCTCTGTCTGGCAATATGTTGCAAAACCATTTCCCGCGCAACAAATGCATCTGGGAACCTCGATCCTGACGGCGTAGCGAATGCCAGGCTGTTCGCGCGGTTTCCCGCGCGCGACGTCGTGCTCGCGCTGCGTTGTTGTCAGGGCTTTTTTGGGGGGATAAAAAAAAGAATGCGGATTGCGGGTCGGCGAGCGAGCACGCGTGAGATCATTTGGCAGGAACGGGCGCGGGGGGGGGGGGGGGGGCGATGCCCGCTTGGCAGGGATGGCGTGCATATTCGTATATATTCGTAAACAATGAACGATTGGGCAGGGTCGCTCGCGCGCGGCGCCATCCCGCCATCCCAAGGGGCGTCGATAAGACAGGGGGGGGGGGGCGGGGGCGGCTCTTCACTTCTCCTTGAGAAGGAGGCCCCTCGACGTCCAATCTACGCGGCGCAATGTGCGCGGTGGCGCCGGCGCGGTGGGCAATCTAGCCCGCGCAATCAACGTGGGCCAATACATGTTGAGCAACCTGCGTGGATTACTCTATGCTGTGCGATGGTCGTCGCGCCCCGTGCGCAGTGCTATCTACGTGGTGCCATTAATTCTTGCAGGCGAGTTGACGCTGCCCATGCTCTTGCAAACATCTCACCCGCCCACCCGCGACCTGATTTGCAGAACCCATGCGGCGGCCATTGCGATGGGCGCCCGACGTTGGCTGGCGCATCTCTGCGGCCGCGCCAACCCGAGCACGCGCGCGTGGCGGCCAGCTAGATCGGCGCGACCGACGCGGCCGCGTTGGCTTTGGCCGCTGGGCACTTCCCAAAGGGCACTTCAGCGCGAGTCGGCGGCTTCGGCGGGCGCGGCATCACGGGGGCGCCGACGGGGGTGGGCGCGGTTATTTGGTGGGCGACAACGTCGGCGATGACGACGGTGAGGCCATTGGCGGCGTCGACGTCGATCAACCGCCGATGCGCGCGCAGGGCGCATCATGGTTGAGTTCGACATGCTGCGCGAGAGCGCCGCTTGGCAGAAGTTGGCGTCGCGCGGGTTTTTCTGAAGCGAACTAGCGAGTGCGCGCGCAGCATGATGTGATTGGGGCTGGGGGACTTGGAATCTTTGTTTGGCCGGGGCGAATGAATTCCGGGGGGGGGAGGGGTGGGTGGGTATATCATCATGTCTTGGTCGCAAGCGTAACCTACTTTTGAAGCGCTTTGAGTTGTCAGCCCTTTTGCTCGCGCAGTCACCCCACCCGGCCGCCCGCAACCTGGTTTGCAAAACCAATGTCGCGGCGATTGCGATGACGGCGCGGCGGCGGTGGCGCAGGCCGCTGGGGACCGAAACGCTCCCCGCGGGCCGCGCTAACGCGCGTGCGCTTCAGTGCGGGTCGGTGACTCGGGCGGGCGCGGTACCGTGGCGACGTCGGCAACGGCGGGGTCGATGATGATGATCGTTGCGGTGCTGGCGACGATGATGACGTTGGCGACGGCCACGCCGTTAACGGCGCCGACGGTAATCACCCCGACGGCGATATGTTTCGCGCGTCGGTGATGGAAATGTTGGAATGATTTCGATTTGCGCGCGCGGCCGACGGGCGCGAATGGCCCACATGGCACGCAACCCCCAGCTGGCGCGCAAAGGCGTTCGAATGATTTCGGCATGCGCTCGCGAGGGGCCCGTTTGGTCGCATTTGATGAACATGTTGGAAACCAAAAAGCGTCCCTAAACATATGCAGCAACGAGCGCAGATTTCTCTGCACATTCCGGTTGCACAACAATTGATCTTGTATTTGCCCTCGGGAACTTCGATCCTGACATCCTTACGAAACCGTTGTCGGCGCTCGCGCGCGACGCCGCGCGCCAGCGCCGAACGTTTTTCGGAAAAGGGTTGTTGGGAATTGACTATGTTTGTTCGCATGCTCGCGCAAGGTATTTGTCGAAAAGGTGTGTGAAAAAAAGGGGGGTTCAACGATGCAAACGAAGCGGTATCAATTGCAGTATCCCACGTGGCGCCGATAAGCCCGGTGGGGGGTGGGAGTGTTTGGGTGTTGCTTTTTCGGGGGGCAAGGAAAATCTATGTGTTGCGCAATCTACGTTGTGCAATCCATGTGGGATCATATGTGTGATGCACTGTACGTGGCGGCGACGGGGCGGCGACGGCGACAACATAGCCGCCAGACCGACCCCCACGCCCAAACGACGGGCGGCAACCAGGCGGCGACGGCGCAGCGACGGCGACAACATTGCCGTCAGACCGACCCCAATTCCCAGACGAGTGGCGGCGACGAGGCGTCGACTGGGCGGCAAGGGCGGGTGCGCATTTGCCGGGCCAACAGCCAGGCCCACACGACGGGCGGCGACGAGGCGGCGACTGGGTAGCGACGGCGGCGACACAGCTGCCACACCAACAGCTGGCTCCTGTTTTTTCTTTACATTTATGTATGTATGTTTATATATATAATACAAAAAATATTGATGATTTTTGGTGTTTTGTTATATATATATACAAATATTCATAAAAAACAGTATCCATGTTGAACACACGTAAATGCAAACACTGCGTTGGGATCACCTTCGTACATATACATGTAGGAATGGTCCTGGGACTCACATGTATGTAGGAATGGTCCCTGGATTTTCCGATATTGTTTCGCCCATATTTTGCAATGGGCGCACATTCGTTTGAATTGTTGTTTTGCCTCACTCTTTTTCTCTCTCTTGTTTTTGTTTATCACCCTCTCTCCCTCTCTCTGTTGTTGTATTTTGTGTGGTATATGGATCTCTCTCTCTCTGCCTCTCTCTCTCTCTCGCTTTCTCGCTCACACTCTCTCTCTCTCTGCATTCATATTTCAATATACGTTTAAATATAAGTCTAGCCATATATGTGTGTACATATATATATATGAATATATATGAGGGGCCGAATTATGATTCATGATCCCTGGGTGTCTCGCTGAAGCGTGATTCCGTGGACCCGCTTATTGTTGTCTGTTGTTTGTGTGCCCGTCGGTTGTTGTTTTTGTTGTGTGTTGTCGTCGCCCTCGCCCGCGACCCACCACGCGAGCCACCCCGCGCCCGCTCCCTCACTCGTACCCGCAACTGCTGGGTGCCACGTGTACGCCATCTGTTCCCGCTCCCTCTCCTCCTTCTCGGCCTCGTCTTCCTCCTGCTCCTCCTCCTCGTCTTCCTCCTCATCCTCGTTGTCCTTCTCAGTCTCCTCATTCTCCTCCTCCTCCTCCACCTCCTCCTCCTCCTCCTCCACCTCGTCCCTCTCCCCCGCCGTCTCCTTCCACATCCCCTGCCTCCTCCCGCCCCCCTTTTCCCCCTCCCCGGGCACCCGCTGTCCTGAGTTTCTCCCTGCGGGGGCCCTGGAGACTTGGACCCTTTTTCCCCGGCCGGCCGCTTGCGCGTCCTGCGTCGTTCTGGGGACGGCTCCGGGGCCCGACGAGGGCCCCCAGAGGCTGCATCGAGAGAGACAACCGCACCTCCGTGCCGAGCTCCTCGAGACGTTGGAGGTCTGAGCTCCCTCCCCTCCTCGAGGCCGCCAGGGCGGAGGGCGAGGCCGCGGCGCCGCGGGCGCCGGGCGCCCCGCCGCCGCCGGAGGAGGCCGCGGCCCCGCCGCAGCCGAAGCGGCCGCGGCTGCCGCAGGCGCCGCCCGCCGGCGCGGCCGGGGCGGCCCCGGCGGAGGCCGCCCGGGCTCCGAGGGCGGGCTCCGAGAAGGTGATGGCCGTGGTCAGCCGGAGCTCCTCCGCTGCCGCCTCCTCTCGGGGGGCGGCAGGGAGGGGGGTGATGAGTGGGGGGGGGGGGGACATCATGGCGGGCTCCGAGAAGGTGATGGCCGTCGTCAGCCGGAGCTCCTCCGCTGCCTCCTGTCGGGGGCGGCAAGGAGGGGGGTGATGACTAATTAGGGGGGGGGATATCCTGAAGGGGGACAGGCCCGACCGAATGCAAGCCACACCCTTCGGAGTCGCCGGGGTGGGGGGAGGGGGGTGCGAGCAAGCTCGAGGCCTTCCAGATGGGCTCTGAGTGGGCGGGGCCGGAGGATCGCGCCGCACCAGCGATGCATCGGCGATGTATCGCTCGGGGGCGCCAAGGAGGGGGGTGATGGCTACGGGGGGGTGGATATCATGGCGGGGGCCATGATGTTTCCCCAGATTCCATGGCGCCTCTTCCTGTTTTATTACGTCCCTGGCCCCCCCGCTGGGCCGCGCACGTGCCGCCGGACATGATTTGCACCCCCCCCCCTCTTGGACACCCCCCTCTTGGCCGCTCCCGATCCTTCGGGCCGAACGAAAGGGGGGGATTGGGAAAGGGGGGTTACGAAATCTGCTGCATGCAGCCGGTTTCGGCCCCACCGAGGGGCCCATTCCTCGATACATAGCCGCCTCCGGCGCCGGGAGGCGCCGGGAAAGCCAGCTACGTGAGCTCTCACCGCCCCCTTTGCTATCCCCCCTTTCGCCCGGCCCGACTCCTGCGCCGCCCGTCGGCCATGGTCGAGATGGGTACGGACAGATTTTGGACAGATTTTTGGGGGTATTTTCAATTTTTCGTCGAAGATCCCATTGTAGGGGGACAGGCCCGACGTAACCCTAGTGCCTTGGGCGCCTCGCAGGTCCGGCCCGCTCCCGGAGGGTCAGGAGCCTTCTGCTTGCTGAAGCGCCCGCGGCCGCCCCGAGAGAGCGGAGGTCGGCCACTACTCGCAGAGGGGGGGGGGGTAAAGGGGGCTCCTCCTCCTCCTCCTCCTCCTCCTCCTCCTCTCCTCCTCCTCCTCCTCCTCCTTCCTCTTCCTCCCCCCTCCTCCCCCCTCCTCCTCCTCCTCCTCCTCCTCCTTTCCTCCTTCCCCTCCTCCTCCTCCTCCTCCTCCTCCTCCTCTCCTCCTCCTCCTCCTCCTCCTCCTCCTCCTCTTCCTCCTCTCCTCCTCCTCCTCCTCCTCCTCCTCCTCCTCCTCCTCCTCCTCCTCCTCCTCCTCCTCCTCCCCCTCCTTCTCCTCCTCTGCGAGGGGGTAGTGTGGGGGGGTAGCATCCTTCTGAGAAGCCTCCCCCCCTCCCCCCTACAGTGGGGGCGCGCATCAGGAAGCCATCTGCTCTTCGTCAGGGCATCATGGGTTTCTTCGCTCCTCGCGCTGCGCGGTGGCTTCCTGCAGCCGTTGAAGGAGCTGCTGCGTTCAGGGTGCTCCAGGTTTCCCCTCGGGTGCACCTCGCGCGCGGGTTCTCAGGGTTGGGCTTCTTGCGGCCGCGCCTGGACTGTACCCCCCCCCGTGCGCGCCGCCAACAGGGGCGACAGAAGAAGACGGGGTCGACTGCGCCAACATTTTGGCGCGCAGGCTGCCCGCGCAAGGTCGCGGGTAGGCGCCCGCGTTCCCGACTCAGCGTGACGCGCTGGCGGCCCGCGCAAGCCCCCCCCGTGAGGTCGCTACGCCATCGCGCGCAAGACCCGTTCCTGATCGTCGCCCACACGAGGGGGGGCCCTCTGTCTGCTCGTCGCCCGAGGGCCGCCCCGAGAGAGCGGCGGGGAGAGCGGCCACCACCGCCGCCGGGAGGAATTCCTCGAGCGGGGGGGGGCGGAAGAGCGCCCGCGGCGGCCAGCGACCGCCCCACGCGCTCCATCGTCGCCGCCGTCGTCGTCCTCGCCGTCGTCCTCGTCGTCGTCCTCGCCGTCGTCCTCGCCGTCGTCATCGTCGTCCTCGCCGTCGTCGTCGTCGTCCTTGTCGCTGTCCTCGTCCTCCTCCTCCTTCTCCTCCGCCTCCTCCTCCTTCTCCTTCTCCTCCTCCTCCTCCTCCTCCTACTCCTCCTCCTCCTCCTCCTCCTCCTCCTCCTCCTCCTCCTCCTCCTCCTACTCGTCCTCGCCTTCGTCCTCGCCGTCGTCCTCGTCGTCGTCCTCGTCGTCGTCCTCGTCGTCGTCGTCCTCGTCGTCGTCGTCCTCGTCGTCGCCAAGGATCCTGCAGCTCCCCGCCGAGCGGCCGTTCGACATCCTGGGCATAGCGCGGGAGGGCAGCGACGGCCACGACGTGCGGAAGGCCTACCGGCGGCTGGCGCTGCTGATCCATCCCGACAAGAACCCGGGCCTGGAGGAGCTCTCGAGGGTCGGGGCGCAAGTCCAGGCCTCCTAGATGGGGTCGGAGCAGGTGGGTCGGAGGATCGCGCCGCATCGCCGATGCATCGCCGATGCGGCCGGATGTGCAGCCCGATTCGCTTCACGTCGACGTCGCCGAAGCATCGCTGACGTCGACGATGCATTGCCGGTGCATCGCCGAAGCATCGCCGATGCATCGCCGATGCATCGCCGATGCGGCGCGATCCTCCGACTCCATCTACTCGGACCCCATCTAGGAGACCTCTAGCAAGGGACGGGGGTCAATGCAAGCGGGGGTGAGTCATCGAAGAAGAGGAAGAATAAGAAAACGCTATAAGCATGACTTTCAACGCTCCGCGTGGACTTCTTGGATCTGCGCTGGGGCCCCTGGCGGCCCTGGCGCGCTCCGCACGCCCGGGAGGGGTCCAGCGCAGATCCAAGAAATCCGCGCGGAGCGCCATCAGTTATGGTTAAGGCGTTTTTTTTCTAGCTCCGGGAGTTGCTCGGGGACCTTGGAGGTCGGGGCTCCAGGGGGGTGGGTCAATGCAAAAAAGGGGTCAGTCAGAGCGCCAGATCTTGCAAGATCTTGCAGAGCCAGAGCTGCACTGACCCAGGCTTGGGCACAGGATCCTTCAGGATTTTTCCCGATCCTGCAAGGCCCGACTGACCTGGGCCAGGATTGACCCGAGTCAGGAGATCCCCGTGCTCAGCTCTAGGGGAACGAACAATGACGTAAAAATAGGAAGACTCGGAGGACCGCGCGGATTCCTCGGATCGGCGCTGGAGCGCCCTGGCGGCGCCTCCGGCGCCGCCCCTGGCGCGCTCCGCGCTCCAGGGAGGGGGGTCCAGCGTCGATCCAAGAGATCCGCGCGGACCTCGGAGTTGTTATGCTTATGCCATTGTCTGTTCTCCTATCTTGAGCGCTTGGCTGCCCTCGTACGCACGTGCTGAAACACGGCAAGTACCGTGTTTATCGCGTCTCTCACGCACATGTTCGACGGCGAGCGAGGGGGGGAAGTGAGAAGGAGAAGGCCTTCTCAGAAGGCGGCGGGGCTTCTCAGAAGCCCTCGCGCCTTCTGAGGAGTTCTCGCTGTCTTCGGGGAAGGCTCAGGAAACTCCTCAGAAGGCCGGGGGGACCTCCGAGCCTTCTGAGCAGGCCCGCCCCCTCTCGCTTCCCCCCCTCTCGCTCGCCTCCTACACGTTGGCCCACTTCTTGGCGAGCGCATCGCGGCAGACCTGCGCCTTCCGTCTGCGTGTCGGGCTCCATGCCCTCACGCTGCCGGCTGCGTGCTTTTTGCGTGCCGGGGCAGCTGCCCTGGAGGGGGGGGCTCGGCGGCGGGCCCGAGGGGGGAGAGGCAGGGAGGAAGAGGAGGAGAAGGAGGAGGAGGAGGAGGAGGAGGAGGAGGAGGAGGAGGAGGAGGAGGAGGAGGAGGAGGGGGGGGGGGGCCTGCCGAGCAGGCTCGGAAGGCTTCTCTTCTCCCCAGGAGTCAGACGGTCGCAAACACGGATCAAGGGGGCGTGGATTAGCGTTTTGGAGGACGGTCAATGGAGAGGAAGCAGACGGTCGCAAACACGGATCAAGGGGGCGTGGATTAGCGTTTTGGAGGACGGTCAATGGAGAGGAAGCAGACGATCGCAAACACGGATCAAGGGGGCGTGGATTAGCGTTTTGGAGGACGGTCAATGGAGAGGAAACACGTTGCCACATAACTTCCAGATGTCTAAAACAGGGGGTCTAACATGTTTTAAACATGTACAACATGTTTAAACACATGTTGAGAACATTTTTCTTAAATTTTAAACACAGTTTAACTTCCAGAAATTCCAGACGCTTCACGTAACCCCACCAGCCCATCCAGAAACGATGCCCAGAGGAATTGCCTCGATCAGGGAAGGGGGCAGCACGCAGAGGCAGGGCCCCCCAATGGAGGCCTCTTGGAGCGTCTGGGGGGCCTCTCGGCGGTCCCGGACGCCTCTTAGAGCGTCCTGGGTGCCTCGGAGAGTTGCTTGGGGACTCTTGGGGGTCTCTTGGGAGCCTATTGGAGGCCTCTTGGGCGCCTGTTGGGGCCTCCTGGGGCCTCCTGGGCGCCTCCTGGGGCCCTCTTGAAGCGCTCTTGGGATCGTTTGGAGCGCTCTTGGAGCCGTCTTGGGCCTTCTTGGAGCCATCTGGAAGGCTCGGATGGTCATCGGAAGCGAAAAGGCGAGAAAGCCAAACACATTGATGTTCCTAAGGTTTTGGAAGGATTTGGGCCTCTTCGGGGCCTCCTGGGGGAGCTCTTTGGCCATTTGGAGCCGTCTTGGAGCGGTTTTTGGAGCCATCTTGAGGCATCTTGGGATATCTTGAGCCATCTTGGAGGTCACCTTGGGCTCTCCCAGGCGCTCTGGGAGTCATCTGAAGCAGTGCCCCCCCCCCAGGAGGCCAAACTGTGGCCAAAACCTATGTAAAATAAATAATTTTGGCATTCTCGCCGAGGCCTCTTGGAGCGTCTTGGGTGCCTCTGGGTGGCCTATTGGGGCCTCTTGGGGGTCTCTTGGGAGCCTGTTGGGGGCATCCTGAGGGCCTCTTGGGGGCTTCTTGGGGCCACATGGGGCCATCTTGGGGCCATCTCGGGGCCTCTTGGGGCCTCCTGGGCGCTTCTTGGGGCCATCTTGGAGGAGATCGATCAAACAAGAGGGGAGCTTCAATTAGTGCCCCCCCTCAGGAGGCCAAAATGAGGCCAAAACTGTTGTAACCCCAATGATTTTGGCTTCCTCGCCGAGGCCGTTTTGGACGCCCTGACACCTCGCGAACCGCCCCGTCCAGGTCCAGGGGAGGGGGTCGGGGGAGGGATAAACCCCTCCCCGAAGGGGAAGAAGGAGGGGTGGAAGAGGAAACTCCCTAAACCACCGACGCCCAGATGGCTGGTGGGATTGAATGATAGGACTGTTAGGGTGTCCATTGTCGTGGCATCCACAATCCTTCTCAGGAAGTCAGACGATCGCAAACATGGATCAAGGGGGCGTGGATTAGCGACAGGTCCCGTTTCCATTGGAAATCGCGGATTCCCGCCGCCGAGCGAGGCGGCACCGGTTGCATCTCAGGGAGGGCGTTTCCCCCGATCCATGGATTTGGCGACCGCGCGCCGAATCCATGGATCGCTAATCCATGTTCGCGCGCCCCCGATTCTCAAAAGGCCCGGAAGGCCTCTGCCCATCTCAGAAGTGTTCTGAGCCTTCTGCGAAGGCAGGCCGGGGTGGGCTTCTGAGAAGCCGCGCCGTCTTCTCGGGAGGCGGAGGAGGAGGAGGAGGAGAAAGAGTATGAGGTGGAGGTGAAGGTGAGGAGGAGGATGAGGTTTCTCTTCCTGGCGCGCCTCCTTTGGGAGCCTTCTGGAGCATCGCGAGTTTTTGTTGGATGGCTTGGAGCCGTCGGTTTTGCGGTGGCTGTTTGGTCGTCTTTGGGAGGCTCTCGTCGGCACGGCCAGGCGCGCGGCCTGAAGAGCCACGCTCTGGGCTCCCAGAGCCTCGGGGCGATGAGGCAACGGCTCGCGAGGAAAAGCGCCGAGGGGAGCCTTCTCGAGGATCGAGGTGTTGGAGGTCGGAGCCGTCAGCTTTTGCGGAGGCTTCTTGGTCGTCTTTGGGAGGCTCTCGTCGCCGTGGCCGGGCGCGGCGTGAAAAGCCACGCTCTGGGCTCCCAGAGCCTCGGGGCGATGAGGCAACGGCTCGCGAGGAAAAGCGCCGAGGGGAGCCTTCTCGAGGATCGAGGTGTTGGAGGTCGGAGCCGTCGGTTTGCGGAGGCTTCTTGGTCGTGTTTGGAGGCTCTCGTCGCCAAGGTCGGGCGCGCCTTGAAGAGCCGCGCTCGGGGTTCCCAGAGTCTCGGGGCGATGAGGCAGCGGCTCGCGAGGAAAAGCTCGGCTTGGGGGCGAGCTCGAGGTTTTCAGGGGGGGGGGGGGGGACCTGTGAGAGGGAGGGTGGGTGCGTAGGAGGAAGAGGAGGATGAGCAGGGGCAGAGCTCCGGGGCAGAGTCTTGATGCCGGTGGCAGCGCAGGAGGACGGCCCGCCCGGAGGCACTCAAAAAATATGAACATGAGGTCTGCACGGCTCCGCCGAGGCCGCCAGCTCAGGGATTGCTGCTGCTGCGGCTTCTCCTGCGCCTCGCCCTCCTCGTGTTTGACTTCTACCAGACCATCTTCGTCACTCCCGTCATGTTCCTCACTCCTCTCCCTCTCTCGGGCGACTTCCCCTCCTCCCTCGCCCCTGCCGATCCGCGCCGCGCGGTCCTTTTGCCGCCGGCTCCCGGGAGGCGCAGTGCCAGGAGGCGCTGATCCGGCTGCAGCAGGGCAGGGAGGCGGCAGAGGCGGAGATGCAGCAGAGCGACGCCGCCGGCGAGAAGTCGGGGCGCGGTGCCGCCTCCCCCTGGCCCAGCTACTTCTACCCACGTCTGGCCCCGTGGCTTCGTGCATGGATGTGTGCTGTCTGCGCGGAGATGTGCGCGTGCCTGTGCCTGTGTGTGTGTGTGTCTGCCGGTGGACTGTCGTCCGTCGTCCTCGTCGTCGCGGCGTGCCGTCCCCCTTTCGCTGGGAAACAAAGTGCGTCGTGCACCGTATGCTGAGCTGCGCTGGTACGCCCGTTTTGGAACGCAACGCGTACCGTGCTCAACACGTCCTCGTTGAGACGCTGCGCGTTGGCTCAGCGTGTTGGCCCACGCTTCGGCGAGCGTGACGCGCCGAACGTACGTTTTCAACATCCGTGTTGAGTTCCGTGTCAACACTCTACGGGCTGCGTGTTGCGTATCGGGACGGCTAAGAGCCTATGGGTGCCAGGCGCAGTTTGATACGATACGACACGTCGTGTTGTAGTGCGATCGTTTGTGGCGCGCTGTAGTGCGAGTGCCGTGCGATGCAGTGATTGGCGCACTGTAATGTATTACGCTCCGCTTCGATGCGCTCCGATGCAGCAAGGCTTGCGAAGAGCGCAATGGCGTGTAACGCAACGTAGCGTTACGCAGTGCAAAGCGATAGCGTTAAAGTGAGCTCCGCTATTGAAGCAGCATGAGCTCCATGAGTACGCACAACGTTTGGCATAATTTTGTTATGGCAACATGTTTGTTGGTGTCCTCCAGAGGTGGGCCTCCAAATTGCGTCCGTATGTTTCATGTTGCTGCTTATAGATGCTCCAACGACTTCCACTTCTGCCACCACTGATCCCTGCGGATAGCAAGCCCGAGATGGCGGATCTGTTGGAAAGCGTCTCGACTTTTACCCGTTTGGGGTGCTTGGCGTGTCGGATTCTTCGAAGCCGAAATTTGGTAAGCAGGTAAAGCATGTAGGCATCATCGCGGGAACGTTCGGGCCAAGATTGGTGGGACGTCCCAGGTCCAATGCCTGCTTGGGGCGGCTCACGTGCACATTGTCTCGGCATCGCTCGGACGTGGTTGCATTTTCCTCGGCGGGAACCATCGAGGACCATCCTGGACCATCGAGCAAAACAAAAACACGCACGACACCGAAACATGTAAGGGAGATGGACGTCCGAGCGACGGCAAGATGAGCATCGGCGATGCCGCAGGCAGTGCGCTCGTGCTTCCCAAAAGGGGGGCGGGCCACCAGGGAGACTCTCGCGGGCCCGGTCGCGCCAGGATTGGCGAGACCTGCGAGGTAGAATGCAGGGGGGAACAAACATCACACAGGCATAATTCATCGGCGATTCCCAAGAGAACGTGGGAAAAAACATGGGAAGTGGGGGGGAAGACGAACATCCAGAACATATGAGAACCTATGGGGAATCCTGTCATTTGTGTCTATTTATGTGTGTGTGTGTGTGTGCGTGCGTGTGTGTGTGTGTGCGTGTGTGTGTGTGTGTGTGTGTGTGTGTGTGTGTGTGTGTGTGTGTGTGTGTGTGTGTGTGTGTGTGTGTGTGTGTGTGTGTGTGTGTGTGTGTGTGTGTGTGTGTGGGGGTGTGGCCATTTTGAGGTGGTGGGCGTCTCTCTTCCCAGGGCCCCGTGACCACCGCGATATGGACAGCGCGCCCCTGGGCCTCCCGATGGGCAGATCGCCCCGGGGAGGCCGCGGGCTCCGGGAGGTCCCAGGACCCCCCGGGAGGCCGAAGCCGCCCGCCCTCCCCCCCCCCCCCCCCCCAAAGAGGACCCATGGTGCCCTCACCCATGCTCATTCTCACTATGCCCAGGTCCACTCAGGCCCACTCGTTCTCGGATGGGTCGTCCCGCACCCAGCCAGCCGCATACACAGGCCCCTTCACACGCAAGTCCTGCTCACATCCGCACGCACTTCACAGACCCACTCCTGCCCAGGTCCACTCAAGTGATTTGCGCTCAGAGTGACTCGCACTCAGGCTCAACCCTTCTCGGGCCTCTCAGACCCACCTCGCACACTGACCGAATCATCCTTACACCCATTCCTTTATATTTATTCGCTGACATTCAGACCCACTCGCGCTCAGGCTCACTCGTGCTCTGTCACCCGTATTGTACCCAGCATCGTTCGCATGCAGGCTCGCCCGCACTTCGGCGCGCGTCCTGGGAAGCGCTAGAACGGAGGAGCATGTCAGCTGATCCCCGCGGCGAGCCATGCGCATGTTTTCTCTCGACCGAAGGCCGAAGACCTCGGGGCTCAGGGCAACACATCAACGAGCGTGGTGCTTTGAGTGCGCGTCGACGCTTTTTCTCGCGTCAAGTCTGGAGGGCAATATCGTGCAGCCGTTTCTATGGGGGAGGCAGCACGAGCATCGTTTGGGAGGGAGCCGTGCAGTTGTTGTTGATTATGTTGAATGTTAATCACTAAACAATTATTATTGTTGGCGCCCTGGCGCTCTCGCCGAGGCGCCGGCTACGTTTCATTGAAAATGAGGCTCACGCTCGAGCGGTTTGAGGGACCGCCAAAACCGGTCCCCCAACAACAACCACGCTCCCGCTCGAGACTTCCTCCTTTTTTACTCAGGGCTGGTGTTCTTGCTCGCCGCCGAAAGCCGCCGTCCCAACAAAACCAGCGCTCCCGCTCGAGACTTCCTCCCGTTTTACCTTGGACTGGCGCGCTAGTCTTTCTCTCATCGGCGCCGCCCCCAGCAGAAACAATGCTCCCGCTCGATGCTTCCTCCCTTTTTCACTCAAGGCGGTGCTCCTCCTCGCCGCCGAAAACCGCCGCCCCGACAAAACCAGCGCTTCCGCCCGAGCGTTCCTTCCGCTTTACGCTGGACTGGCGCCCAACTCTCTTTTGAATTGGCGCCGCTACCAGCAAGAACATCGCTCCCGCTCGAGGCTCCCTCCCTTTTTCCTGAAGACGGTGCTGTTCCTCGCCGCCGAGAAGCCCCGGCCCGACAAGACCATGGCTCCCGCTCGATGCTTCCTCCTTTCTTGCTCAAGGCGGTGCTCCTCCTCGTCGCCGAAAGCCGCCGCCCCGACAAAACCAGCGCTCCCGCCCAAGATTTCCTTCTGTTTAACGCTGGACTGGCGCCCAACTCTCTTTTGAATTGGCGCCGCTACCAGCAAGAACATCGCTCCCGCTCGAGGCTCCCTCCCTTGTTCCTGAAGATGGTGCTGTTCCTCGCCGCCGACAAGCCCCGGCCCGACATAACCATGGCTCCCGCTCGATGTTTCCTCCTTTCTTGCTCAAGGCGGTACTCCTCCTCGTCGCCGAAAGCCGCCGCCCCGACAAAACCAGCGCTCCCGCCCGAGCGTTCCTTCCGTTTTACGCTGGGCTGGCGCCCAACTCTCTTTTGAATTGGCGCCGCTCCCAGCAAGAACAGCGCTCCCGCTCGAGATTTCTCTTTACCTAACAGCTTTTGCTGATAGGTTTCTAGTGGGATCAAAAGAGAGCATCTTGACGCCCCAGGGGGGTCTGGGCAGGATCCGGACAAGGAACCGGACAAAAGTGCAGCCCCAGGAATCTTTAGGCATCCTTAGGAGTACTTAGGAATCCTTAGGAATCCTTTCCCTGAACACCATTCCCAGGCCACATTTTGAATACCCGGAGCCAACTCTAGGCCACTTCGTGTTCTTCGTGTCCCCAGAACACCATTCCCAGGCCACAGTTTGAATGCCCGGAGCCAACTGTAGGCCACTTCGTGTTCTTCGTGTTCCCAGAACACCATTCCCAGGCCACATTTTGAATGCCCGGAGCCAACTCTAGGCCACTTCGTGTTCTTCGTGTTCCCAGAACACCATTCCTGTACCATATTTTGATTGCCCGGAGCCAACTTTGGGCCACATTTCGTGATCTTCGTGTTCCCAGAACACCATTCCTAGGCAACATTTTGAATGCCCGGAGCCAACTGTATGCCATGTCGTGTTCTTCGTGTTCCTGGAACACCATTCCTGCACCATATGTTGATTGCCCGGAGCCAACGATGGGCAATGTCGTGATCTTCGTGTTCCCAGAACATAAAACCTGTGCCATATTTTGAATGCCCGAGCTGACGCAGGCTGAGGCCGAGGCAGGCTGAGGCCGAGGCAGGCTGAGGGCTTGAAGGCTGAGGCAGGCCTGAGGCTGAGGCAGGCTGAGGCTGAGGCAGGCTGAGGCTGAGGCTGAGGCTGAGGCTGAGGCTGAGGCAGGCTGAGGCTGCAGGCTGAGGCTGAGGCTGAGGCTGAGGCTGAGGCTGAGGCTGAGCTGCTGAAGCTGAGGCAGGCTGAGGCTGAGGCTGTGGCTGAGGCTGAGGCAAGCTGCAGCTGAGGCAGGCTCAGGCTGAGGCTGATGCAGGCTGAGGCTGAGGCCGAGGCAGGCTGAGGCTGAGGCCGAGGCAAGCCGAGGCAGGCTCAGGCTGAGGCTGAGGCTGAAGCTGAGGCAGGCTGAGGTTGAGGCAGGCTGAGGCTGAGGTTGAGGCAGGCTGAGGCTGAGGCCGAGGCAGGCTCAGGAGGCTGAGGCAGGCTGAGGCTGAGGGAGGCTGAGACTGAGGCTGAGGCAGGCTGAGGCTGAGGCTGAGGCTGAGGCAGGCTGAGGCTGAGAGGCTGACGCTGAGGCTGAGGCAGGCTGAGGCTGAGGCTGAGGCTGAGGCTGAGGCCGAGGCAGGCTGAGGCTGAGGCTGAAGCTGAGGCAGGGTGATGCTGAGGCTGACGCAGTGGCTGAGACTGAGGCAAGCTGCGGCCGAGGCAGGCTGAGGCTGAGGCTGATGCAGGCTGAGGCTGAGGCAGGCTGAGGCTGATGCCGAGGCAGGCTGAGGCTGAGGCTGAGGCTGATGCAGGCTGATGCTGAGAGGCTGACGCTGAGGCTGAGGCAGGCTGAGGCTAAGGCTGATGCCGAGGCAGGCTGAGGTCGAGGCTGCGGCAAGCCGCGGCAGGCTGAGGCTGAGGCTGAAGCTGAGGCAGGCTGAGGTTGAGCCTGAGGCTGTGGCTGAGGCTGAGGCAAGCTGCGGCTGAGGCAGGCTGAGGCTGAGGCTGATGCAGGCTGAGGCTGAGGCAGGCTGAGGCTGAGGCTGAGGCAGGCTGAGGCTGAGGCCGAGGGAGGCTGAGACTGAGGCTGAGGCAGGCTGAGGCTGAGGCTGAGGCTGATGCTGAGGCAGGCTGAGGCTGAGACAGGCTGAGGCTGAGGCTGAGACAGGCTGAGGCTGAGGCTGAGGCAGGCTGAGGCTGAGGCAGGCTGAGGCTGAGGCCGATGCAGGCGAATCCTTCGGAATCCTTAGGAATCCCTAGGATCCTTAGGAATCCCTAGGCATCCCTCGGAATCAGGATTCCCCTACGGATTCCTATGGATTCCTAAGGATGCCTAAGGATGCCTTAGGAATCCCTAGGATTCCTCAGGATTCCATTGGATCCTAAGGCCGTTGCCACTGCGACTGTCATTGCGAATTCGACTGCGACTGCGAGAACAGCAGAATTCTACAACTTGATTATCACCTGAATCTTAAGGGGAATGCTTCCAGACATGCTTATACACATCGCTGTTAGGTTGCTTTGCCGGGATTTTTCCCTACCTAGGCTCTGCCTAGAAGGGTTCTTACTCTCTTAGCTCAAAGGGGGGGGGAGTGCAAAGCGCCCCGGGCGGTTCCCCCAGTCCCCGCCCCGCGGTTCCCCCAGTCGCGCCCCTTGGGTTCACCCAGCTTAGCTTAGCTTAGCTTAGCTTACCTTAGCTTAGCTTAGCTTAGCTTAGCTTAGCTTTAGTTTAGCTTAGCTTAACTTAGCTTAGCTTAGGTTAGCTTGGCTTATATGGCTTATATCATTTTAACTCAGCTTAACTTAACGTTGCCTAGCCTAGCCTAGCCTAGCTTAGCTTAACTTATATTAGCCTAGCTTAGCTTAGCTTAGCCTAGCTCATCTTAGCTTAGCTTAGTTTAACTTTGCATAACGTAGCTTGGCTTAGCTTAGCCTAACCTAGGTGAGCTTAACGTAGCATAGCTCATCTTAGCTTAGCTTACCTTAGCTTAACGCAGCACTCGCATATCATATCCTACCACATCATAACCAAGCATAGTATGTCATACCATATCATAGCCTATCATATCATAGCAAAACAACAAACACATAACACCAACGCAACAGCACCAGCAAACGCAAACACACAAGCAAAGGCAAAGGCACAAACAAAGGCAATAGCAACAGCACAGGCAATGCACACCAAAAGCAACATCAATGCGAACATGTATATGTATATGTAGACGTAGTGTAGGTGTAGATGTGGATGTAGGTGTAGATGTAGGTGTCGATGTAGGTGTAGATGTAGAGGTAGATGTGAATCGAGCTGCTGATGTTGATGTAGATGTAGATGCAGGTGTAGATGTAAATGTAGCCGTCGGTGTAGATGTAGATGTTGCTTTCCTAAATGCTCCAACTCCTAGGTAGGGTCGCACTGGGATAATTTGTTCCTCGGGACGGTGCTGTTCCTCGCCGCCGACAGCCCCCGTCCCGACAAAACCACGGCCCCCCGCTCTATGCTCCCCCCTTCTTACTCAAGGCGGTGTTCCTCCTCGCCGCCGAAAGCCGCCGTCCCAACAAAACCAGTGTTCCCGCTCGAGACTTTGTGTTGTTTTACGCTGGACTAGCACCCTACTCTCTTCAGCATTGGCGCTTCTCCCAGCAACAACAGCCCTGCTCGAGACCTCCTCCCTTTCTATTCAGGGCCAAGTCCTTGCCTCACCGCCGACAGCCCCCATCCCCACCAAGGCAATCCTGTCGTTCGATACTTCCTTGTGCTTTACCCTTCGCTGGGGTTCCATTGGCGGTCTCGCATCGGCGCAGCAAGGCGCGGGCATGTGTTTTCGAGGCGGGATATGTTGAAATTCCTCGGGTGAGGTGTTTGCAAGACCTCATTGGGCGGGAGATCTGGGAAAGGGAATAACGGACCCCGCTATAGAACAATAGTCCCCCATGATGTGGATGGTTATCATGATGGTCGCATGCTTCGTGTGGCAACATCGCGCATTCCGGGGCTCGCACCCTGTTGTCTTATCAAGGAAAGTCTTGAGGATCAAATTGTGTCGCTGGCCCCCTCACAATTTAGCCAGCACCCCCGCTCCCGCCCGAGACTTCCTCGCGTTTTATTCAGGAATCGCGATCTCGCTTGGGACTTCCTTAGAATCTATTTTCCTGGCGCTCTGGAGTCGCGCTCTCGCTGGAGAATTGCTTGCAATTTACTGAAGAACAGCGCCCTTGCGTTGGAATTTCTTGCAATTTACTCAAGCGCCGCGCTCCCGACACCCAGGCACCCAGGAGTCGCGCTCACGCTTAGGACACCCTCAAAGATTACATAGGAATCGGGATCTCGCTGCCCTTCATGGCCCCATTGCAGCCTTTCGTGGCCCCCTCGCTTTGATTCGTGGCCCCGTTGCAGCCCTTCGTGGCCCCCTCGCTGCCCTTCGTGGCCCCGTTGCAGCCCCTCGTGGCCTCCTCGCTGCCCTTCGTGGCCCCGTTGCAGCCTTTCGTGGCCCCCTCGCTTTGTTTCGTGGCCCCGTTGCAGCCCTTCGTGGCCCCCTCGCTTTTTTTCGTGGCTCCGTTGCAGTCCTTCGTGGCCCCCTCGTTTTTTTTCGTGGCCCCGTTGCAGTCCTTCGTGGCCTTTCGTGGCTCCGTTGCAGTCCTTCGTGGCCCCCTCGCTTTGTTTCGTGGCCCCGGTGCAGCCCTTCGTGGCCCCCTCGCTGCCCTTCGTGGCCCCGTTGCAGCCCCTCGTGGCCTCCTCGCTGCCCTTCGTGGCCCCGTTGCAGTCCTTCGTGGTCCCCTCGCTTTGTTTCGTGGCTCCGATGCAGTCCTTCGTGGCCCCCTCGCTTTTTTTCGTGGCCCCGTTGCAGCCCTTCGTGCCCCCCTCGCAGCCCTTCCCGGCACCGTTGCAGCACTTCGTGGCCCCGTTGCAGCCTTTCGTGCCCCCCTCGCTGCCCTTCGTGCCCCCCTCGCAGCCCTTCGTGGCCCCCTCGCTGCCCTTCTTGGCCCCATATATGTATGCCTTTCGTGGCCCCCGCTCGTTCGCGCCCGAGGTGGCCCCAGATGCATCTGTCCTACGTGGCCCAGTTGCTACCCTCAGTGGCCCCATCGTTGCCTTCTGTGGCCCCGCATTATCTGCCCTTCGTGGCCCCCGCTCGTTCGCGCTCTTCGTGGCCCCATACGCATTCCCTTCGTGTCCCCGCTGTTGCCTTTCGTGGCCTACTTCGTGACCTTGTGGCCCTGCTGTCGTTCTATTTCGCTCTCGCGTTGGCTCGTCGTCGTCGTTGCCGTCGTCTTCGTCGTCGCCGTCGTCGTCGAGGTCGTCGTCGTCGTGGTCGGTCCCCCGTCCGTCCCTCTTGGGGTCGGGTCGACGGTCCGCGGCCGCCCCACCGATCAGCGCTGCCGCTGGCCAGGCCGACGGTCCGCGGCCGCTCCCGCCGCTTGCCTCCCTGCAGGGAAGAAAGGTATACCCCCCAAAAGGGGTTCGATCGAAGACGAAGAGGGCGGCTATCGAGGGTTTGGGAAATAGGCGTTATTGGATACTCGAGCAGATAAGGGCGAACAGTTTTAACATTATTGTTGTTGCTGCTGCTGTTGTTGTTGCTGTTGTTGTTACTGTTGTTGTTGTTGTTGTTGCTGGTGTTGTTGTCCTTGTTCTTGTTGTTGGTCGGATCCCCCAGAGGTGGCGAGACGCGCTGCGATGCTACAACGGCCGCGGCTAATGCAGGTGACGGCCTCAGTGTGATGGTCTTTGCCGTGTGTTCAACAGCAGACCGCGAATCCACAAACCCAAGGTTTGGCAAATCTGCGAATCCGAACAGGCTTCTTCTTGACACAATGGTGTCTCTCTTGTCTCCGAGATTGTGCGCTTGAGGTTTCTCCCGTACCCCTCGATCCCGAATCCATGGAGACGTTTGCCGACTAATGAATGAACAGGCATCCAGGGGAGCTTTTCGATGATATGGAATGGCTTCCCTTGTCCGTTCTACCCTGTCCACCTTGCGCACATGTCTAGTGCCGATCCTCGGATCACAGTGCTTGTGCGCTGCCCTTCACCGTCGTGGGATGGTTTCATCTTGCACCCGTGCGTGCACTGCGCTGAGGTGTGGACTCGGCGTTCAAGTGCAAGTACCCAGGCTGCGACCTGGCACCTTGCAAGCAGTGTGCGAACGGGTGCTGCACACGGAACATCACGCACTGCCATATGATCGCGAGGGGCAAGGACGGGCAGCAGTGCTTCTTCCACCCGCCGCCGCGGGCGTGGGCCCGCAATGCCGAGTGAGGCGCAGGGGCCGCACACCATCGTAGGCCTGGAATTGGGCACCAGCACCTACGCAGGAGCTTGCCTCCACAGGGGTAAGATGATCCTAGATTCTGGCGCTGGTGGTAATCGTTCGGCCACCAAGAGGGCCCGACGATTGCCATCGCCGACATCGGGAGCATCGCCCCTCGGTGGAGGCACGCCGCCGCTCTCGGTGTCGGCGTCAACCTCTGGGCCTCCGACGCCAGGGAGCCCGTGCCCGTGCGCGGGGCTACCAGACTTGGGATGCTGCCCGGGGAGCAAAGGCTACATGCCGAAAGCGTCGGAGGCCCGTGCGGCTCTCCTGGGTCGGCGCCCGGGATCCCCCCCCGTCCTCCTCCTCCTCCTCCTCCTCCTCCTCCTCCTCCTCCTCCTCCTCCTCCCTCCCGCCTCCCCTGGAGTCGGCCACGCGCGGACGGGGGCAAGGGGGACGGCGGAGGGCTCCTCAGGAGGCACCCCCTGCTTCTTGGCAGGCGCGGGCCGCGTCTGTGGATGGGAGGCCCGCGCCTTCGAAGAAGCAGTCTCCTTCTGAGAAGCTTTCCCCCCTCCCCCTACCCCCTTGTTTGTGCGCGCCGCCAATGGAGCGCGGAGCGCGCCAGGGGCTGCGCCGCTAGGGGGCTGCAGCGCCGATCTGGGAGATCCGCGCGGACCGCCGGCGTTTTTGTGTTTGTGTCATTGGTTGTTCCCCGATCTGTGACGTCGACAATTTGCGAAGGGGTCCCTGCCATCTCGTCTCATCACTCCTCGTCTTCCAGTTCAGTTGCAGCTGCCATCATCCAAGATCGCAACCACTGCCGCCACCGTACCGACGCAGCATCTCAGGCCAGAGCCGGTACCAGCCCCAGTCATGGGTCAGGTGCTGTTCCGGCAAAGAAGCTGAAAGGCTTGGCACACATAGCCGTCGCAAGCAGCGGCATCACCGCCACAGTCACCAGTCTTGATACTTTCAGTGTTACCCTGCTGCACGGAATCTCAGTCTGCGATGTTTCCCCAACCCGACTTTCCCGCCACCAGTACCCCTGCCATGATACTTTGTCCAGGTTGGGGAAGGGGGTGGATTGTCAGCCATCCCTAGGAAGCGCACTGGCTTTCGATGGAATTGTGTTATAGACGTTTTTGACGTCTCGGTGTTCGATGGTATTGTTTGAATACGTTGTCCAGGTAGAAAGCACGGAAGAAATCACGTGTTGGGCATGATCAGTGGAAACGATGTCTTCTTGTGTTCCAGCGGTGGCAGATGCATTTGTGGCGACAAGGTGCGGTTATACCATTTCGAGGCACCGCTCGGCGCCGCAGAGGTTATGAAAGGACATGCTCTCGGTTCTCGCTGTGGTGCGAATGGCGTGATGACGTGTTGATGTTTCTGTGCCCTGTGAGTTTGTTTCAGACTGACGACGATTCACATCAGCAGTAAATCAACAAGTGAGTTCAAGTATGATGCTAGCGTGTCGGGCGAATCGCGCGAACCTGTCATCTGCTGCGAAGTCCTGCACGAAGGACCAACGCTTCTCCTGCGATCTCATTCCGAAGACACGTGGTGATGTCAGTTATGCTGGGAAACAAAGGGGGCTCCCATCGCTCGCCCGACCGCGAGAAGCGAACGTTGGCCCACGTCTGCAAGCACAAGTGGCAGCACCGCTAGGTTTAGATGCTGCTGGGGGTTGAGGGTGGGGGGGGGGCGTCAGCGCCCGTGTCGTGTGCTTGAATGGCTGCTCGCCACACGACTTGCTCCTACCACAGCATGCTCGGCACAGTCCCGAGCTGCTTTGTTGGGGGACGGTGTGCAGGTCCTGACTTGCGAGTCCAGGTGCCCGTTCTACAGCGAAGCTTGGCCTGCTCCTACTACCGCAGCCTGCATCGCGGATTGGCGCCAAGTGCCACTCGGGCAGTGGAGGATGTTCACGTCGTCGAGTCTGTTGAGATTATGTTGTTGAGCCAGGCGGTGACATCGCTGGTCGAGTTCGAGCACTTGTGTGACCACGCTGGCGTTTGCGTTCTTGTTTGGTGGGGGCGCTCCTTTTCGGGGTCTTATTGCTGCCCCGCGCCCGAGCACGCAGCATCATTGTCAGCAGTGGCACCATCATTTAGGCCTAGAGGGGGTCGGAGGAGATGGGGTCGGAGGATCGAGCCGCATCGACGATGTATCGCCGATGCGCCTCGATGTGGGGCCCGATTTGCTTCACGTCGACATCGCCGATGCATCGCCAACGTCGACGATGCATCATTGGTGCATCTCCGATGCATCGCCGATGCATGGCCGATGTATCGGCGATGGGGCGCGATGCTCCGACCCCATCTACTCCGACCCCATCTAGGAGGCCTCTACATCACCATCCTAGCCCATGGGCTCGCTCACAGCGTGAGGCGGTGACCGCGCGGGTCGGAGTCAAACTCGCACGGGTGCGCCACAGGGCGCGCTGCTTCACGGTTTTTGGTGCCGGGGCTACTGCTCCCGAAGAGCACGTCGCTGAAGGGTTCTAATACCGGGTGGTAGGAGAGCACAGAACACACAGACAGGAAGAGCATCGATCCCCTGGAGGATAAGCGAAAGTGTGGGAAGTGGAGGGAAGACGGACCTCCAGGAAACTCGAAAAATGTCGGGGAGTCATGGGATCTATGTCCATTCCTTTTTGCGCCCCTGGGCCCCTTCAAGCTTGTCCTGGAAGAGGACGGCGGAGGATTGCCACACGGGGGGGGACGGGGAGCCCGGTACCGCCCAGTCCGTCGGCCGCTTCGCCCGAGATATCTTCCCAAGGTATGAAAGGCCACGTGCTCTCGCCTCGAAGCTGGCCTCGTGATTGGCCGGGACAGCCACGAAGGTGCACGAAGGTGCACGAAGGTGCACGAAGGTGCACGACAGCCTGGTTTCGAGAGTGCACGAAGGTGCACACGCGGCCGTGTTCGAATCCCTTGGCCCAGCTGCGCATGGTCTTTCTCGGGGCTGCTATGGTGGTGCCTTGCCAGGGTAAGTCCAGCCGTGCGGCAGGTTTGGTGCTGTGTCGACGCGGCGTTGACCCCAGCGCGGGCGTTCAAGCTTACCACCACTGGTTGCGATCGTTCCAGGTTGAACGATCCACGCGGTGTCAGAAACCAACGCCGGGGTCGTCATTACACGAACGTTGAGAACCGCGCGTGCATCTAAACATTACGATATCTGGGCCCTGTTTTATGGGGCTTCGCAGAAGCGTCTCAGGACAACATAGAATGTATCATTTTCCAGTCGGTTCTCTGGGCGTCAGGTGCTGAGCAACATATACACACCACCACGCAGTGGACAACCATGATATAGCACAGTCGAAACCGATGGTCAGGATGGGTCACCTTCCCAAGGGCACCTCTGCATCCTTGCCTCTTCGGTCCATCCTTCACCACTTTCGATGGCCCGCCCCGCTCGAAAGGCTGCGACGGGCGCGTCCAAGGGTCTTGCACCCCTACTGTCAGTTTTGACTGTGCTGTGGACATTCTCTTGGTCCCGACGAGCCCGCCGCAGGCATTGAGCCCGTGGCCCCGACGAACCCGCCGCAGGCCTTGTGTGGCGGGGCTTGGACGAGGCTAAATCCGTGCCAGAGCGTGCCGGAACGCTCTCAGAGCGTGCCAGAGCGCTCTGGGAAGGCCGCGGCGCCCGACACATCCTCCAGAGCCGCCAGATCTCAGAGGTTCTGAATTTTATCCTGATGTTAGCCTTAAATCGGGCACGTCCCTCTACAGCTTATTTTTCCTTAACAAGCCGCCTGTAGGAGGACACGCCCGCCCTGATGTTAGCCTCGTCCTGGCTTCGTCCTACCTTGAGCCGCCGCAGGCCCGGAGGCCTTAAGCCCGCCGGAGGCCTCGAGCCCGCTGTGGGCCCCGACGAGCCCGCCGCAGGCCCCGAGCTCATGGCGTCGGGGCCAGCCCCGGCGGTCGTGGAGGGCCGACTGCCCGCCCCACTGGCGGCTGCCGCGCCTGCCACGGCTGCGCGAGGCGCAGCAGCACACCGGAGAAGAGAAGGGAGGGGGCAGGTAGGAGGAGGGAGGAGGAGGAGGAGGAGGGGGAGGAGGAGGAGGAGGAGGAGGAGGAGGAGGAGGAGGAGGAGGAGGAGGAGGAGGAAAGGAAGGAGGAGGAGAAGAGAGGAGGAGGAGGAGGAGGAGGAGGCTTCCGCGCCGCCCGAGCGCCAGGACTACTGCGGCGCGCCGGGCGCGGCCGCGGGAGGGGAGGCGGCGGGAGCACGATTCGGAACGATTCGTGAGCAGAAATGAGGCCGGCGCCTGAGCGAGAGCAGCATTTAGAAAAAAAACACAGGCGAAAACCCAACTCCCGGGAATCCTGTGTGTTAAAAAACAATACGCGGGGGGGGGGGTCGGCTACTTTCAGGCCGCCATCGGGGGAAGAGGGAGAGTAATATTCATATTGAGTAATTGTGGAGGAGGGGGAGGAGGAGGAGGAGGAGGAGGAGGAGGAGGAGGAGGAGGAGGAGGAGGAGGAGAGGGGAGGGGGGAGGAGGAGGAGGAGGAGGAGGAGGAGGAGGAGGAGGAGGAGGAGGGAGGAGGAGGAGGAGGAGGAGGAGGAGGAGGAGGGAGGAGGTAGGAGGAGGGAGGAGGAGGAGGAGGAGGAGGAGGAGGAGGAGGAGGAGGAGGAGGAGGAGGAGGAGGAGGGGGAGGAGAAGGAGGAGAAGGAGGAGGAGGAGGAGGAGGAGGAGGAGGAGGAAAGGAAGGAGGAGGAGGAGGCCTCCGCGCGGCCCGAGCGCCAGGACTCCTGCGGCGCGCCGGGCGCGGCCGCGGGAGGGGAGGCAGCGGTCGTCAGCTTCGCCGCGAGGCTGAAGGAGCCCCGCGGCGGCGGAGGCCGCCCCTGAGAGCAGTCAGCTGCATCTGTCGCCATGAGGGTCGCCAGGACTTGGGTTCGCCATCGTTTTTTGACGACCGCGACTCGGATTTTGACGAGTAGGAGTTTCGTGGGATGTCTGCAGCGGGGGGCCTCGTCAAAATGCAGGCTCGGCCTCGTCATTTTTTTGACGACCTCGTCGGGGATATCCGAGTCCCCTGCACCCGGGTCTTACGCCCCCCTGAGAGGGAGGCAAGCCCTGAGGGCAGCTCGGGTAGAGGATCGACTGCATCATCGATTGATCCCAAGATTGTTTTTTGTTCGTCGAGTCCATGGGAAGAGCGTCGAAGTTTCGTAGAAGTACGAACGCTCGGTGTATGACTCAACCAGAAAATTCATGTTGGGGTAAATCAATTCGGCAGACGATGCCCTACTCGAGAAACGGGTCCTGAGGTTTTTCATCGTTTCAGGGCTCTCGGGGCCCTCCACGGGCCCCGGAACTCACAGGAAACGGCTCGGGAGAAAGGTCTCGTCTTGGGGGAAGGCACCAGGGTCCACGAACCTTTTCTCTCAGGACCCGATTCCCCCATGCTCAATCTGGTTGGCTGGCCCGATCAATTCCACAGTACGAATGATACCTGAAGCCGGCGGGAATGGGCGTTCACCATCCTTGGGCGTTGCGTCGTGGGGAGGCGACAGATTAGGGGGGGGCAGCGAGGGCTGCAGACAAGGGGCCCTTTAGGACCCCAACAAGGGCCTTGAAGGCCCGAAAAGTGCACCTTCCTTCCCCTCCCCATGTGTCGCCTCCCCATGAATTCACGCCCAACAGCCCCAAGGCCTACCCGGGGCGACATGGGGTGGCCTCCGAAGAGTGCACCTTGCGCTCGGAACCCGACGGAAGCTGATGGGTTTGGCTCCAGCTACGCGCGCGCACCCTCTTCCGCCCTGGTGCTCTCGTAGGGGGTGTCTTGGGGCGGGCCTGGCTCTGCTTCAGACACCTTCACCGTGGTCCCAGCCTTGCGGCTGGGGTCATGCACAGTGGAGGCCATTGAGAGGAAAAACAGGAGGAGGATTGTGGACGACGCTTCGCCAAGAAATGGGTCCAAGTGCTTGTAGTCGTTGAAGAATCGAAGCAGCCGACCCTTGGCTGGGAGCTTTGCCCCCTACTGGAGCCTGCTAGCTCTGGAACTGCTCGGCCAAGAACGCAACTCTAGGAGAAGAAGGAAGGCCGAGAGGAGGCGAGGAAGAGATCTCGGAACTCGCAAATCCACGAAACGACGCCAGAGGTCATCGTTGCTGGGGTGTGCGCTACGCTGAAGACGCCATGCAGACCGAAGCCGCCCACGTGGAGTGGGCGGCATGTGAGGAAACGCAAAGACAAGTTGTGGGCATAAGAAGCCAATCGCGGGGACACTTGACATCCTCGCCTTGATTGGAGGGGAGGAGACAGATGCACTTCACGCCCCCCTGCTGTTGACGATGCCGACGCCTGCAAGTAGCCGACCTGCGGCCGTACTTCAAATATGTCTTGGCTAAGACGTGAGAGCGGTATTTGGCATCGGCCCCAGATGCTGGTCTTCTGGAAGCAGGTAGGCCTGGTCCTCCAAAAGCGAGGGATGGGAGGAGATTGCGCTGGAGTTCCTAAGGAATCCGATGAATTCCAAAACCAACCTATAGATTGCCCAAAGAATCTCGAGGAAGTCCTTCAACATCGCATGGATATCCTAAGGAGCTCTCTGGATTTCCGACGCCGACGCCTGCAAGGAAGGCGGCCTGCGGCCGCGCCTTCGGCCCCAAGGGGCTGCCTCGCGCGGTCCAGGGGCACGCGCCCGCGGGCGCTCCCCCCGCGCTGTTCCCGTGCGCCCCGGCCCTGGCAGCGCGCGTCTCGGCCGGCGCCCGCTGCCTCCATCGACGAGTCGTAGGAGTGGCCCCTCGCCGGAGGGTCCTCTTGCCGTTGGCCCGATTCATCGAGAGCAAGAGAGGCCCTAACCCTGATCACGCGATGACCTCGCTGAGGTCCCCATTTTTTGCGGCACGGGCAGTAATTCTGGGCGGCTTGGTCCAGTACATCTGCAGAAAAAAAACCCTAACCTTAGTGTTTGTGGCCCTCCTAACTTGGGTCCCCTCCCAAAGGGTTCGGGGTCCCTTTTTGGTTATTCACCAAAGTGGCCCACAATGGTCCCCCGAACCTTGGATCAAGCAGTGTCAAGCGCCTTGACTCGCCGAGTGACCCACCCTGAGAATCTTCTGTGGTTTGACGAAATGTTCTCATCAGGCAGTCTCCTTTACATGATCAAGTGGATTGAGGTTCTAAGCACATCTTCTGTTTTTTATAACATTCCCCGTTCTGAGAAAGTTGCGTTCTAGGCTCACAGGAATGCTGCGACGGTCGGCCCCTGCTCAAATGGGGTCCCCGCGACAACACGCCCTGGGAGAGGTCCAGGGAGTGGCGTCCCCCCGCCCCCCCCCCCCCCCCCCCAAAACCCAGCAGCCACGGTGGCCGCGGCGGCCGCGGCGGTCGGCGCCCGTCGTCCGTCGTCCCGGTCGAAGTCGTCGTGGTCGGCGTTGGGATGGTCGTGGTCGTCGTGGTCGTCGTCCGGCGTTTCGTGATCTTCTTTTCCTTCGCCGCCATCGTCCATCGTCGTCGTGGCCGGCGTCGGCGTCGTAGGTTTCGTCGTCGTCGGCGTCGGAGGATGACCAGGAGGAAGAGGAGGAGGAGGAGGAGGAGGAGGAGGAGGAGGAGGAGGTGGATCAGGAGGAGGAGGAGGAGGAGGAGGAGGAGGAACAGGAGGAAGAGGGCGGAGGAGGAGGAGGAGGCGGAGAAGGAGGAGGAGGCGGAGGAGAAGGAGTTGAGGAGGATGAAGGGAGGGATCGGATGTGAGAGGATAAGGATGGGATGAAATAACATATATTTGGTTGAGGTGGGGAGGAGGATGGAATTGGAACGTGGGGCATGATGAGGATGAGTTTGAGAGAAAATTAGGGAGATGGAGGACGATGGAGAATCAGCAGCAGGGAAGAAGGATGAGGAGATGAGGTGGTTAACGCGGTGGCCGTCCGCAGAGGGGCAGGATGAGTCCACCGCCAGGCATCCACTCGCGAGTTTGTGTTGCGACGTGGTGTTTTGATGCTCTCCGCGTCAACACCGGTTCACGACGTTGGATGTTTGCGCATTGGACGGGCGAAACGGAGGGAGGGCGAGGGGCCAGGGGGGGAGTCTGTGGAGAAGGAGCAGGGGGTGGGCAAGCAAAGGGGGTGGAGATAGGGGAGGAGGGGTGGGGGGAGCGCTTTGTGGTGGCCACGCTCGGGGCTGGCCCCACCGCGCCCGCGCGCGAGCGCGCGCGCGAGGAGTGCTCGCTCCAGGGCACGCTGCTGCCCTGATGCCCGGGGCGCCCGTGGCCCCACCCCGCTCCCACACCTCCCCCCCCCTTGGGCGGAGCAGGAGGAGGAGGAGGAGGAGGAGGAGGAGGAGGAGGAGGAGGAGGAGGAAGAGGAGGAAGAAGAGGAGGAGGAGCAAGGAGGAGGAGGAGGAGGAAGAGGAGGAGGAGGAGGAGGAGGAGGAGGCAGAGAAGAGGAGGAGGAGGAGGAGGAGGAGGAGGAGGAGCAGCAGGAGGAGGAGGAGGAGGAGGGGCAGGAGCAGGAGGAAGAGGAGGAGGAGGAGGAGGAGGAGGAGGAGGAGGAGGCAGCGTGAACGGCAACGGTCGAAGGAGAAAAAGTGGCAGACGCATAAACGTTTGGAGATCCGCGCGGATTTCTTGGATCTTCGCTGGCCCCCCCCTGCCCTGGCGCGCGAAGCGCGCCAGGGGCGGCGCCAGAGGCCCCGTCAAGGGGCCCCAGCGCAGGTCCAAGGTACCTGCGCGGAGCTCCAACGATTCATGCTTACGTGTGCCATCTCCAGCCCCTCGAAGCGGGGGGGGGGGCCAACAACAGACGTGGGGATCGAGGGGATCCTGCAGGAGAGTGGCCCTGGAGGCGCCCCGACTCCCTTGGGCTGCAGGCGCGCGGGTTCGGGGCGGGCCCTGCTGCCGTGCAGAGTCGGCGCGCAAAGCGTCGCCGAGCGAGGCGGCCTCTGGGCGCCGTGGTGCGGAGGGCACCTCGGCCCGCTCCGCGGAGCTGGGGCGCGGCTTGGCCGGCCCACGCCCTGCCACCGCGGGCCCTGAGTTGTGCACTTTTTTTGGTCCGCGGGTCGAGAGCGCACCTCTTCCGGTCGAAGCTAGGCGGGCCGCGCGAAGCTTGAATGAGGCAGAGAAGAGGAGGGAGGAAGCGGCGGAGCCTCAGAGCGAGGCCGAGAGGAGGCATAGCCTCGGATACAGGCGGTGCCGAAGCCGAAGTTCTTGCAAAGGGACGCCTTCGGCAGGAGCCCGGTGGCGAAGTACCGGAGAAGAGCGTGATTTGTGCGCACGAGAGGTGCATGTTCTCTTCGCCCCACGTGCATGCACTGCTCCCCCGTCAACGCACTCCCGACCTCCCTCCCACCTCCTCGGCATCGCTCGGACGTGTGCATTTTCTCTCGGCGAGAACCATCGAGGACCATCCTGGACCATCCAGCAGAACAAAAAACACGCTCGAAACCAAACCATGCACGGGACATGGACATCCGAGCGACGGCAAGCGGGCCCCCCGTCGGCCGTGTAGACGGGCCGACGGCGACGTGGGCAGCGGCGCTGTCGGTTCTGGTCTTTTCCTCGGGGCGCGCGGCTCGCGCCTGGCTGCAGGTCGCTGGGCTCGCTCGAGCCGTTCCGCAGATGGGGACACGCGGGAAGGTGTGGTTCGCGGTTCCCTGCACTGCGGTTCCCAACGTCACTCGGAGGTGGACAGACTTCGTACCCTGACACGTCGATTAACGAATTGGCCGTTTTCGGTTCGCGAGAGGGCGTCGCGGCCGTCATTTTTGCGGGTCCAGGTCCGTCGGTTTCGGTCCCAGGCCGTTTTCACTAAGGGGGAGGTTTACTGAAAGGAGGTTTGTCCACCGCCGAATCACCGTCAAGCAGCATCACTGGTAGCCCGGCCTCGGGTCGGGGGGCGCCGATTGTCCCCCGACGCCGCTCCCGGGCGGAGCCCGCTCCCTTGGAGGTGGAGCAGAGACGCCGATGCCGCTGCTCGTCCTGCGGAGCGCCCTTCGCCGCCTCGGCTGGATGCCCCTCGAACTTCTGGTCCGACGCACCCCGGGCAGCGTGGAACTCCTGGGAGGCCAGATTCAGCAGCCCAGACGTCCTCGAGTCATGAAAGAAGCACGACGGGAGGTGTTTTGCCAGTTTTGGGTCTCTGCCCTTGCCGGGCCTCTGGAAGGTCAACAAAACGACTCGGGATGAAAAACCTGTCCTGGGGATTGGGTCGAGACCTCCAGAGTCGACGTTCCCAAACAAATCATGACGTCGGGTGTGTGAAATCTCGGCGCTGCCACCTCCGTGATCGGGAACCGGTTCACAGCAACGTTGCCGAATCAATCGGGCTCAGTCCGGCTCCGCTCGGGCTCAACCTTGGCGCAAGCCTGGCCCACTCTGGCTCTATGCATGGCCCCGTATAACCGGGTTTGGTAGCCATGAGTCGCGCTGGCGAGAACATCCCAGGAGCTGTTTTCGGCTCAATTCGGGCTCACCCCCGGCGCAAGCCCGGCCCAGTCTGGCTCCATGCATGGCCCTGTATAGCCGGGCCTGGAAGCCGCGAGAGCATCCCAGAAGCTGTTTCCTTCCTACCGCGGGGGGAGGCCCCGGGAGTAGCAGGACCCGTACCTGCGCACCCGCGTGTTCCTCCAATCCCTCTGTCGCCCACTCCGGCCGCCTGAGGCCCCGCCTTCTGTACCCTGTCTCCCTAATGAAAGCTGTGCGTAGCCCGCCTAGCGTTTAGCGGAAGAGGTTCGCGCGCTCGCCCCGCAGACCAAAAAACGTGTTCCGATCCGGGCCTGCAGGGATCGACACGCGTGCCGCCCCGCCCCGGGCCTGGGGGGCGTGCAGCTGGGCCACTGCAGGGCCAGCCGCAGGCGTTCGAGGCGATGGCCGCGCTCTGCGCAGCGCGGGCTGGGCTGAAGTCGGCGATTGAGCCTCAATCGCGCGGCAAGCGCCGCAACAACCGGCGCACCAAGCAACATTTGAGTCGACGAGGGGGGCGCAGCAAAAAAACATCAATAATACATCAAAGAAACCAAACGCCGAAACAAGCATGGCGGCAAAACCGACACCAATGTTGCACCAATGTTTTGGATTCCTGCCTGTAGCGGGCAGGCCCGTCGTAAGATTGAGGTTCTGTCCATTCAACCCCACGAGGGACCAGAGCAGGGGCATGACAGGATCCCAGCCTCGGGAGGCCAGGCTTCTATCCATGCCCGGCCCCCGTGGCGCTCACAGGGGAAGGCATCAGCAGGAGCAAGTACGGATGAAGCATCGACCGCCTCGGATTGGGGTTTCCCTCGCCCCCCCCTCCGCTGACAAGGGGGTGGCGCCGCCCCCCTGTCCGGCCCCGGTGAGGGCGCCGGATGCGCGCGCACGCCGTTGCTGGGCTCGGGCGCCGCAGCCTCCCTGCCTCCTCTCCCTCCCGCCGCGTCCTCCTCGTCCTCCTCGTCCTCCCTCCCTCCCTCCCTCCCTGGTTCCTCCCTCCCTCCCTGCCTCCCTCCCTCCTCGCTCCTGCTCCTCCCTGCTTCTCCCTCCCTCCCTCCTCGTCCTCCCTCCCTCGTCCTCCCTCCTCCCTCCCTCCCTCCCTCCCTCCCTTCCTCCTCCTCGCTCTTCCAAGGGGGGCGCCCTGGCCAGGGCCGAGGCGCGTGGGATCTCCGCGTCCCCCCCTGTCCCGCGCCTCCGCCGCGTCGCGCGCCGCGCGGCAGGGCAGCGGCGCAGGCCCCCCCTCGGCGGCAAAAGTGGGCGGCCCGTGTCTCAAGCAGCGGCGAAGGGTCGCGGCCTCCCTACAGGCCCACCGCAGGATGTTCTCAGAGCCTTCCTGTGGTCTGCACGACATGTTCTCAGACGATTTCTGGCTGCCACTGTCTCGTTTCAGCACATCGGCCTTTCACCATGAGAACAGCTGTTCTTGTTCAGAGAACATGTTGGTCCTAAGAACACTTCGTGGTAGCCCTATAGGAATGCCAGGACGGTCGGCCCCTGCTCAAATGTCTGGAGCGGGGTGGTTTCCCAGAGGGGTGCTCGCCGTCCCACGGCCTGCGTCCAGGATTTGGCCAGTAGCACTTGTTTCCAACCTCCCTTCCCCCGTTCCTTGCCCTCCTCATCTTCGGTCTCCTTTTCTTCCTCCTCATTGTCCTCCTCCTCCTCCTCATGCGTAGCCATTTGTAGCCATTTTTCTTCAAGCCATGTTGGCGCAAGGCCAAGATGGCGAGTCCACCACTGCCTAAGCGGGGGGTAGGCTCCCAACCAGCCGTTTCTTGCACCAGGGCGCTCCCGAGTCTTCCGTCTCCAGGCCGTGGTCCGCCCCAGGCACTTCATGTTCAAGTCCTGCCTCGCCCCGGACACGTCCGCACGTGGTCCGCCCCAGGACATCCTCAGGCAAGTCCTGGTCCGCCCCAGGCTTACGTCGGGCCTGTCCCTCTACAGGGGGAGTCTTCAAAACTAGTCAAAAAATGATATGGGGAAGATCTTTAGACTATTTGTTGTCATTTGTGGTGTATTTTTGGGTATTTTCAATTTTTCTCCCAAACTCCCCCTGTAGGAGGACAGGCCTGACTTAACCCCAGGCGCGTCCTGCTCTCAAGCAACAGCTTGCTCTCGTGCTCGGACAGCTGCTGTCGTGCGTGCTGGTGCCCAGCCTCATCGTGCCGCAGCCCGCATTCGTGAGCAGCTCGCACCTCCTGGACGTTTCGCTGCCCAACAGCTACGTCTTCGACAACAGTGAACTGTTACCAGCACGACTCTGCAGATCTTCAACATGGCGCCCACCAGTGGCCTCAGCACCTCCTCCTCCTCCTCCTCCTCTTCCTCCGCCTACTCATCCTCGTCCACAAAGCCGCGAAGACGTCAACCGCGAGCCGAACGTGGGAAGGATCGTGCAGAGCGTGGTGACACCAGCGACTCGAGGAGCGATCGCACCGTCGAACAACGAGCAGCCCGTGCACAATCACAACCACGTACCAGCTACAACGTTGCTGTACATTTGCTGCGCGGCGTTCACCATTCATCAGGGAAGGATTCCGCCCACGGGTCACGTTTAAACGACCCACCGTCGTTAACCAGAGGTGACGCTGAGCTAATCGATGTGAGGAAAAACTACCACGTATAGAAGCAGAACTGGCACATTTTCGGCGAGTGAAAGCAGAATTGACTACTCTCTCAGGTGACCCAGTGGCAGGTGCAGGCGCAACACCAAATAGACCAGGTTGCGAAGGCACAACCACACCCGCTGACCAGCGTACCCTCGAGGAGCGCCGCCCCTCTGACCTCTTCGCGGCGCAGGTGGACATGATTTCCACACGTCCTCAACTATTATGACCAGCGGCCATCACTCAAGGGGCACTGGCGGCGAGCGCTCCAGCTTGCATTGGGAAAGGTTGGACAGCAAAGGCAGCACAACGATGGCATCGACACCAGCATCGTACCCGCATCGTCGAGCAAGGGCAGCAACAGATGCGCGCCGACGGTGGGCGCATGCAGGCAGCCCTGGCCATGGCTGGGGCCACGCTTTCCACGCTCGGCAGTTGCCGCGCCGGCCGTCTGGGACCGACGTCATGGTCTCTCTCTTTACATCATTCACATCATCGGACATCCCTCCGCCATCCAGCCGTCAGAGGCCAAGCGGGCGCCCGACCCCTGGCTCAACCCAGCAGGGGTTTCCACCAACAGCGTGGAGCTCATCGGATATGTTCCAACGCCTCGTTTCTTTTTCAGAGGCCTTGAGGGACCAACGGCCTTATTACTGATCCGGTCGCAGGCGCGCAACTTCACAAGTGGAGATCAGTGGCGCATTCTCTTTGCGCCCAACACCTCAGGGGCCCTCGCGCCGCTGTATTTCTTTGCTGGCAAGTCGCCGAAGACGCAGCGACGTGAGCTACAGGCAAAACGATTGGCTCGCGGCTTGGTTGGCAACTATGGGCAACCTCCCTTCCGAAAAGTTGAAGATGAACGCATCAATTCCTGCTGCTCAGTACTGCTGGTGGTTCTCGAGGTTGGCGCACATGCCAACGCGCCCAGTCAGCCTCGGTGGGGCCACGTGGCGGCGCAGCGCATGGGCATCGACAAAGCTGTCATCAACGACGAGTTCCAGCGGCTATCTTTTGCCACAGACACTTCGGGGTGGTTTATTAAACGCGCGCTGGATCCCATGGCCCTACCCGCCTTCGCCCCGCGGTGGCCACATGGTATCTTGGAGCGCAAGGGGCCCATGCTGCTACAAGAGCAGGAAGCGGCGCGGCAAGGTGTCTCGGGGTCTTTGGGATGTTTCGGGGCCCTCTTGGAGGCCTCTTGGGCCGTCCCGGGGCAATTTCGAGGGCCTCTTCGGCTGTCTTGGAGCGGTGGGAAGCGGAGGGGGGCGAGAGCGCCCGCTTTTTTACAGCACTGAAGACAATTTCAGAAGTTTTGCTGCTCCGGGCCTTTCGGGGGTGCTCCTGGAGGCCTGTTGGAGCGTTTTAGATGTCTCCTGGGCAGCCTGGACAGCGCGGGCCTGTTTGAGGCCGATCTTTTCTTTTGGCGCTTGGAGGCCCTCTTGGAACATCTCGGAGATTTTTCTTGCCGCGAATTGCTTGTCTTGGCATTACCTGCGGCCCCGGGGCCCCTGGGAGGGGGGGCGCTTCGGGCCCGCGCCCCCCCCGAATGGAGAGACGCACCCGGCCCGGCCCCCCCTCCCAACGGGGGAGGGGTCCACGGGCAAGGGCCCCCCCTCGATTCGATGGCGACATTGCTAAAAAAGAAAAATCGCCGACAGGCTCGAGGAGGAGGGCGCAGGGAAAGGGGGCGGCGCAGACGACGACCGACGGAGACGACGACTCGAGCACACAGACCCTCCGCGCGCGCCGACGGGGGCGGCGGAGCATTCAGAACCCGCGCCAAGCGGCCGCATTCGAACAAGTGGCCCTTGGTCGGGCGGCCACGCTTCAGGTCGCGCGCTCGCCCACAGCGACCAGCACAGTCGTCGCGAACGCCCGCGATTAGAGAAAAAAGGGAACAACGCCGCGGGCAACGACGAGGCCAGCATCAGCAGCAAATGGCAACGTTGGGTAACGTGGAGCAGTTCATAGTCACGTTGGAAGGGCTTTCGTTGCGATGGGTGGTTCGAACGTTCTCGAAGGCATCCCTCTGTTCCGCTGCCGTCCACTTCTTGATCGGGTGCGCCATTGCATGCAGTGCGCGCATCAGCGATGCGATGAATTTCGGCGGCCGTTTTTTTTCTCACGTGGCCCAAGTGATTCGCCCTGAGACCCCCGCCCTACCTTCAGCAGACAGCATTGCGCGGCAACGGCCATGCATCGGACCTCTCACAGCGCGCCCGCCCACTTCTTGATCCAATTCCGGCATCCATCATTCCGTCGCTCCTGATCCAGCTGAAGTGTCTCAGTCTCGATTGACCGACCAAACTATCGCCCGCGTCTTTTTCTGCAGGAAGGTCGCTGCCGCGGGGGGGGGGGGGTCGCATCGCACCCCGGAGGTTGTCTTCGCCGACGAGAGGTACAGTGTCATATCGAACGGGTCAGTCTCAGTTCGAGAGCGCGACATATTCCGCGCGCGACGAAGCCGGGGCACATGGTAACAAACAAAACTGATCCAAGCGGCTCGGCAGACAAGGGGTGGATCACAACGGCTTCCTTGCCGTTTCAATGACAAGAGGGCAAGCGGCGGGAGCAACATCGCGCGTCGTAGTACTGTTCGCGGGGCTTGAGGGCAGGATCTACGTCGGGCGGCGCTGCCCATGGCGACGACAGAGGGCAACCAAAAGGTCCTGATGCTCGACGGCGCATCCGTGGCACCCCTACAGCGCGAAACCGTTCGCCTGCTGCTTTTCCGCTCCGCTCCGCGCGAGCAGCGCAAACCGTGCAGGGAGGTGGGGACCATGCCGCAGCTGAAAGCAATTTTTGTCAGCGTCGTTCCGCCCGCCGTCGGACTCCCCGCGCCAGTCGCAAGACTGGTGTCTTTTCGTTTTCGGGCCACAGTTTCGCCTGTGATTAGTCGGCGCTGCTCAAGGTGCCGGCCATTATGCGGCCATGCTCCGCTCTCAAGATTGCTGACTGGCGTGGTGAGCCAGACCATCGGCGAGAAGCGGCGGCGCAGACGCTCCCCGCGGCCTCGTGGATCCGAGGAGAATTGGGCGTTCCCTGCTGCGCAGCAGCAGCAGCAGGGCGTTGCGCGGAGTTTTGCCGTTCTTGCGCAGGCGTCACCGGCGCGCGGCATACCCCTACAGACCTTGCGGGAGGCCCAAACTACAGAGGGCGCTCACCACACTCCCGCGCGTTAACCTTTATTTTATCCCAGCGAATTTGGTAGCACGAATTCCAAGCGTCTCCGCGCTCTCAGGTTTCTGTCTTCGGAGGTCGGGATGGTGGGTGAGCGGCGGGGGGCGCGTCTGACGACCATGAAGAAATTGAAGCCCGGTTGGCAGTGGTCGATCCTGGAGATCCTTGCTGGGGGATGGACGGACGGCGGGCCGTCGCATGCACGCGGTGCGGGATAGTAGACTGCCTTCTCCGCCGCGCGCAGCCTGATTCTTTGCCATCACTACTTCACGTGTCTTGCGCTGCGTTCCCACTTTCTCCTTCTCCAATCCACGTTTTTTTTCGTTCGGCATCAGAGCCGATGGTGATTACAAGTGTGCGAGCTGTCCTTTCTCGCGTGCAGGCGCGTTGCGTTTGCCCGCGTTCGTTTTCCACACCTACCATTCGGCGAAGGCTGCGGGGACTCGTGTGGGCCAGCTGACGCATGACCAACAGCGAGCCGCGGTCACCGCAAACCTGCACGCCACTGACACTTCAGCGGCAGACTGTGCAGCGAACGGGCCCACCTCAGCTACTTTCGATCCTCTTCCTCCTCCTGTTCCTCTCCTCACCAAGCCTCCGCCGCCTGATTGACAGGTCGGAGACCTCGTTCCCCCGCGGTCGTTTTTCGCGTGAGTGACAGACGCACGCCGCTCCGTCACTCACTCCTTCCTTCCGTCCCAAAACCTTAAGGGGCCCACCAGAAACCGTTAGGATGATGTCCCTTCCTGCCTCCATCCATCCTTATCCTCCGTCCTGTCCCCCCCCCCCGCCCAGTCTTCAGCTTCAGAGCTGCCGCCGAGGGCGCTTCCGAGGGGTTTGGGGAGCTCGCACTGCTTGTGCACAGCCCACTCCGCATAGCAAGGATGAACGGTGTTCCAAGATTTCCCTCGCACCCTCCCTTTGCGGCCCATCCTTGGCCTTTTTCGCTGGCCGCGCCCCGTTCGAAAGGTGTCGACATGGCCTTCCAAGGCCTTTGCATCATACCGCGCACCCTTATTATGCGGTTTGACTGTAGCAGGCTGCTGTGTTGGGACCGGCGTCTCGGCAGCCCAGGTGTGGCGCCGTCGGCATGTCTCCTGCGTCGTTGCTCAACTCCCTTGTGGACGCCCGTTCCAGTTCCCAGGCAAGGCCAGAGATGTCAAGGAGGAAGGAAGGGAGAGAGGAGGAGGAGGAGGAGGAGGAGGAGGAGGAGGAGGAGACTGATAGGGGGGGAATGAGGAGACCAGGTTTAGGTCAAAATCGAATATGGGAAAACGAGGTGTCCTGAGAGGGGACGCGCCCAGGCAATGTTTCACTAGCAGAGATTGTGATAGGTGGTGCGATCAGCCTCTTGGACGTCACCTTTTTCCAGCGCGGAGAGTGCCGCTTCAGTGCAGTACTATGAGCAGTAAAGCAAGTTGACGACGTCGCAAGTAGCGACAGACCCGATGTCCAGAACTTGAGGCATCGTAGCTTGTGTGGATGAAGGCCGTCACGTCGGGGATCCAGAGTGCAAGCATGTTGCATGGAAGGATTTGGGCGGCAGGACTGGCGCAGGCAAACGTCAGGCGAGATGAGAGGCAGAGTGAATCGCGTTGAGCTTGCTGTGACGCTCCCGTGTGGCGACACGTGGTGGATGGCTGGCCAGAGGGAGGGAGGCCGCTGGTGTACCCCCCGGGAGCCGACCCCGATGCCTGGGGCTCAGCGCGTCTTCGTGGGCCCCGCTGTGCGTTGCGATGATGCGCAGCCGCGAGTTCGGAGTCTGAATTGTAGACGTTGGATCTCCAGCATTTTACACTGCGGGCGCGCCTCCAGCACGTCGGAGCCAGGCGGTGTCGCCGTCGTCGGTGCTGCTGTCGTTACTGCCGCCGCCGTTGTCGCCGTCGCCGTCGTCGTCGTCGTCGCCGTCGTCGTTATTTCCCGCTGTTTTCGTCCTTGTCAGCGTCAGCCTCGGCCTCAGCGTCGTCGTCGCGGTCAGCGCCGGCGCCACCGCCGCCGCCGGCAGCGGCGGGGCCACGCCGACGGTCTCTTCGGCAGGCCACGTGCTGCCCCTCTCTTTCGGCCGGCGGGGGCCGCCCTCTTTGATCTTGGAGGGATCGCGGGGGGCGGGGATGTCACCACCCACCAAGCCACCCCAGCCCCAACCCGGAGGCTCAGATTTACCCTCGATTTCCAGTGGGGTGGGGGGTCGGGGAACATCGAGAAAGCACGTGTGGAACCCTGGCCCCCCCCGCCCCGAAGTTCGGGTCTTCGGGTTCGGTTGGGGTGGTCTGGTGGGTAGTCAGGATGGGGGGAGGGGAGGGGGGAAGCGAGCCGGCGGGGGAGCAGGGACGTTACCTAAGGCAGCCCAAGCATGGATCAGCGACGGGCCCCGCTTCCATGAGGGAAGCAGGGAATGACATGCACGTAGAAACTCAGAGTTCCGCGCGGGTTTCTTGGATCGGTGCTGGGGCCCCCTTTCGTTGCCTCGGGCGCCGCGAGTGACGCGCTCCGCGCGCCAGGGAGGGGGGCCAAGCGCAGATCCAAGAAACCCGCGCGGACTGCCGAGTTCTTATGCTTCTGTCATCGTTTGTTTCCCTATCCACACAGCGTCGACGCGCGCTCCGTCGCAAATTCCAGCGGACCTAGCGGGATGATCCACAGGCCCGTAATCAATCCATGTCGGCGTGTGCCCGAGGGAAGGAGCACAGCGCCCGCATCATGTTTCCCACAGCGCCTCCTCAATCCGTTCCCTCTGCAGACCTCCCTCCTGTCGCACCTCTACTCTGGGTTTCTTAATAGGCGTGGGGGGTACCCCCCCGACGGGGGTCAACCTCGCCTAGTCGTCGCGCCGCGACGGGGGTCGGAGCGCCTTCGGCGCGCGAAGGCTGCCCGCCACGGGGATCGATGCGGGGCTGCCGGCGGAGGCGGCGTCCCCCCGACGCTTATTAAGAGACTCGGAATAGGCGTGTCGTGCAGGCGGGCCGGGCGCTTCGCTTGAGACCTCCTCAGCTCGAGGCTCCCAGAGGCCGGATGGAGGGCGGTCCCTTGTCTTGCGGAGGTCTTGCACTGCCGCCGCACACACTCGTCATAGGAGCACCACCAGCTACGCGGGTTGAGGCCAGTCCCTTTTTCAAGTCTGAGGGCCGCGAGCACTCGTCGGTCAACAAAGCCACAGCCACAGCTGCACGGACGGGGTTGAGGGCAGGCCCTTTCTCAGGTCTGAGGACCGCGAGCACTCGTCGGTCAACAGAACCACAGCTGCACGGACGGGGGCGCCACCTTCTTTCAGCACGGAGTCGTCGCATTGGCTTTCCGCGCGCACGCGTCGCAGACGGTCCAGCAGCTCCAAAGGTGCAGGAGGGCTCTTTCTCGAAATGGGGCTTCCTCCCGAGGCTTCCTTCATGCTTATGACCCAGGTCTTACAATCAAGCAGTGGCGAAGCGTCCTGGCTCGCCTATAGCCTATAGCCCTACCAAACAATGTTCTCATAACCTTTTGTGGTTTCCACGACATGTTCTTAGAACATGTCTGGCGGAATCCGTCTTGTTTTATCACATCGGGTTGATGTTATAAGAACATTGTTCTTGTTCTCAAAACATCTTTGGGTTCTAAGAACCTGTCGTGGTAGGACTATAGGAGTGCCGGGACGGTCGGTCCCTGCTCAATACACTGGGCAATGGGTACACGGATGAAGGGCGGCTTCTGTGGAAATTGGGTTCGCACCTGAGAACATCCTAACAGCGATCACCCGAAGCAAGGTTTGCACGGCTGGGGAGCAGATTTGTTTCGACATGGGGCTCTCGGCGGACACTTCCTAGGTCTTTCGTGATCATACCCACTGCGTGTCCGGTAGCTAGAATTAGGTCAGGCACCTACCTCTACAGGAGGAGTCTTCAAAAGTAGTTTAAAAGTAGTATGGGGACGATTTTCTACTATTTGTGACCATGTTTGAACATGTTTGAGGATTCGTTTTATTTAATCGCTTCGCTCATTCCGCCGGCCCACATTGTATCGCTGGTGCTATATGTTTGTGTGTTCGTGGCGAGCGAGAAGAAGTTGGAGGAGGGGGAGGAGGAGGAGGATGAAGAGGGGAGGATGAGGACGAGGAGGCGGTCTCTCGATGGCTTCTTGGAGTATTTTTTGGGCCAACCCTGGTCGTGGACAAGACGCCTCTTTGGGAGGCTTCGTGGGGTCTCTTGGGAGGCCTCTCGGGGGCCTGTTGGAGGTGTTTTTGGGGCCTCCTGGGGCCTCTTGGGGGCCTCTTGGGGCCTCCTGGGGGCCTCTTCGGGCAAAGATGTCGAAATGCCCGTTCGGGTCCCCCGTCTGTGCCCTCTCTTGGAGCCGTCTTGGGGGTGTATTGGGCCGTCTTGGAGGCCTCTTGGGCAGTCTTGGGGCCATCTTGGGCCGTTTGGGGGCCCTCTTGGAGACCTCTCGGGCCGTCTTGGGGCGGTCTTGGGGGCCTCTTGGGGCGTCTTGGAGCGTCGGAAGCTGAAAATGCGAGAACGCCAAAAACCTTCAAAAACCAATGGAAAATCAACGATTTTTGCTTCTTGGGGCCCTTTTTGGAGGCCTCTTAGATGCTTCTTGGGCCATCTTGGAGGCCTCTTGGGCCGTCTGGAGGCCATCTTGGGCGTCGTGGAGCGATCTTCGGGCGTCTGGGGCCCCTCTTGGACCATGTTTGGGGCCTCTTGGGGCCCTCTTGGGGCGACCTGGAGCCCTCTTGGGCTCCGAAACAGAATTCCGGCATCTCTGACCCCTAGTCTGCCGGGGATCTGCCGGGGATCGCCCGGGGTACTTTTCGCTCGGGGACCCCCATGGGCCGCACTGCGCGCGCGAACTAGAAATACTGTTTACCTGTTACCGGAGATCTTAGCACGCCCTGGCCCGTTGGGCCGGCGAATTTTTAATCGAAAATATGCCTGTAGAGGGACATGCCCGATTGAATTCTAGAAGAGGAAGGCTTACGTGCACCTGGTGAGGAGGGAACTTTGGCTGGGAGCGCGAATTGCAGCATGGTCGGCGCATGCATCTTGAGATCTGTTCTGGTCTTCCTCCCCCCCCTCTTCCTCGTGCTTCTCCCCCGCCTTCCCCCTTCTGGAGAAGAAGGTGAGCGGCGGAAGAGGAGGAGGAGGAGGAGGAGGAGGAGAATGAAGGAGAATGAAGGAGATGGACGGTGACGCGGACAGACAGCCCCCCCGTGTAGTCCTGGCTAGCCTCAACAGGCCCCCGAGTACAGTAGGGGGGCCCGTGTCAAGAATCACCCTGCTTGCCTCCAGGGTGCCCTGGGTTTCTTGGGTTTTGCTATGGAAGGCGCGACGCTCCCGCACCAGAACTCAATGGACGCCCTGGGATCTCAGCGCCGGGTTTCTGGTGGAAGGTTTCTTGTGGACTGGCCCCCCGAGTGGTCCCAGCTGGCCTCGCCAGGCCCCCCGCGTGGCCCAGGGCGGTCTCAACACCCCAGCAGCGTTCGGGCGCGGCGCGCCGCCCCAGGGGCGCCGGCCGGAGGCGGCGCCAGGCCGTCGAGACCGCCCTGGGCCTGCTCGGGCAGCCTGTTTCGATGGTCCACAGATGGGGTCCTGAGGGATGGGGGCCTAAGGCTAAGGGCAGAAAGGGATCGAAGGGTGGATTTGCGTTGTCTGAGGCACCTCGTCATCAGGACCCCATCCTTCAGGACCCCGTCTCTGAGCCACCGACTGCGGAGGCCAGCTGGGGGTGCTCTGGGGGCCAGTGGAGCGCCCAAGGTAGACGGGTTCGTCTCTACCGACATGTGCGCGCGAGCTCCCCGCACGGTTCAGGTCGCGCGGCAAGCGCCCTCGTCTCCACTGACGTGGCGGGCCGCGCGGGCGGCCCGCGTGAGCCGCCGCTTGAGGTCGCGACGTCGTCTTGCGTGAGGCCCGTTCTGGCTCGTCGCTCCATGGAGGCCAGGGTCGAGGCCAGCGGTCTGCGCGCCCCCCAGAGCCTTCCCCGAGGAGGAGGAGGAGGAGGAGGAGGAGGAGGAGGAGGAGGAGGAGGAGGAGGAGGAGGAGGAGGAGGGAGGAGGAGGAGGAGGAGGAGGAGGAGGAGGAGGAGGAGAAGGAGGGGGGAGGGAGGGGGAGGAGTAGGAGGAGGAGGAGGAGGAGGAGGAGGAGGAGGAGGAGGAGGAGAGGAGGAAGAGGAGGACGAGGAGGAGGAGGAGGAGGAGGAGGAGGAGGGAGGAGGAGGAGGAGGAGGAGGAGGAGGAGGAGGAGGGAGGAGGAGGAGGAGGGAGGAGGAGGAGGGCTCCTGGCAGGCGGCGGAGGACGAGGACGACGACCGCGCCGTGCGCCGCCGCGCTCGCCGAGAGCCTGGCGCCCCGAGACCACGACGAGGTCTGCCTCCGCCCGACGACCGCGCCGCCGCCGAGGTCTGCCTGGCGCCCGCCGAGACCCCCAAGACCAACGAGGACGTCTGGCTCGGCGACAAGTGCCCCGAGAGGAACGGCCTCCTGGCGCGCGCCCCCCGCCCCCCCCCCCTTGCGCTGCCCTCGTCGCGCCCTCAGGAGGAGGAGGAGGAGGAGGAGGAGGAGGAGGAGGAGGAGGAGGAGGAGGAGGAGGAGGAGTGCGTGGCAAAAGTGGGGGCGGGGGGGACTGGCCGGGAGGGGGACTTCGGGGGGGAGGGGAGGCGGAGGAGGAGCAGGAGCAGCATGGTGGAGTGAAGGTCCTCCGCCCTCGAGGCCAGTCTTCAGCCGTCCCAGGGCCGTGCCGGGCCAGTCTCGGGCCATGTTTGGGAGGCCGTCTCGGAGTTTCAGTCAACACGTTTAGTGAGGACGCGCGCCTTCATCTAGGGTACCCTGGTGTCCTTGCCTCTGCGGCCCGTCCTTTGCCGTCTTCACTGGTCTCCCGCCGCCCAAAAAATCCAGACTTCGGACTGCAAGGGTCTATACACGTTTTGACTGTATCTTGGGTTTAGTTTTGGGGGGGGCCTTTGGGCTGGGGCCCTCCGCCGAATGGCAGCCGCGGTGCTGCAGCAGGACTGAAGGAACAGAGGGGCCTGGCCTGGCCACGGCGGGCCCCCCGCCCTCAGCAGGATGCGCACGGCCAGGGTCTCGGGAGCGGCGCCCTCCCTCCTCCCTCCTCCCTCCTCCCTCCTCCCTCCTCCCTCCTCCCTCCTCCGCCTCCTCCCTCCTCCTCCTCCTCCGCCTCCTCCTCCTCCGCCTCCTCCTCCTCCTCCTCCTCCGGGCGGTCCTCACAGTGGAGACCCCTGCCGAGAAGCACCCTGCTCGCCTCCACGGGGGCCCCGGGTCTCGTGGGTGCCGAGGCGGTGTTGCGACGGAGAGCGCGCGAAGTCCCCGCGCCGAGCATCCGTGGACGTCCCGGGGTCTCAGGGTCGGGCTGCGATGTTCCAGCCCTTTGTGGGCCCTGGAAACGGCAGGGTTTTTTTTTCACCGACTCCAGAACATTGTCCCTTCAATGGAAACCGCAAAAAAACGACGACCGGAAGCGGTAAAACAACGGCCCCAGTATTGGAACCAGAGCCGGAACCGGTCAAACAACGGCGACGGAACCGGTAAAAAAACGCCGTCGGAACCGGCAAAAAAACGGCAAAAGGGATCCAGTAAAAAAACGGCCCTGCCGTTTCCAGGGCCCACTAAGTTCCAGCCCCATTTAGCCTTGACCACCAGAAACAGTTTCGAGCACCAAGAGAGTACCGACACTTGAAGGTTTTCACGTGTCCGGTCCCTGGGAGGCGATACTCGTTCGACATTGTTTCGACACTTTTCTGTGTGCTCGAAATTATTTCTGGGATTTGCTCCTGTAGTACGATGGGAGCAACAGAAGGGTCGGGCTTCTTGCGGAAGGTCTCCTGTGGGCTGGCCTCCACTGTGTGTCGGCCTGTTGCCAGAGGTCACATGGGCTGGCAAGGCCTCACAACCTCAGGGCGCCTGCGGCCAGGACGCTGCAGACGTGGGCTTAAGTCGGGCACGCCCCTCTACAGGAGGAAAATTCAAAAAATAGTTTAAAACATCAGGGGACGATTTTCCATTATTTTTGACTATTAGGGAGTATGTTTTGCCTCTTATTAGTGTTCGTCCAAAATCCGCCTGTAGGGGGACATGCCTGACCTAAACTTGGGCTTTGAGAAAAGCCCGCTGGGGAGAGAGCGAAGAACGGAGGATTGGTTGAGCCTACGGTTGCAGCTTGCTTTCTGGGCGCGCCGATGCGGTCTCCGTCTACAGTCGAGCTTGATTACTACGTCGACCCCACCCAAGCAAGGGTACCCTTGTGTCCTGTGCTTTGCGATCCATGCCTTCTGCTTTCCACTGGCAGTGTGGCCATTGGAAGAGTCCAGTGTCTTCTCGCTCGTCCTCTCCACTCCACCCTGACTGTACGGGGCCCTGAGCTTCAGTCCAGAATCTGCCGGTGTCACAGGCGCCTGCTGGACTGCTCCTTCCCTAGGGGAGGTCTCTCGGGGCCTGTCGGGATCCTGTGCGCGGTCGTCGGTTGCACGTTGCGCTGCGTGGCGTGTTATAACGTTTACAGTCAGCCCGCATGGTAGGGATGGCCAGCCTTCCCAAGGGTTTCCTTGCATCCTTGCCTTCTCGGTCCATCCTTGGCCACTTTCGTTGGCCGCGCCCCGCTCGAAATGCTTCGAAATGGCGTTCCAAGGCCCTTGCATCCTCATCGTGCATCCTGATGATACGGGCCGACTGTATGGGCTGTCTCGACCGTGCCTGGGTTGCGGGCCATAGGCCTCTAGTATCTAGTATGGTCGCTGGGATGTCGTGGGAGCCCTCCCCAGGGCCTCTTCGGGGCCGTTTGAAAGCATTTGGGAGGCCGTGTTGGGGCACTTCGAGGTGTCTTGGGGGCCTCTTGGGACTTGGGGGTCATCTTGGGACCTCGTCGGGCCTTGTGTGGCGGATGAGTCGGATTTTCGGTTCGCGTTCTCCCTCTTAGGGGCACTTTCGAGGCCGTCTGTGGGCCTTCTTGGGACAGCTTGGGCCCTTTGGGGGGCCGTGTTGGGGCCCTCTCGGGGCCCTCTTGGGAGCCTCTCGGGGCGGTCTTGGGGGTCTCTTGGGCCGTTTTGGGGCGTCGGAAGCTCCAAAGAGCGAAAACCTGACAACATTGAACAACCCAAGGGGCATCCATGATTGTTGCTTCTCGGGGCCCCATGAGGAAGACTCTCAAGGTTCCCTTGGGGTGTCTTGAAGGCTTCCTGGGTCGTCTTGGAACCATGATGGGCCTCTTGGACCGATAGTTCGACGAGGACCGGTTGGGCGGCCTCTTGGGGCCCTGTGGGTCCGTCTTGAGACCCCCTTGGGCCCGAACAGTTTACGCAGCAAGCCGCGCAGGGCCACGGAGGGCACGCGGGGAGCCTCCGAACACTTACGAATCTGTGGTCCGGGGGTCTTTGAAAGAGAGTGAGGACGGCGTCTCCAGGCAAGGGCGTACAAAACGCCCCTACCCTGGTTTACGAGGCGCTGTGCGCTGAACCTCCTGTGGGCTGACAGGGTAAACCCTGCGTGATGTGCGGCGTCCTGGCGGCTCTCTAGGCTTTGGGGGGTCCCAGGAGGTTTACAGACCCACTTACTTGTAACTCAGGGTAGGGTCGTTTTTTCATTCCTTACTCCAGGGGATCGAACCAGGGGCCCGAGGGAACTCCCAGTCGTGCCTCCGGGGCACGGTGGCGGATATGCATAGGGGTGCCCTCCATGCCCTCTGCATGGTTGAAGTTCTCCCAGGGTGCCGCTCTATCGCAGCCTCGTCCTCCCTCCCCTCCTCTTTCTCCTCTTCCTCCTCCTCCTCCTCGTCCTCCCCGAACACTGGTCCGACGTGCATCGTACGACTTGCTCTCGAATGTTCTGCCCCACGGTGCGCGAACTTGCACTGGTGCGCGTCTTGCTTGCAGGTGTTTCCGAGGCGGGGCTTGATCCATAGCTACCGCATGCGAGACCGTTATTCGGGTACCTCGGCAGTGATATGAATGTATTTGCCACCCCCATGGCCTGAACACATCCACAACCACCGCATGCCGAGGTTATCGAAGATCGATCCCTCAGGCGGTGTAATGGATACATCAGTGCTGCACTGGCTTTGCACCCGCGCTTCGCATCTCTGGTCCATGTCTTGCTCGCGGCGCCTCCTGCCTCGCTCACGGACGTGCGCTTCCCGTCACCCCCAACGCCCAGTGGCCGCAGGCCGTCAAGGAATTGTACAAGAAGCCCATCCAGCCTCGAGGCTCGACCGTGCTGTCGAAGCAGGACAGCACCAGCGGCGCCCGCGCGACGCGGGTCTGGGCCAGGCTGGCGCCAGGGGAGGACGCCCAGAGCCCGCAGGCCGTCACAGAGCTGCGCAGGACGCCTATCCAACCTCGAGGCTCGACCGTGCGGTCGAAACGGGACAGCACCAGCGGCGCAGGAGGAGGAGGAGAGGAGGAGGAACAGGAGGGACGATGCAGGAGGATGAACAGGCGCTTGAGGAAGAGAAGAGGAGGAGGAGGAGGAGGAGGAGGAGGAGGAGGAGGACGAACAGAAAGGCCAGGAGGCCGGATGCACGTTATGCGGCTGGCTCGGGCGAGAGCTGGAGGCACACGTGACCAGCCGTCTTCACATGCCAGGCTTCCGCAGGTGCATCCAGCGCCTGGCCTCCAGGGGTTCCACACTTGATTTCGGCCATGCCTGCTTCAGGCCTCCTGGCTTTGTCGCTTCCCGCCAGAAAGCGCAAGGCGTCGCCGTAGAAGAAAGTAGCTGCATTGTCTGCTCAGGCACGGCGATAATGAGAAGCCGACGTCTTGGGTCTTCTTCCCGCCGCCAATTCCTGAGGTTGCCGATGCATGGGGCACCCTCAGACATGTTTTGCCGGCGCCAGGGGTTGCTCTGCTTCTATCGCTGCGAAGGTGTAGTTTTTACACGTGGCGCGAGTCTGTCCCAACGATTCTGGGTCGTGTGTTGCTGACGAGCTATTCCGAGTCGCTTGCCTCCGCCCCTCCCATCCTGCGGCCAGCTGTGCCTACACAGCTCTAGGAGCACTACGAAGGCCTAACGGCCAGTGCGGCCGACCCTTACGGACGACGACGCCGGCGGCGGCGGCGACGACGACGACGCTGACGTGGGTCAGAGTCCTCAGAGATGCTTCATGGGGTTTCTTCGGAACGCTCTGGGTGGCCTTCTGGGGGGCAGGCTTGGGGCCTTTCGGGAGCCACTCGGGGGCGTCATGGGGGCCGTCTTAGGGGGCCGCTTGGGCCATCTCGGGGCGATCTTGGGGGCATCTTGGGCCGTCCTGGAGCGTCGGGGAGCCGAAAAGGCGAGAAAGCCAAAGTCAATGAAAAATTCAAGTGGAGAACAATGAAGTTTTCCTACGTGGGACCCTCGCGGGAGCGTTCTTGGAGGTCTCTCGGGGCGCCTTGGCGGCCTCCTGGGCTGCTTGGATGCGATCCTGGGCGTCGTGGACCGGTCGTTCGGCGATTCGGGGCCCTCTTGGACCGTCCTGGCCGTCTATTGGAGCATCTCTGGACCGCCTGGGCGCTTCTTGGCGTTCTGTGACCCCCACGGGGGGATGGTGTTCTGACCTGGGACCCCCCCTGCCCCGCTCGGGGACCACACCGCTCGGGGACCACCCCGCCTGGGGGCCCCCGCCGGGGACCCCGCCCCGGCAGCCGGGACTCCCCCGCGGGGCGGGTCCACCCCTTTTCTGGTAGGGCAGGGATCATCGGGGGCTCCCAGACGGGGTGGTGACCACACCGTGCGGTGAGTCGGTTGGGATTCGGGGTCACCGCACGGTTTTGGGACTCGGGTCGTTCTCCGAGGACGTCTCGGGCGACAGGGGCTTTCGGGGTCCCGCAATCGTGCGGTGACGGACCGCGCGGTGAGGTCTCTTGGGGTTCCGAGGTCACCGCACGGTCTGTCACCGCACCGTTTCGGGACTCCAAAGATCAAATGGAAGGGCTTCCCTTCGAGTTAGGTACGACGTTCTTCAATTTTGTTGTTCTTCAACTTCCTTGGGAATGACGGACGACGACGACAATCACGAGGACGACGGCGACGACGAGGCCGACGGCGACAACGACGACAACTCAAACGGAAAAGCGTTTCGTTCACGCCGAAGTGTCGGCGGATTTCCTGTCTTCCCCTCGTGCGTTTGGCGCATGGCCTGTCCATCGAAGAGCGACAATGGTGGAAGAAGCAGCGGGACCCCGAACAGAGCCACCCACATCTTCATCTCGTCTCTCTGCAGAAGCAGAGGACGACCAGACAACAGCGGACATCATGAAGGGTACCTCTGAGTCTTGTGTGTTCGCAATCCATGCCTTCTAGACCCCCATGGCAACGTATCTCTCGGAAGGGTCTGGTGTGCTCGCACGTGTCCCTCCGTTCAAAGTCGGCGGTAGTGTCTAGGCGGCATTCACCTGGCGTCGAGCCCGGCGCTTCTGCAGCCCGAGGACCGACTCATCTACATTCCGCTCAAGCTGCTGGGCACCTCCACGATCTTCGACCCAGACACCGAGGCGACCGGGGCAGCTTAGGAGGAAAATCCCGGAGGCCTCGCGCGGCGCGAAGTGGTTGTACCCCCTCGCCCACACGTGCGCCCTGTCGGGCGTGGGCAGGCGTTCGTTAGGCGGTGCTGCGGCGTATGTCCGACTCGAATCCGACGTGGACCCGACGTAACTTCGACGTGAACCCGACGTTGGTCCGACGTACATCGGGTCTTAAGTTGCCGCGCGAGGCCTACAGGACCTTCCTCAGAAGAATACCCTCAGAGCCCCGAATCATCAGGGGTAACTCGTGTCAGGGCTAACTCGGGTTCGCTTCTCGGGATTCCGAACCCGAGTTACCCCGGGCCCGAGTTACCCCGGATAACTCGGGCGTCCAGAGCCCCAAATCATCAGGAGTAACTCGGGTCAGGGCTAACTCGGGTTCGTATTTCGGGAATCCAAACCCGCATTACCCCGGACCCGAGTTACCCCGGATAACTCGGGCGCCAAATACCCGAGCGGAAGGGACGTGCCACAGGTTGGAATGGAGTAGCGGGATGCAGGCCAGGGATGCTCTGCGATGTCCAAGCGTCCCCCCCCCCCCTGAATGGGGACAGTACTCTGGGAGGTTGCTGGTCCAGACGTCGGGCTCACTCTCGTGCTCGCTGCACCTCACGGATCCGTTCGCCCCAGGCCCCCCTGGGCGCGAAGCGTCAGCACCGCTGGCGCACTTGCTCCAGGCAAGACCTTGCGGTGGCACATCCTTCGCATTTTCCTTGCTGTGGTACACCTTTCGAATTTTCGAGCATCCCGCACAGTGCCTAGTTTGATCGCTGCGAGGAAACGTGAGTCCATCTTGACTTGCGCAGCACATCATATACAGTCGGGGCCCTGAAGAAGGAACCCTTTTCGTTGGGGAGGGGCTCCGTGTTCCTTGATTGCTTCACAGTTTGCCTTGGGTTTTCCTTTGGTTTTCGATGGGAAATCGAGGTTCAACTTATGGAAAATAGGGGCCTCGTTCCTTATTTCGGGTTCCTTAGGTCAACGCCTCGACTGTACACAGTCGCCAGTGAGCGCCACCGAACAAAAAGCGACCTAACGGGACTCGTGGCCCGATCGGAGCAGGAAGTAGTAAGCAGTATTCCTTCTCATGTTAACCATCCGCCTCTGCTTCCCCTCCTTGTCCTCCTGTGTACCTTATGGGATTTGCTTACAACCATCTTTGTGCACTGGGCTCCTAGCGCGCGAGAACAAGGCCGTGCACGCCAGAGGTGCCCTGGCAAGGGCAAGTATGGGGTGGCTTACCCACAGGTGTTTTGCAAGTGGATCGCGCGGGTAGGACTGGGATTGTCTTACAGATGGCCCGTACAGTGGGGGCGCGCATCAAGAAACCGTCTGCTGTTCGTCAGGGTGTCTTGGGTGTCTTCGTTCCTCGCGTTGCGCGGTGGCTTCCCGCAGGTGTTGGAGGAGCTGCTGCGTCCAGGGTGCTCCAGGGTTCCCCTCAGGTGCACCTCGCGCACGGGTTCTCAGGGTTGGGTTTCTTGCGAGGGTTTCTTGCGGCCGCGCCCGCGCTGTACGCGTTGAGTGTCCCGGGGTTGGTCTGCTGTGCGCATTGGGGGGCCCGGGGCCGGTGGTTGGAGAGGGCAGCATGGCGGCTGCGTTTTTGAAAGTCAGTGTCGGCAGGAGGAGCAGGGGGGTGAAGAGGAAGAACACGGGGATACGTGAGGAGTTGGGAGGAGGAGCAAGAGAAGGAGGTGGAGAAAGAGGAGTACTGCACCAGCAGCCTTGGAATTGACCTGGTGCAGAGGTACCCCCCTCCTCTTGCCCCACTCTCCTCCTCCCCCTGTCGTCCGTTGCGTCGGCCACCGCATTGGTCCGTTTTTCTAGCAGTGTGTGCCTCCAGTTGGCATTGGTTCAGCCCTGGCGATGCACTCTCCAGGGGAAGGTTACTGTCAATCCTTCCCTACTCCTCGCCTTCTGCCCCTCACAGGAGGGGAAACCGGAGGTATGAGGAGGAGGAGGAGGAGGAGGAGGAGGAGGAGGAGGAAGAGGAGGAGGAGCTGGAGGAGGAGGAGGAGATGTCCGCAGACTGGAGGGCATCTTAATGTCAAGAGGATGTGGAGGAGCGAGACGGGTGATGTTGTTGTTGATGTTGTTGGTGTTGATGATGGTGGTGTTGATGGTGGTGGTGACGGTGATGGTGATGGTGATGGTGGTGATGAGGTTGATGTTGATGACACTGATCATATAGATGGTGGTGATGATAACGATGATCAGCTTGCCTGGTGAGACACCATCAGCAGGAGCAGCAGCACTAGCGCCCGCCAGAGCAGCATTCAGAGGGCCATCTGCAAGTGTTGGCAAAAGCGACAGGGTAGAGCATCACTGGGGTGGATGGGTTCGCTGTGCGTGCTGTTGCTCGCTCACGTGTGGCCGAAAGGCTGATGGTTCGGACCACCAGGCCGTCGCCAGACTTCAGGGGGGGGGATGAGGCGTGTGGATAGAGGGCTGGGAGGGGGAGGCGGATGGAGGAGTGACGATTGGAAGGACCAGTAGGAGCGTGATGGCACTGGAAGGAGGAGGAGGAGGAGGAGGGATGAGGGCAGTGGTTCAAACAAGCAGATGCTCCAGGTCGCTACGGGCTAGCCTCTTCGCACTCAGTCCCGCTCTGCTTCCCCCAGCGAGGACGACCTGAGAGACCTCGCCTTCGACTTGGAGCAGACGTCGGAGCGGCGCACGCAACAACCGTACCGAATGGCCCCTGCTGCCAGGAGGAGGTGGAGAAGGAGCGGGAGTTGAGGCGGAGGCGCAGGGACAACCAGGGGGAATAGGAGAAGGAGCGAAGGTGAAGATGATCAAACGGCGGGAGAGTAGGAGGTAGACGGAGCAGGGAGGGTTGAGCTCGATGCTTTGTTTTAAAGTATGAGGGGTAGCAGGAGGGGGGAGGAGGCGGACGAACGGGGTCGTCGGTGTGAGGGGGGAGGGCGACCACGAGGAGGTCTGAGGCGAAGAAGGCGGAGCGTAAGGATGGCGGAAGCCGGAGAGCGGAGGTGGGGTCAGAGAGGAGAAGGCAGGACACGGCACATGCCGAGGGAGACGCGTTGGAGGGGGCAGGGACGAGCGAGGAGGCTGGTGGGAGGACGAGGGGGGTCATGAGATGTGGGGAGGGAGCAGTGACGATGGGCACACACATGTATAAGATAGAGCGGGCTGGTGCGGTCCAATGTGGTGATAAGCGTTGGCACGCCAAGCCGAGTTGGGGTTGATGTGGGTGGCAGTGGCAGTTCTTCTCGGTCAGTTCGCATGTTTTTCACCCGGTGTTCCAGGCGGTCTACGTTTGCGGGGGTGGGGTGGGTGGGCAGACTCGGGAGCGGATTTCTACAGGAAATCTGGCTCCATAGTGCAAACATGCAAAGACGCTCTGGAAGGATAGTGACAAGGTTTCTCTAGCCAGATCTGCCTTCGCGAGCCCAGCGGACTCTTTTCCGATCTTGAACTTCATCCCCAGGCCTCGGAAGCCCGCCGGCGCCGAGACAGAAGTCGTCGAGAACCGCAGGGCTTGGGCTGGTCTGCGCCTCTCGAGGGCGTGCTTGCGACGACGAGTTGCCACTGCGACCTGCCCACAGGCCCCTTGGCCGAGTGCGAGCCCTTCTGGAGCCGTCTTGGAGGGCACCTTGGGCCATCCAGAGCGGATCCGGAGGCCCTCGGGGCCCGGGAGGTGCGCCAGGGGTAAGCCGCCGCCTCCCCGCTGTCGAGGCGCATGCTGGACCCCCGGGGGAGGGAGGGGGGTCAGGGGCAGCGTTGCCCTGCGCAAGCAGTGGCGAAGCGTCCTGGCGTGCCTGTAGCCCTTCCAAACCATGTTCTAAGAACCTGTTTGTGGCTCCCGCGGAGTGTTCCTAGAACTGGCCGGGGCTGTCTTGTTTTATCACATCGGGTTTATCTTCTAAGAGTATGGTTTTTGTTCTTAGAACACTCTTAGGTTCCAGGAACATGGCGTGGTAGGAGTGTAGGAATGCTGGGACGGTCGGTCCCTGCTCAACTTGCATCTTCGGGGGACCTCGCTGGTCCTCAAAGATTGGTGTCTCTTCTTGTGCCCGACGCGGGCTCGATGCGGTCTCGGCGCGGATTTGGCGCGGGCTCGACGCGGATTCGACGCGGATTCGGCACGGATCTGGCGAGTCCGACATGAATTCGACACGGATTCGTCGCGGATAGGGCCGCGACGGGACAAGGTCCCCCGATGATACAAAATAAGCAACGGAAGGGGGTAATTATTATGTGCTCAGGGGGGATGCATCGATCCCCAATCGCCCACTCATCGCCGATACGGTTATTTAATCGCTTCGCTCATTCCGCCGGCCCTCGAGCGCTCTATGGGGTCTCTTTGAAGCCTCTTGGGGGCCTCTTTGGGGCCTCCTAGGGGCCGCTTGGGGGCCTCTTGGGGGTCTGTTGGGGCTCCTTGGCGGCGTATTGAGGCCCCCTTGGGCCTCTTGGGGGGCTCTTGGGGGCCTCTTGGGGCGGGGTAGTCGAGTGCACCCCCCTCGGAGGCCACGATTCTCGTGACGGGTGTCGAAAAAAGTCCCTCAAAAACATCTCTGGGTAGACTTGGTCGGGCTGCGGTCGGGATACTTTTCGCCGGGGGACCCCCAGGGGCCGCCCCGCGCGCGCGAACTATAAATATTGTTAACCAGTTACCGGAGATCTTAGCACGCCTCTGGCCCGTTGGGCCGGCGAGTATAAGTCGGGCCTGTCCCTCTACAGGAGGAATATCCAAAAATGTTGGACAAATATTCTGGGGACGACTTGTCTTGCTACTGGAGGGTATTCTTTTAGCATGCTTGTCCCTCTACCAGGGGAATATCCAAAAATAGTCCAACAACTATTCTGGGGACGATTTGTCTTGCTACTGGAGGGTATTTGTTTTAGCATGTCTGTCGCCAAAAATCCGCCTATGAGGGATCATGCCCAACACATATTCTGGGGACGATTTGTTTTGCTACTTGAGGGTATTTTTTTTAGCATGTCCGTCGCCAAACAAATCCGCCTGTAGGGGGACAGGCCCAACCTGACGGCAGTGCCCGAGCCCACCCCGCCCAGGGCCGTGCGGCTTCGCCACCGGGCGGGGCCCCATTGGCGATGTATCGGTGACCCCAGGGCGACGTTGTTCCGCCGGAGCCCGCGCCCCCCCCCCTAAGGGAACAAAAAGTGGCATTAACATAAAAACTCGGAGGTCCGCGCGGATTTCTCGGATCGGCGTTGGACCCCCCTCCTTGGCGCGCGGAGCGCGCCAGGGGCGGCGCCGGAGGCGCCGCCGGGGGGCCTCAGCGCGGACCCGAGAAATCCGCGCGGACCTCCGAGTTTATATGTTTATGCCACTTTTTGTTCCCCTACCCCCCCCTCCTCAGCCAACCATGAAGTCGGGCCTGTTCCCGTGCAGCAGGAACGTTCAAAAGTAATAAAAGATAGTCAGGGGACGACCTTTCGATTATCGTTTGACTATGTTTCATTACCCTCTGACTATGTTTAAGTGTTTCTCCAGAATCCGCCTGTAGGAGGACACGCCCGACCTAAGCCAACCATTCCGCACGCCTTCTCACCCCTGGCCAGCGGGTGTCGGCGGATTCAGGCCCAGGGCCAGATTCTCTCTTCAGTCACAACCATGGCATGTTTTGAGTCGTGAATTCTACATTGGCGAACAGTGCAACCTGTTTCATGCCGCCACGCTGGCGCACTTGATGTGCAGCAGAGGAGAAGATACCGAAGGCGGCTGCCAAGCTGGACTTCGGCGAGACCAGGACGCATGCTCAGATCAGATTGTGTTGCTCGTTTGGCGACTGTCGTGCTCGGAAGGATGCCTCTATGAATCCGTCTGGGCTGCTGAATCCTTCTTTGCGTAGCGCCACTCTCTTCAGATACTACAAGCCCTTTCGGCCTATGAGGGGAGAGGGGGACGATGTGGTTCACCAGGAAAGCCATGTCTGTGTACTCCTCGTCGTAGAGTCTTGATTGGGGTTTTCCAGGCCATCCATCGCTTCTCATTGCTCGGGGCGCATCTTGACTTCGACATCGACAAGCATAATTACAGTGCCAGGCCGACTTGGAACGGCTAATGCACATGTAGAGCGACGGCAATTCTACTTAGCTTCCCCTCTCCATTGCCCCGTGGTGCCGTCCTGCGCTCTCGTGCATTTCCCCGCCGACTTGCCTCCACGTTGCCGCACCTATTCTCGTTTCATAGCGCCGTTTGCATTCTTCTTCGGTGAGCCTATGTGGCAGGATTGCGTGTAGCTGGTTGGGCACCCCGCATCTTTCTGATATGGACTGGCTCACGGCGCCCCGCTGACCCCACGGGGTCCCTGGATGCGCCTCGCTTCGGGGCGTCTCGGCGTTGTGCGTCCAGGAGGCCCGACACCGTGCTCACAGGGGCCAAGCTGGGCCTCGTGAAATTTTTTGGGGTTCTTAGAGGCCTCGTGTGGGCCTTGGTAGGCTCTCTTGGGAGCATGTTGGGTGTCTCAAGGACCCTGAGCCCCCATGGCCCCTCCGACTTCCCCTTTGGGCTCATCCTGGGGCCCTCATGGAGGTCTCTTGGGCCGTACCTGGAGCCTCTTCGGCCATGCTGGGGCCCTGTTAGGCCGGTTGGAGGTCATTTTGGGAGACGTTTAGGCCGTTTTGGAGCGGTTTGGGGGCTCCTTTGGGCTGTTTGAGACACCCTGGAAATCGAACATGCCAGTATGTCAAACTGTAGGAACACCAGTCGGGAATCCAGCGGTTGTTGCATCTCGGGGGGGGGCCTAGTAGGGGCGTGACGGGCGCCCTGTATGGGCCGAGTTGGGTGGCTTCTCGGGCTTTTCTTGCTCTCTCTCTCTCTCTCTTGTTGCTTTGTTGTTTGATGTGTTTCTCTCTCTCTCTCTCTCTCACACACACACTCCCTCTCTTAGTCAGTCTCTATGGACAGACGCGCACACATATATATATACACACATAAATACATGTGTGTATGTGTACATATGTTTGTGCGTGTCTCTCGCATCATCTCTGTATGCATGCTCTCTCTCTCTCTCTCTCCCTCCTTCTCCCTGTATATATATATATGGAGGCATAAGCATATCTAGGTATACATGTGTATGCACGTGCGCGCCCAAGCTCATACGACAACTCTTGCGCGATGTGTGCAACGTGTTATGTTTGTGCGTGGTGTGTTGTGTCTTATGTGTGTGTGTGTTCATTTTGTGTTGTGTGAGTTATGTGTGGGTTCGGTGTGTATTGGTGCGTCATGTGTGTTAGATATGTGTGTGTGCGTGTTATATTGTGTTGCGTGTGTGAGTGCGTTGTGTGTTGCGTGTTCTGTGTGTAACGTGTGTGTGTGTGTGTCGTGTGTGAGTGTGTTTGTGCTCTGTGGATTGTTTCATCGTGTGTATGTGCTGTAGGTGTGTGTTCTCCGTGTGTGGTGCGTGTCTGTGGTGACGTGTGTTTTCGTTGCGTGCGTGTGGTGCGTGTCTGTGTTTTCTGCGTGTTCTGTCTGTGCGTGTTGTACGTTGGGGCTTGGTTTCGGATGCATGTCTCAGGCGAAGCCGTCATTTTTAAGGATCGTGCGACGCATGCGTTAAGCTGTTGTATGTTGTTGTTTTGTGCCATTGGGAAGTTGCTGACACAGGCTGCGTTATCGGACCGTGAGGGAAGCGTCCGAAGCTCATAAGTTAGAGGATGCCCCGAGCGAACCGGCCAGACAAAAATAGCATGCGGCGACACAACCGCCTCTGAGCGTTAGTCCCTCGAAGAGGTGCGTATGCGACTATATGTATACATCTCTCGCCCTCTCTCTCTCTCTCGCCTTTTTATTCGTCTCTCTCTCTCTCTCTCTCTTAATGTATACATATATATAGTTTATGTGCTTGATTTGCTTCCAATCTCCTCATATCTTTATTTAATCGCTTCGCTCATTCCGCCGGCCCATATTGTCGCACCGTTGTGGGCTAGCCGAGTTTTGGGGGCCGTTTTGGGGCCTCTTGGGGCCTCTTTTGGGCCTCTTGGGCGCCTCTTGGGGCGTCTTGGGGGCCTCTTGGGGGCCTCTTGGGGCCTTTTTGGGGCCTCCTGGGCGCCTTCTGGGGCGGAGGGCTCGATTTTTCAGTTCTCGGTTCCCCTCTTGAGCCCCTCTTGGGCCCGTCTTGGGGCCTCTTGGTCCGTCTTGGGCGGCACTTGGGCCGTCTTGGGGGCCCTCCTGGGCCGTTCCGGGGCCGTCTTGGGAGCCTCGTGGGCCGTCTTGGAGCGGTCTTGGGGGCCTCTTGGGCCGTCTTGGAGCGTCCGGAAGCCGAAAAAGCCAGAACACAAAAAACATCGAAAAAACCAATGAAAATCAACGATTTTGGCCTCTTGGGGCTCTCTTCGGAGGCCTCTTGGAAGGCTCTTGGGGCGTCTTGGAGGCCTCTTGGGCTGTCTTGGGGGCCTTTTGGGCCGTCTTGGGGTCATCTTCGGCGTCTTCGAGCGCTCTTTGGGCGTCTCGGGGGCCTCTTGGGCAGTCTTGGGGGCCTCTTGGGGCACTCTTGGCGCGCTCAGGGCGGCCTGAGAGGCCGCACCCAGAAGGAAAACCATCTCTGAGTTGAACCGGGCGGGACCTGGTCAGCCGGCGGGCGGGGTACTTTTCGCCGGGGGACCCCCAGGGGCCGCCCCGCGCGCGCGAACTAGTACAATACAATTGTTAACCAGTTACCGGAGATCTTAGCACGCCTCTGGCCCGTTGGGCCGGCGAATTTGTACGAAAACCATCAGCGTGTGTTTCTGCATCCCTGTATCCAGGTGATGTTGAGTTCAGATGGTTCCCACGTCCCGCCACTTCTGCAAGTTGTCCCATGAAGTGGTCATTAAACGTAACATTAGCACGGGAGCACGTAGAGATAATCAGGCCGACATACGTTCGCAGTCAGAAATCTGCGATGCTTGTAGCGTGTGGGTTAAACCACTCGTTAATATTGCGGATGTATGCTCAACGAGCAGGATGTATTACGATAGATGCGTCAACCAGCTGAACAAGTTCTACGCAAAGGCGCCAATTGTCGCCGGCCGCTGGTCGATATCTGCCAGCGGGTACTGTTTTCCCCGTTGCCCGGTGGTTATTCCTGTGTTGCGCTGCTGGGCAGCCCAGCTCGCACCGATCAAGCCCTCCTGGTGAGATTGCTCGAGGGCTGGGCGGGAGGGAGGATTGGGCTTCTGCTGCAGCCCTTGCTCGGCCCCCGCTGGCGCCCCGAGCCCGCCCATCGAAGAGCGGCGCGCTGCTCCACGAGCGCAGGGGAGGGGAGGAGCCCCGCGGCGGAGGACGCGGCGACGGCGCGATCGACGGGCGAGCGACGGACGACGGACGAGGACGACGGAGGGCGCGAGGGGAGGGGGGGGGGGGGCGCGAGGGGGGGGGCCAGAGGGCCAGGGGGGGGGGGGGCCCAGGGCCCGCGCCCAGCCCAGGGGGCCTCCGTCCCAGCAGGCTGCGGCGGCGCCGCGGCCCGGCGGCCCCGCGCGTGGCAGAGCCGGCGGTGCTGGGGGGGGGGGGGGGCGGCAAGAGGGGCACGCGGGGCACGGCGCAGACGCGGCAGCCCGCAGCTGCGGGGAAGAGGGAGGGGGCCTCCTCCTCCTCCTCCTCCTCCTCCTCCTCCTCCTCCTCCTCCTCCTCCTCCTCCGCCTCCGCCTCCTCCTCCTCCTCTTCTTCTTCTGGGTCGCCGGTGGGGCGCGGGTGATCGCGGGGCGGGTCGCGGGGTCGTTCGCGGGTGGGTCGCGGGGGGGGCGACAACGACGACAATCAACCGACCAACCAACCAACCAACCAACCAAGCAAGCAAGCAACCAACCAACCAACCAGCCAGCTAGCAGCAAGAATAATCCTCACCGCAGAGACCCACTTCAGGCACGCATCCAGGGATGGTGTAAGACCGTTCGGCCCCCTCACTCTGCTATCTGATGAACCGCCCCCCGAACAGGAAGCTTGTTTCACCGTGTCCCTGCATGAGCAGACCTCCGCATTCCACCACGAATTGGCCAAGGCGTGTATACATCGCCTCCCTTTCTGGGCCCTTTGTCAGGCAAGGGAGAGCCTCGAGAGGGCGTCGGCGAAACATATGTTTTATTCTAAGCATCGGAAAACGTCATCGGTCGTGCCAACAAAAGTTTTGAATCCGCGAAAGAGCGTTCTCTGCCGATCCTGGCAGGGGCGGAGGGGGAGTCTGGATCTCCTCCCCCGAGGAAAACTATTTGGGTGGTCTAGACCCCCGTCCCTAAGCAAAAATATGCGTAAGGGTCCCGAGACCCCCCCCTGGGAAAATCGAGTCCAGAACCCCCACCCTTCGGCGACGACGACGAGGACGACCACGACGACGACGACGTCCCATGACGCACGACGACCACGACCTCGCCGATGACGCCGACTACGACGACGAAGACGACGACCAGGATTCCTACGAGATCGTCCACGACGACGACGAAGACTATGACGACGACAACGACGACGCCGAGGACCCCGACGACGACGTGGACGACGATGACGACCGAGCCTTTGTGGGGCGCGATTCAAGCTGGATTGAGCCCTGGTAGGATTCTATCACAACTGGACCAATTTCTATGAGAATTTTGTTGGAGCTGAATCCAGCCCGATTGATTTTTTCAGTGGGATCGAGCCCTAGGAGGATTCGACCAGAGCTGAGTCCAACTCTACACAGATGTTGCATGCATGGTCGATCGGGCTTAGCAATTCCATCAGATCTGAATCCAGCCCTGATACGGATTACTAGAGATGGACCCACCCGTAGCAGGATTTTATGAGCGTTGGGTCGATTTTTGGTCGGATTCTGTTAGAGCTGAGTTCAGCCTTAGTGGGATTCCGTTAGAGGTGGGTCAAGTCCTAGTAGGATTATACAGGAGCTGAGCCGAGCCAGAGTAGGATTCTGACAGATTTTGATAAACCCCCAGCAGGGTGGCGTTTAAAGCTGGATAGAGCCCCAACAGGATTTTGTCAGAGCTGGAACGAGCCCTAGTAATGATCGGCTCTATTTGGATGCAACCCTATGAGAGTTTGACCGCTTAGAGCTAGATGCAGTTTCAGTGCGACTTCGTTTTTTTTTGTATCAACCTCGACTGAGATTCTTCTTTCGTCCTATCTAAGATAGTAGGATTCAGTCAAAACTGGATTCGTCCCGAGAAATAAGATTGAAGCTGGGTCCATCATTTTATGGCTGGATTGGGCCTTAGTAGGACTACGCTAGGGTGGATCTTGTAGATTTGGATCCGCCCCTAGTGGGATTCTATTATAGGTTGATCAATCCTTCGTAGGATTACATTTCTGCCTGACCGGACTACGTAGGTTACTGTTCGATCCAGCCCTAGTAGCAGAATGCTTTGAGAGTTGGACCGGGCCCTAGCAGGATTCTTTCAGAGCTGGACCGGTTCCTGGTGGGATGCGGGTAGAGTTCGATCCAACTTTAGAGCTAAATCCAGCCCCATGTGTGTCTTATTAGATCGGGGATGGACAGACCCCCCTTTAGTAAAACGTGGTTTCGTGAAAACGACCTGAGGTCCAAACCTGGCGGGCGCGAGCCTGGAAAATAACGGCCACGGCGCTCTCTCGAGAACCGAAAACGGACAATTCACTAATCGACGTGTCACTGTTGGGGGTTCTGTCCACCCCCGATTAGAGGTGAAGACAGCTCTGGTAGAGTTCCGCTGGACCTGCATCGAGCTCCAGCAGCATCGCATCGGAGCCGGCGCTTGGCGCGGGCGCCGGCGACAGGGGCGCCGCCCCCGACGTTGTCGCTGTCGTCAGCGTGGTCGTCAGCGTCGTCGCTTCCGTCGTCGGCATCGTCGTCGTCTCGTCGTCTTCGTCGTGGTCGTCGTCAGCCATGCTCCGTCGTCGTCGCCGTCGTCGTCCCCGTCCTCGGTCCTCGTCCTTGTTTCCACTGTCCTCGTCGTGGTCGTGGTCGCGGGCGTTGTCCGTCGTCATCGTCGTCGTCGCCGTCGCGTTCTGCACCCCTGGGGTCATTTTCCGCGGGAGGGGGGGAGGCGGGGGAAAGGGGGTCCAGACCATTCCGAATGGGTTTCCGGGCGGGGTGGAGGAGGTTATGGACCTTTCCAGAAAAAATTGTTCCGTGGTTGGGGGGGGTCCGGACCTTGTGGTGTTTTTCGGTGGGGGCGTGTTTGGGGAGGGGAGGTTCCGGCGGCGACCCCGGCCAGCGCGGGCGTTTAAGGTTGAACGCCGCCAGTGGCCCAGAATCGGCCTATATGGCACGATCGGGCGATGCAAACGCCGCCGATCCTCTAAGGTTGAACGATCCGCGCGGTTTTTTCAGGACGGCGTCCCTGGAAGTCCCGACCCTTTCCCCGGGACCGGTTTTTCGTCTTGAGTCGTTGTTTGACGGTCCCGAGGCCTGGCGAGGGATCCCCGAGGCCGAGAATGAGCAGAAACTTTTCGTCCTGATTTTTTGCAACGACGCCATCATGTCTGGGACGCAGGGGCCGACACGACGCGAACCTGCCGTAATGGAGGATGACGATGAATAAATGACCGGGGGTCGTGTTCACGCGGCGGCGCCAGGGATGACGATTGGCTGGAAAACTATGTTTTAAAACGTTCTCCTCCAGTCAGAAAATTGTGCAGAAATAGCAGAACACTATTTGTTTAATCGTTCTCTCCCATTTTTATTTAATCGTCATCCCGCATTACGGGGGGGTCTCCTGGTTTGTCTGCGTTTGTACAGAACGCTTCGGGCCAGCGACGATGGATCGGCGCCCCCCTCGAGCCTGCCGACCCGCCCACCTGCGCCGAGTGGGACAGGCAGCACGTGGCAGTGAGGCCGAGCATGCCCTTGCGCGTCCAGGTTTGGTCTCCCCGCGGCCCCCAAAAAGCCGCGCACCAAAGGTCACTCTTACCCAGGGTCACTCTTGCGCGTAGCCGAGAGGAGCAGAAAGAGGAGGGGCAGGGGGAGGAGGCTGGGGATCTCCAACAGGAGGTACAGCAGCAGGAAGGAGCACACGGGTGCAGCATCAGAGGGAGGAGGAAGAGGAGGAGGAGGAGGAGGAGGAGGAGGAGCACGAGGATGAGTCTGGGAGAAGCAGCCCGGGGGGCGATGGGGGGAGCTCATCTTTCGCCTTCTTCTCCTTCTCTTCCTCCTCCTCCTCTTCCTGCTCCTCGGCTTTCCGCCGAGAGCCTCCCAAAGGCAGTCCTTATCAGTATCGTGCTCAAGGCAGTGTCTGTTTGTTCGGCCGCTCACGGCCACTGTTTCAATTGCCATGCCGATTGCCGCGTCGGCCTCGCGGCCGTCAGTTGACGCATGTGGCTCGCTTGTGGCGGGGACTGTGGTTGATAGGAATTGGTTGGCTGGCCGTTGCCACAGACGGCACCGGTCGGCGTCACGCTGGGTGTCTCGCAAGAGTTCAGGCCTTTGGCCCACCTCAGGCTACGTCTAATCATCCTCCGTCTCTTCTTCCTTTGGGCGTCGTTGTCGGCCTCTCACCTCTCACCCCTTCGGGGGGGGTTGCGCCATCCGCTCATCCGCTGTTCAATCAGTGAATGCACTTCCCTCGCCTCTTCCCCTTCACCTCCCTGCACTGCCCGTCCTCCGCCTCTTCCACCTCCCTCCCCTTTTTCCCTCTCCGCCGGCTCCGCCTTCTCCATCCCCCCTACGCATCCTCCTCCCTCCTCCTCATGGTCATCCTCAGCATCCTGGATTTTTTGTTCATGCTGTTTTCCCTTCGTCCTTCTGCCTCCCCCGTTTCCCCCCTTCCCATTCTGCCTCCTCCCGCTGACGTAGCATCCAGTGAGAAGGTGACAGGGATAAGGGGACGAGGAGGATGAGGGGGAGGAAGGTTGAAGGTGGGGGCCTCCTTGATGGGGAATTTTGGGGTTTGAGGAGGAGGAGGAGGAGGAGGAGGAGGAGGAGGAGGAGGAGGAGGAGGAGGAGGAGGAGGGGAAGGAGGAGGATGGGAGAGGGGGAGGAGGAGGAGGAGGAGGAGGAGGAGGAGGAGGAGGAGGAGGAGGGAGGAGGAGGAGGAGGGAGGAGCAGCAGCAGGATGAGAAGCACGAGGATGCGGATGAGGGGCAGGAGGCAGGGGGAGGGTGAGGAGGAGGGCGGGGGGGGGGGGGGGGGGGGGGGGCAGGGGAGGGGAGTGGGAGGAGGAGGGGGGGGGGGAAGCCGCAGGAGGAGGAGGAGGAGGAGGAGGAGGAGGAGGAGGAGGAGGAGGACGAGGGGGAGGCTCCCCTCCCTCTGCTCCTCCTGCTCTCCCGCGCGCCGACAGGTGAACGCGGAGATCGGGGCGCCCAAGGCGCTCGGACCCGTCCCTTCCCCCCCCCGCCGAGGGCCAGCGCGAGGAGCCCGGACCTCCAGGATTACAGGATTATTCCGCCAGGCCCCGGCGAGAACCTGGCTTTAGGTCGGGCCTGTCCCTCTACAGGAAGAAATTCAAAAGTAGTCGAAATTTAGTCTGGAGGCGTTTTGAATAATTATTTCGTGACCATTTGGGAGCATGTTGGGGGCATTTTTCCCTACCTACTGTTTGATGTTTGATGTTGCTCTCCTAGATCCTCCAACTCCTAGGTAGGGTCGCACTGGGATAATTTATTTTTCGTCCAAAATCTGCCTGTAGGGGGACATGCCCGACCTAAACCTGGCTTGAAGCTCAGCGCTGCGGTTACATTCTCCGCTGCAGCACGGCACATGCAATCAATCCACACGGGCGTGTACTTTCGCGCGACAATTTTCTTGTCCAGATTCAGAAGAGGGGACGCGGGAAGCCCAGGCCCCTGTGCTCAGCCGGACCGAAGAAACCACACGTGGGGATGGGGGGGGGAAGGAGGAAGGCGGACGGGAGGAAAGCCACGAAGAGGCGGGGGGGGGGGCGGCAGCCGCGGGGTGGGCGCCCAGGCTGCGGCCCGCGTGGAGAAAGACGGGGGAGGAGGAGGAGGAGGAGGAGGAGGAGGAGGAGGAGGAGGAGGAGGAGGAGGAGGAGGAAGAAGATTACGAGGAGGAGGAGGAGGAGGAGGAGGAGGAGGAGGAGGAGGACCAGTGTAAATCCAGGACAAATCAACGATGCTGGAGTAAACTGTCCCTCCAAGCTCCCCGTTCTCAGGCCCCTACGAGGGTTCGCTTCTACGGATGGAAGTACCCCGTTGGGAGACAACCGTTGGAAGATCTGGAAGATTGCCAAGAAACCATCTTCAACATTTCGACGCCAAGAATCCACCGGACTGCTGCGTCTTGAAGATCCCGACACGTGCCAGAACGCGAGTACTGGGACGTCAGCGCCGCGGAACAGCACAACTGTTGCGCACGAACGGTCCTGAACCGCTCCCACCCTCAATTCCTTGGCATCGCTCGGACGTGTGCATTTTTCCCTCGGCGAGGACCATCTAGGAGCATCCTTGATCATTTGGCGAAAAAATCACGCACGAAACCGAAAAAAAAACACAGGGAATGGACGTCCGAGCGATGGCGAGATTCTTGGTACGCTGGCAACGGAAGAAGATGACGCCTTTTTGCAAAGGGTTTAGACGAGTGTGCGCAGCGTTGGGGCGAGAACCACACTTTGAAAACGATCCGCTCTGAGGTTGCAAATCTGTTGCACTTGTGTTCCACAAGTGTGCCTGGCGCTGCGGCGAGAGCCGCATTTTTAAGAAAGCCCGCCCTCAACCCGTGAAGCTCTTGCAATGTTGTAAAGCGAATATGCGCGGCGCCAAGGCGAGAGCCACATTCTGAAAACGACGCGCCCTCAATCCGTGAAGCTCCTGCAAATATTTGAGACGAATGCGTGCGGCACTGAGGCGAGTGCCACATTTTTGAAACCGCCCGTTCTCCATCGGTGAAACTGTGGCCAACTCTTAAGCTGCAGGCACATAGACGGTAAGGAAGTTTCAGGCAAAACGACCGGCCCGCCCTTTCGACTGCCTTTGGGGTGCGACAGTGAGGAAGTGCTCATAAGGAATATGAATGGAGGTGGAGAAGGCGGAGAAGGAAAACCAGCGTAAACCCAAGACTCTGCATCGATGTTGGGATACGCCCTCCCTCCAAGCTTCCTCTTCATACGCCCCTACAAGTGTCCATTCCCACTGAGGGAACTGCCCTGCTGGGAGACCACAGTGTGAAAATCCTGACGCGTGCCAGAACAACATTCTCAGGATTTCAACTCCACGAGTCAACCTAGCTGTTGCAACTTGACGATCCTGAATCGTGCCATAACACCATTCCAGGGGCTCCAGCACCGTGAATCAACGTAATTGTTGCGCCCTGGCAATCTTGAGCCGCTCCACGACGCCATTTCTGGCTCGTCAACCTCTGCGAGTCAGTGAAACTGTTGCGAGTGTTTCTAATGAGTGTGTGCGACGCTATGGCGAGAGCCACATTTTGTAAAGGAACTGCCCTCAATTCGTGAAACTCTTGCATTGTTTGAAAAGAACCTGCGCGGCGCCACGGCGAGGGCCACATATTGAAACCACCTGCTTTCAGATCGCGAAGCTCTTGGAAGACATGCTTAAGACGGGGATGCGCGGCGCTACAGTGAGAGCCACATTTTGAAGACGACCCGCCCTCAATAGGTGAAGCTCTTGGAAGGTTGTGAAACGACAGTGCGCGGCGCTGAAGTTAGAGCCACAGTTTAAAGACAACCCGCCCTCAACATGCAACATTCTTGCAATGTTGATAACGAACGTGCTTGGCGATACGGCGAGAGGCACATTTTGAAAACGAACCCGCCCTCAATATGTGACACTCGTGCAATGCTTGTCAAGCGAATGCGCCTTGCGCATCGGCGAGAGACACATGTTGAAAACCACCCACCCTCCCTCCATGAAAGTGTTATCAGCTGTTATGTTTCAGGCTCGTAGATGGTAAATAAATTTCGGGCAAAACGCCCAGCCCGCCCTTCCGACTGCCTTCGGGGTGCGACCGTAAGGAGTTATGCATAAGGAGACGGAATGGAGGAGGAGGAGGAGGAGAAGGAGGAGGAGAAGGAGGAGGAGAAGGAGGAGGAGGCGGAGGAGGAGGAGTAGGAGGAGGGGGCGGGGAAGGCGGACGGGGGAGAGGGGGATCGAACGCTGCGAGCCTAACGCTTTAAGCCCGTGCAACCCGACAAAGAAAAGGGCAAGGCAGGTGGAGGAGGAGCAGCAGGAGGAGGAGGAGAGAGGCAGCCGCGGGGCAGGCGCTATAGGTTGCCGCCCGCGGGGAGGAGTAGGACCCCACGCCGCCTGGCCCGGGCGGGCGGGCCGCCTGAGGAGTGTGGAAGGCAGATGGAGTGGAGGAGGGAGAAGTGTTGGGGGGGGATGAGCAGGAGGTGGAGGCGGTGGTGGAGGGGGACGAGGTGGAGGAGGTGGTGGTGGAGGAGAAGGCGGAGGTGGAGGAGGTGGTAGAGGAGGACGTGGAGGAGGAGGAGGAGGAGGTGGAGGATGTGGTGGTGGAGGCGGGGGGAGAGGTGGAGAGGAGGTTTCGCCCTCGTCGAGTCCACTGCGGAGAGATGGCGCGGGCCCTCGGCTCCAGGGCCCGCGAGCGGGCCTCCTCCCCTGCTGCGGCTCCCGAGGAGCTGCCCCTTGACGGGGCCTGATGGGCCCTGCGGCCGCTCTTGTGGTCGCCGCCCGACGCCCCCTCTCGCGTCGGGGCCCCCACGCTCATGGGGCAGCACCCGGACCGCTCCAGAGCTAGCGAGAGAAGACCGCGGGCAGGGGGGGGGGGAGGGGTAGAAGGTGGGAGACTCGGAAGCGGGTTGAGGAAGTCTTGGAAGGCTTGCGGAGGAGGACGTAAGAGAAGAAAAAAAGAGGAGGAAGGAGGAGGAGGAGGAAGGAGAGGAGGAGGAGGAGTGTAGAGAGGAGAGGAGGAGGCGGAGAGGAGGAGGGGAGGAGAGAGGAGGAGGAGGAGGAGGAGGAGGATGAGGAGGAGGAGGAGGAGAGGAGGAGGAGAGGAGGAGGAGGGAGGTAGAGGAGGAGGAGAGGAGGAGGAGGAGGAGGAAAGGAGGGAGGAGGAGGGAGAGGAGGAGGAGGAGGAGGAGGTGGAGGAGGAGGGAGGAGGAGGGAGTAGGAGGATAGGAGGAAGGAGGAGGAGAGTAGGAAGAGGAGGAGGAGGAGGAGGAGAGGAGGAAGAGGAGGAGGAGGAGGAGGAGGAGGAGAGGAGGAGAGGAGAGTGAGGAGGAGGGGAGGAGAGGAGGTAGGAGGAGAGGAGGAGGAGGAAGAAGGAGGAGGAGAGGAGGAGGAAAGGAGGAGGAGGAGGAGGAAGGATGAGGAGGAGGAGGATGAGTAAGGAGAAGGAGGAGGCGGGAGGAGGAGAGGAGGGGGAGAGGGTGAGGCGGCGGGAGGAGGACCAATTGGGGGAGAAGGGTTGTCCTCGATGGTTGTTGGGGGTTCCTTTCTGCTGCATAGTTTTCCAGAGGCAACTCGATTCGTGTTTAAAAAAAACACAAAAACAAATTTAAATGCATTCTGACGTCGGACGGGGGAGGGGGAGGATGAGGAGGATGAGGGGGAGGAAGAGGAGGAGGAGGACGTTAGATCGAATCATATTCACCGGGCTCCGCGCTTGGCCAGGCCCGTCCCGGGCCTGGGATCAGTGTGTATGCCCCACTGGCCAAGCCAAGGGGGGGGGGCGTATGCACCGCTCCTTGTCCCAGGATTGGCCTGGCCAGAGGCGGTGGATGTGTGTAGATCTCGTCGCCCCAAGGAGGAGGAGGAGGAGGAGGAGGAGGAGGAGGAGGAGGAGGAGGAAGAGGAGGAGGAGGAGGAGGAGGAGGAGGAGGAGGAGGAGGAGGAGGAGGACGTGGTTTGTGCTGGTCCTCTACCCAAGAGCGAGGCGCAACCGCACCAGGCGGATAAGCTGACAGCCCCCTAGTTGCAATGATGCGTCCGTGATGAAGCGCAACGCGTGCCTTGTTCAACACGTCCGCGTGCACACGCTGCGGGCTGGCTCGGCAGGTGATGGCCCACGTGTTGGCGAACCTCTCCCGCCAGACCCACGTGTTCTCTCTACGTGTCGAGCTCCATGTCAACACGCTGCGGGTGGCGTGTTGCGCCTCGGGGCAGCCAAGGACAGCTCCAGCCGCGCCATTCGCCCGTCGCCCATCCGCGGCACGCCGCCGACTGGGCCACACCCCGGACCCTCCGACTGGCAGCCGCGGCCCACCCTGCACCGGCGGCCCATCCTTTGCAGCAGGCGCGCCCCGATGTCCGCCGGCCCCCTGGCAAGCGGGGCCCGAGCTCGGCCCCGAGGAGCGCGGCGCACGGGCCAGGGCTCCGAACGCGCCACGGCACCGTGGGCGGACAGCGCGGCGCACGGCGCATGGGCCAGCGCGGCGCGCGGGCCAAGGCTCCACGGTGCCGCGGGCCGTGCCGCGCGAGCGCCGCAGCCCTCGCGCCACGGCGTCGCTGGCACGACGAGGGCGGGGCGAGGTGATGGGCGCCCCCTCGGCGGAGCTGCCGCCGCGGCGCTGGGGCGGCCCTCAGCGGCGCTGCCCGGGCCGTGGTGCCGTCGGAGCCTCCGGCGGTGTCGTGCGCTCGCGCCGTCGATCTTGCCCTCGGCGGTGCTGCTGCTCACGGCACGCCGCTCCGCATGCTGGGCGCAGTATTGCGAGGGACGGGGGCGAAGAGGATGATGCGGAGTGGTGAAGAGGGAGGGGAGGAGGGGGTTGAGGAGGGGGTGGAGGTGGTGGAGGAGGAGGAGGAGAATGATGAGGAGGATGAGGAGGAGGAGGAGGAGGAGGGGAGAGGAGGGGGGGAGGGAGAGGGGAGGAGGAGGAGGAGGAGGAGGAGGAGGAAAAGATGGGTGGAAGGGAGGAGGTGGAAGGGAGGGTTGGCAGGACGAGGGAGTATCACGATCGGCGTGACGCGTCAAGATCATCGAAGACTTCTCCTCCTCCTGCTCCGCCCCCCGTCCCTCGCGAATGCTCCTCCTTCTCTTTCCCCTCCCTTCTTCCCTTCATCCCTCCGTGCTTATCCCCAAACGCCGGGTGCAGGGCAGCGATTTCTACCTCGAGCTGCTCCCCGCCGACAGCCGCACCCTGGAGAACCTCCACCCGAACTCTCTCTTTATCCTCCCCTCTCGCTCTGGGATTCCGCGCGTCCTCCTCTTTCGCTCTGGGATTTCTCGCGACATCGTTCCCCTGTTGTTAGTCGGTACCATCATACTCCTCCACCTCCTCTTCCTCCTTCACCTCCTCCATTTCACCCTGCGTGCGCGTGGAATCATTATCCTCCCACTCCTCTCTCATCCCCACCCCTCGTCTATCCTCTCCGAGTCCTCTCCCCCTCATGTCCGTCTCTCCTCTTTTGTCTCCCAGTCACCTCTCCTCCTCTTCTTCCTCTGACCCTCCTTCTGCGTCCTCTCCTCCTCCTCTTCCACCTCCTCCATAGTCAGTTTGGCTCAAGACAGTTTGGCTCAAGGCAGATGTGTCCGCGGGAAGCAGACGAATACCGGTGGGCCTTGGCAAGATTTCAAATGTTTCGCAGAGCACCAACGATCGAGTTACGCTCCTCCGTGGGTGAGTTCCTTCACTTTTGATCGTGTGCCCGCCTAGCTGGCTGGCGTGTGTGAGTTAGCAAGCAGCACCTGGTCGGGAAACATCTGGATGGTGACATACGCTGCACGTCGTGCAGCTATAAGTGCGATTTGAAGGAAAAAGACAGGTGCTTCATCTGCGGCAAAGGGTTGGAGCTCGAGGCCGTTCCCCATGGCAGACGCGTGTCGGAGGCGAGTGGGAGCCCAGTTCGCAGAACGCCTTTGAGACTGAGCGAGGATTATTTTCTCGGGGGTCTTGGCCTCAGTCACGTGGACGAGTGAGGAACAGGAAAAGGCGCAAGCACCAGGGGCAGGATGCTCAGGAGGGAGGTGCCGCAGCAAAGTCTGCGAAAGAGCTGCTGTTCACGTTGCAGCATGCGGCACCCCACTTGGGCAAGGCAGCGATCAATGGGGGTCAAGCTGAAGCTTCAGCGGCGCAGCAGCACAAGACGGACCCTTCGCAACTGCACCTGAGTGCTATGGCTAAAGGCAAGAGAGCACAGCCAGCCTTGGACAAAGCAGTGGGAAGCAAACATCAGGCATTGGATTGGTATCGTGAGTGGCAGCAAGCAGCAAACCAAACGGCCAACATCTTGGCGCAGGCCTAGGCAGACGTGGATCAAGCGCTTGCTGGCAATCTCGAAAGGAGTGGACAAGGATATGCCGAAGGCAATGGTCAACCTGACGATGTTCGTCGAGCCAGAGGTGCCCACTGCCCATCGTGGGCCAGCCTTCGCGTTCGATGACCTGAAGGTGGAAGCAGGTGACAGAGAAGTGTTCGCCGCCCTGCTAACCAAGTTTTGTTTGACGTGGGCTTGCCATGGGCTCAGGCTGTTGGAGATCCCATGTCGGCAGCCGACAGATCGGCAGCATGCGCGCGTCCGTAGCTTAGGCAACTCACGAGGGGCTTTCGTGAAGCGCGCTGGAGAGTAAAGCAGGGCATGTTGCACTGGCATGTGGAAGAAGCAGGAACAGTGCCGGTTGGGGCCATCTCACCTACTAGAGTTGAGTTTTGACCCCGCTGCCATCATGCGCGCCAAACAGCAGGCGTGGCAGGTGGAATGGTTTGACACAGCTGGGCCAATTGCCGCCACGACTAGGGACGTTCCAGGGGTCCTTCGGGGAGTCAGAGAGGACCCTGCGTGCTCCGTCGATGAGTCTCAGATGTCTGGTCTTTTCCGCAGGACCCTTGTGCGAAGAAGGCTTCAAGGGCTGACGCATTGAAGGGTTCCGAGATCTAGATGCCTGCGAAGGAGGCGTTTCGGAGCTCACATTTCCTCTTTCATTTGGTAGAGTTTGAAGGGCTTTGTCCTGATGGTTGTTTCTCTGCCAAAAGCTGTAGCGCGCTGTTGCCCAAACCCAGCCAACGAGGAGACAGCGCGATAGGAATGCTGTGCGACGTCAGCATGCTGTGGACTTGGATTAGAACAGGTCTGTCTGAATCGTGGAGCCCGGGGCTGGGTCAGCTCTGGGACGCGGCTGTCAGTGGCAACTGAGCATTGCAAGCAGTATGGCTATCCTTCCTGCTCGGCGAGAGAGCTGCGATGGCTGGAGTGCAATGCGCGGCCCTTTCTGCTTGATGTCGCGGCGTGCCGCGATGCGCTGAGTCAGTCTCTTTTGATCCGGACAGCGGCAGAAGTGGGCCGCCATGGGGCGGCGGCCTTCCCGCCGAGGTTCTCGAGGGGTTGGGGCGGCGCCAGCTTCCCGATTCCCCCCGTCTCGGCCCGAAGTGGAGGGGTCGCGTCTGGGGTTCCCGCTGGCTAAGTTTTTTGCGTGCGTAACCCCGGGCCGCGCCCGCAGAGAGGTGAAGGCGCGCGGGCGACGGTCGCTCATGGGCGGCGCAGCGTTCGGAGCCGAGGGCGCGGCAGTTTGCGCGCTGGCAGGCTCGGCCGCGTCAGGAAGGGCTTTAGCGAAGGAGCTGCAGGATGCGAGGCTCGGCATCTCCGGGAAGGCCATGCCCCCCGCAACCTTGGCTGCTGCCAGGAATGGAGCGCGCCAGCCGCTGAAGAAAGCCGGTGCCCCACGCGAAGCAGCAGCCCTCACAGTCGATTGAGCGTGCGACGCCATCATCGGCATAAGTCCAGGTTGCGCAGGGCCAGCAAACGGCTTTATAGGATTAAGAAGGCGCGCAGGTCGGCGGAGCTAACCGCGGTTCCGCCATCCCGTTGGACCAAGGGGACCTTGCCCCGAGCCGCATGTTGGCACCAGTTGCACGGCCCCAGTCCTAGCGCCAGCCAGTGTCTTCGTAGGCGCGGAGGGCGGGCCGTTGCAGGGGGCGTTTCAGGCATATGTTTAGTTGCAATCTGATGGGGTCACCTAGGGGCCAGGGGTCCAGGCCTGGAGCTTCCACGCCGGTTGGCTTCAGAGCTCCTGCTGAGTTGGATCTTCCCGTCAGAGTTTCGCGATCGCATGCGAGGGGCTCGGAAGCAGTTGGTGTCTAGGCCCTGGTAGACGCGCGCGCGTTGGAGGTCGGTCAAGGACCCAGTTAGCGCAGTCGCCGCCGCGCTTTGCGGGGCACGATGGGCCCTGGCACCATCCGGGACGTGGCGAGGGCCTGGGGGCGAGGCGGGCGACGCCTGGCGATGTCCGAACTAGCCGGACAAATGTTTCGACCAGGGCGGTCTCGATGTCATTGGCTTGCTGGCAGACTTGGTCCAAGATCTCTCGCTGCGGCTTTGGGCCCACGCCTCAGCTCGCGACGGGGGCGATGGGTGGGCGCGTGGTGGGACAGATCTGTGGGCTGCGGGAAAGGAAGCAAACGTTTTGCTGACGAGGGGCAGGTTGTCTGAGTAGGTCCCCGGCATGCTGCAGTTTCTGGCGGGCAGTTCACCAGAGAGCGCCAAACGTGCATCGGGCGCAAGGTTTCGAGGATATGCCCACGATGCACATCAGGGGTGGAGGCGCCGTTCCACAGGGCATGGACGCCCTCGTGCAATCCGTTTGCGGGTTTCGAACTGAGAAATACTTTGCGCGAGCAGGGTCCAGCGCTGTGGCCGAGATGCATTTCCCCCAAGTCACTCACGCATGTCACTGGGTGCCCGCGAAGGACGCCCGCGCGCCCGGGGCCGCCCCCTCGGCCGAATTTTTGCGCCGCCCCCGTCGGCGTGGCAGCGGGCGATTTTGGCGACGGGCGTGGGGGGGGGGGCCGCGCAGCGCCGACCCTCGCGGGAGGAGGCGCGGATGCGCCATCTTTCACGTGCCAGTTTATGCGAATGGAGACAGGCGGCGCCCGTGGAGGCTCTCTACCCCCGCGCGGAGCACATCGACAGACTTGGCCCCCGCGCCGAGCTGCCAGCCTTCGCGCTGGCGGCCGACAATATAACGTAACCCCTTCGTTTCGTGATTGGCCATGGCCCACTGGTCACGACGCGGTCCAATCATCGATTCCGCGAGAGGAACGGCGTGGATCATGATGGCTGGGTGGGGTTCGCGTGGGGCCCGCGAAGAGGTCCACGGAAGTTCCCATGAAATGGCCCCTCGCGCATGAGCGAAACCCGCGCGGCGGCGCTGACTTGTCCGGCCCCGTAAGGGGTGGGCGACTTCGGCGGGAAGGGGCGGGGCTTTGCGCGGACCGCTGGGATGCCGTCTGCACCCTGGTTCGAGCGCGAGCCAGAAGATCCTTGTTACTGACGGCAGGGGCCGGCCCATGGAGTGGGGAGCGGGCCAAGGTGGTCAGATGCGCGCCTCCGCGTAGACGCAGAATCACCATAGCCACCTCGAGCCGCCGCTGGAACAAAGCGGGAGGCAATTGGCAGCGCGGTCAGAATACAGTAGTGTTGCCAGCGTTCAGGGTCATCCATGCGGCCTGCACGACCTGTCGCGATTCCTCTCCTCCCTTGCTTGATGGTGACGTCGTGGGAACGAGGTGCAGGAAATGCAACCTGGCGGCAGGCAGGGATGTGCACCCATCCCATTCTGTGCAGAGGTGGGGGCGCTACCTCATGAGTTGCTGCACCGCATGCGGGGAATACGCGGCGGTAGATGGCAGGTCCCTGGCGAAGAATGCACAGGGCACGCTCGTCGGTGCAAGGAGAATTAAAGCCGCATCGAGGAATGCGAGTACTCCCGCACGAAGGGGGTCCCCAAGGACTTTCAGGTAGCCCTCGTTGCGAGAGATGCAGGCAACCCAGCGAGTGGAGCCCTAGCCGCGCCCCCATCGGGATGCAGGCGGCCCGTCCGCCATAGCAGTTGGTCCCGACCCCCCGTCGGGGGGGGGCATGGGTGATTGGTTGTCGTGGTGCGGTGGGGACTGGACCTTGGTCCTTCCAGGGTTTCGGCTCCATTGTGCGAGGGTCGTGTTCGACCCCCCCCCCTCGCACGACCCTCCCGTTCTGGTCAAAAGACCCAAAGGTCCTCGTCCTCATCCTTCTCTCCTTCCTCCTCCTCTCCACCTCCTCCTCCTCCTCCGTCTCCTCCTCCTACTCCTCCTTTTCCTCCTCCTGAAATCATCCTCAATACCCTCCATCCCCCTCCTGCTCCCATTCCTCCGCCCCCTTTTTCCACATCCATCCTCCGCCCACGCCTCCCCCCACCTCCTGCGCGCGCGGAGGGAGGCGCTGGGAGGGTGTTGAACGTGGTGGTGTGGGTGTGGGGGGGGGGGGTCCGAGGTGTCGGGGCGCGGGGGGAAGGAGGAGGAGGAGGAGGAGGAGGAGGAGGAGGAGGAGGAGGAGGAGGAGGAGAAGATAAGCTAGGTGCGCTCGCGTCATATCTGACGTCCTACCCCTCCTCCCATCCCTTACCATGGCGCTGATTTTCTCTATCCGCGGACGCGTGTCGTAGCGGACCTGTGGCTCCGCGCGCGCGTGCGTAGTGGGTTGTGGTGCGCGTGCGTCCGTGCGTGCGTGCGTGTGTGCGTGGTTGTGGTTGTGGTTGTGGTTGTGGTTGTGGTTGTGCTGGTGTTGGTGCTGGTGCTGGTGCTGGTGCTGGTGCTGGTGCTGGTGCTGGTGCTGGTGCTGGTGCTGGTGCTGGTGCTGGTGCTGGTGCTGGTGCTGGTGCTGGTGTTGGTGCTGGTGCTGGTGCTGGTGCTGGTGCTGGTGCTGGTGGTGTTGTTGCTGTTGTTGTTGTTGTTGTTGGTGGTGGTGGTGGTGGTGGTGTGTGTGTGTGTGTGTGTGCGTGTGTGCGCGTGTGCTGTGGCATGGCACGGGAAATGACGCCAGCGCTGCAGCGGGAGCACGAGTCGAAACGGGCGGAAGCGCGGAAATGAGGCCAGCGCTGCAGCGGGAGCACGATTCGGAACGAGCGGAAGCACGGAAATGAGGCCAGCGCTGCAGCGGGAGCACGATTCGGAACGAGCGGGGCCCGAAAATGAGGCCGCGCCTCAGCGAGAGCAGCATTTTGAAAAAAATGCAGGCGAAAACCCAACCCCGGGAAACCTGTGTGTAAAAAAGCAGGACGCGGGGGGGTCGGCTACTACCAGGGCGCCATAGGGAGAGGGAGAGTAGTATTCAGATTGAGTAATTTAAAAGGTAGGAGGAAGGAGAGAAGAGGGAGCAGGGGGTGGGGGGAGGAGGTAGGGAGGAGGGGGGGAGGAGGAGTAGTGAGTGAGGAGGAGGAGGGGGGGAGGAGGAGGAAGAGGATGAGGGGAGGGATGGAGGAGTAGGAGGAGGAGGATGAGGAGTGGGAAAGGAGGAGTAGGAGGGAGAGGTGAGGATGGGGAGGGAGGAGGAAGAGGAGGAGGACGAGGGAGGAGGAGGAGGAGGAACAGCAGGCAAGAGGCAAGAGGCGAGAGGCAAGATGCTAGGGGACGGAGGAGAGGGCTTTAGAGGGGGCGCGAGGGGAAGGAAGAGCGTAGAGGGTTGGATTGGGCAGGAGGAGAAGGAGGAGGAGGAGGAGGAGGAGGAGGAGGAGGAGGAGGAGGAAGACGAGGCGGAAAAAGAGGAGGGCGAAGAGGATGAAGAGGAGGAGGAGGAGGAGGAGGAGGAGGAGGAGGAGGAGGAAGAGGAGAAGGGGTCCAGAACAATCCCATGACACACCATTGATGCGTGTACCCTGCCGTCCAGAGCTCCTTCGCACGCCAGCGCACAGCCCGCCGATGGACAGGTAACGGCCCCATGCGCCTGCACGGTGGGAGTTACTTGGGCGTTCTGGAACCTGCATCGGCGATGACAGTTCTAGTCGGCGCGCACCGTGGAACAACAAAACAACACAACAGGTCGACATGGCACCGCCCTTTTATCCACGTATCCGGTGAACGCTCGGGTGGTGCCGTGAGCGGCACAGGAGCGGCAGCGCGGTTTGAACAGGAGTAGTGTTGCACCCGTGCAGTGTTCGGCGCGGTGCAGGTAGGTCACGGGCACGGGACGTCAGACAGGCAAACTCGTTTGGTCCACACAACGGAGCGTTGCACTTCCCCAGAGTTGTTTGGCATTGCAACCCCCATCGTGCTTTCAGCCGGCGAGGCCCCACGCATGGGCCATGTGTTCCAAGAAAGTCTGCCCTCCATGGGTGTTTCTGCTTGGGTGCTCAGGCGTCGGGTACAATTCAACCACCCAACATGCTTAGAGCAGGTGCCGCGGTTCAGCCATGCATGTGCTCGGAAGTCAAAGCTGCAGGATGCTGCTGCGTGAGGGCGTTTCAGGCGGGAGCCCCATTACAGAAAGGCGTTGGCCCCCACGCATGCAAATCACAATAGCTGTAAAGCGAATTCGTGCCGCGCTGGTGCGAGCGCCACAATTTTGAGAACCAACCTTCATCCATCAGCGCAGGGGCTGGTGCCTTTTGAGACGAGAGCGTCGGGCATCTCCCCATACAACTGTTCTACGCTTGTTAGACGATTGCGCGCGGTGCTGGAACGCTGGCCGCATTTTGAATACGACACGCCTCCCTTCAGGCAATTGCTATGCTTTCGGAGCCCTTGAGCCATGAGTTGTTAGGAAGCAGTCAGTGAACCACTGGGGCCTACGTACCAGCGTTTCTGATGAGACAGCTAAGATGACTTGCTGCAATAAGGGATGGGGCAGGGATGAGGACTGGAAAGGGGGGTTGGACGGAGAAGGGCGCTGACGGCGACGAGGAGATGGGAAGGGAGGGGGAGGAGGATGTGGAGGCTTGAGGGGAACGCACGACGGCTAAAGAGGGAGGCGCCGCGCGCTGGGTGCAGCACGGAGCGTCCCAAGAGCCCAAGAGCAGCGTTTATAGCTTTTGATGGGGGTTGAAGAGAGCAGAAGCGGGAGCGGGATCGAGCAGTCCGCCGAACAGCAGCCAGTGCCGCCAGTGCAGTGGTTGCCAACTCTTCCGACCGCTTGATGGAGGCTTTTGCTGTGCAGACTCCTCCTCCAGCGCCCTGGGCGCGGCCTTGGTGGAGGGAAGACAACTACTGGATCAGGCGCAGGCAGAAGTGGATTGTCAAGAAGAAGGTCTCCCGACGATGATCGCGCCTCTCGTTGCGGACGGTATCGTTCTCGAAGTCTTCGTTGTGGTTTGGTTCACGAGAGTAATCACTTGCGCGCAGCTGTATTGAAGCGCTGTCATGCGGCCACGCCCTACTCGCCAGTTGGATATACGGCTCTTGCTCCTCGCCGCTGTGTCGAGATAGTGTTTGCCCACTCTATCCTCCCATCCCGTATCCCATCACCCTCGTCCTCCCTCAACCTCCCCCCGTGTCTTCCTTTTCCTTCCCTCCCGTTCTAACTCCTCAGCGTACGCACTCGAGTGCCTCATGGATGCTGCCCTCCTCGGCGGTGGCGCGTTTGGCCCCGCACCACCCGCCAGGAGGAGGCACGTCCTGCCGCGGCAGGGGACGCGGAGGCACGCTGCAGTCTTGGCAGCTTGACCGTGATGCGAGACCGAGACCTGCCCGCGCCAAAGCCGACGCAAAGCACAGCGGCGCCACCGAACCGCTCCGACGGAGACCGTGGTGGAAGGCCACGGTCGGAGCATCGGGTGCCAAGGGTTTCGGTTGGGTTCCCCAGTCTATTCCTCCTTCCCTTCCCTCGGACCCGCCCGCCCCCCCCCCCCGCTTCTCCCGCCTCGCTCCCCCTTTCTGCCCCATCCCCCGCCTTTTCCTCTCCCCTCCCCCTCCCCACTTCCTATCTTCTTCCCTCCCGTTCTAACTCCTCAGCGTACGCACTCGAGTGCCTCATGGATGCTGCCCTCCTCGGCGGTGGCGCGTTTGGCCCCGCACCACCCGCCAGGAGGAGGCGCGTCCTGCCGCGGCAGGGGACGCGGAGGCACGTTGCAGTCTTGGCAGCTTGACCGTGATGCGAGACCGAGACCTGCCCGCGCCAAAGCCGACGCAAAGCACAGCGGCGCCACCGAACCGCTCCGACGGAGACCGTGGTGGAAGGCCACGGTCGGAGCATCGGGTGCCAAGGGTTCCGGTTGGGTTCCCCAGTCTATTCCTCCTTCCTTTCCCTCGGACCCGCCCGCCCCCCCCCCGCTTCTCCCGCCTCGCTCCCCCTTTTCTGCCCCATCCCCCGCCTTTTCCTCCCCTCCCCCCCCACTTCCTATCTCCTTCCCTCCCGTTCTAACTCCTCAGCGTACGCACTCGAGTGCCTCATGGATGCTGCCCTCCTCGGCGGTGGCGCGTTTGGCCCCGCACCACCCGCCAGGAGGAGGCACGTCCTGCCGCGGCAGGGGACGCGGAGGCACGCTGCAGTCTTGGCAGCTTGACCGCGATGCGAGACCGAGACCTGCCCGCGCCAAAGCCGACGCAAAGCACAGCGGCGCCACCGAACCGCTCCGACGGAGACCGTGGTGGAAGGCCACGGTCGGAGCATCGGGTGCCAAGGGTTTCGGTTGGGTTCCCCAGTCTATTCCTCCTTCCCTTCCCTCGGACCCGCCCGCCCCCCCCCCGCTTCTCCCGCCTCGCTCCCCCTTTCTGCCCCATCCCCCGCCTTTTCCTCTCCCCTCCCCCTCCCCACTTCCTATCTTCTTCCCTCCCGTTCTAACTCCTCAGCGTACGCACTCGAGTGCCTCATGGATGCTGCCCTCCTCGGCGGTGGCGCGTTTGGCCCCGCACCACCCGCCAGGAGGAGGCGCGTCCTGCCGCGGCAGGGGGCGCGGAGGCACGCTGCAGTTTTGGCAGCTTGACCGCGATGCGAGACCGAGACCTGCCCGCGCCAAAGCCGACGCAAAGCACAGCGGCGCCACCGAACCGCTCCGACGGAGACCGTGGTGGAAGGCCACGGTCGGAGCATCGGGTGCCAAGGGTTTCGGTTGGGTTCCCCAGTTTATTCCTCCGTCCCTTCCCTCGGACCCGACCGCCCCCCGACCCGCTTCTCCGCCTCTGCTCCCCCTTCTGCCCCATCCCCCGCCTTTTCCTCTCCCTCCCCCGCCCCACTTCCCTATATTTTTCCCCTTTTTCCCCCCCCCCCCTCCCTCCCGTTCTAACTCCTCAGCGTGCGCACTCGAGTGCCTCATGGACGCTGCCCTCCTCGGCGGTGGCGCGTTTGGCCCCGCACCACCCGCCAGGAGGAGGCACGTCCTGCCGCGGCAGGGGACGCGGAGGCACGTTGCAGTCTTGGCAGCTTGACCGTGATGCGAGACCGAGACTTGCCCGCGCCAAAGCCGACGCAAAGCACAGCGGCGCCACCGAACCGCTCCGACGGAGACCGTGGTGGAAGGCCACGGTCGGAGCATCGGGTGCCAAGGGTTTCGGTTGGGTTCCCCAGTCTATTCCTCCTTCCCTTCCCTCGGACCCGCCCGCCCCCCCCCCGCTTCTCCCGCCTCGCTCCCCCTTTCTGCCCCATCCCCCGCCTTTTCCTCTCCCCTCCCCCTCCCCACTTCCTATCTCCTTCCCTCCCGTTCTAACTCCTCAGCGTACGCACTCGAGTGCCTCATGGATGCTGCCCTCCTCGGCGGTGGCGCGTTGGCCCCGCACCACCGCCCAGGTGGAGGCACGTCCTTGCCGCGAGGGGACGCGGAGGCACGCGCAGTGCCTTGGCAGCTTGACCGCGGTGCGAGACCGAGACCTGCCCGCGCCCAAAGCCGACCGCAAAGGCACAGCGGCGCCACCGAAACCGCTCCCGACGGAGACCGTGGGGAAGGCCACAGTCGGAGCATCGGTGCCAAGGTTTTCGGTTGGGTTTCCCCAGTCTATTCTCCTTCCTTTCCCTCGGACCCGCCCCGCCCCCCCCCCCGCTTCTCCGCTCGCTCCCCCTTTCTGCCCCATCCCGCTTTTCCTCTACCCCTCCCTCCCCACTTCCTATCTCTCCCTCCCGTTTTTTTTCTAACTCTCAGCGTACGCACTCGGAGTGCCTCATGGATGCTGCATCCTCGGCTGTTGGCGCGTTTTGGCCCGCACCACCCGCCAGGAGGAGGCACGTCCTGCCGCGGCAGGGGGCGCGGAGGCACGCTGCAGTCTAGGCAGCTGTCCGTGGTGTGATGCGAGGACCGAGACCTGCCCCGCGCCAACGCCGACGCAAAGCACAGCGGCGCCACGACGAACCGCTCCGGCCGGAGACCGTGGTGGGAAGGCCAGGTCGGAGCATCGGGAGTGCCAAGGGTTTCGGTTGGGTTCCCCAGTCTATTCCTCCTTCCCTTCCCTCGGACCCGCCCGCCCCCCCCCCGCTTCTCCCGCCTCGCTCCCCCTTTCTGCCCCATCCCCCGCCTTTTCCTCTCCCCTCCCCCTCCCCACTTCCTATCTCCTTCCCTCCCGTTCTAACTCCTCAGCGTACGCACTCGAGTGCCTCATGGATGCTGCCCTCCTCGGCGGTGGCGCGTTTGGCCCCGCACCACCCGCCAGGAGGAGGCACGTCCTGCCGCGGCAGGGGACGCGGAGGCACGCTGCAGTCTTGGCAGCTTGACCGTGATGCGAGACCGAGACCTGCCCGCGCCAAAGCCGACGCAAAGCACAGCGGCGCCACCGAACCGCTCCGACGGAGACCGTGGTGGAAGGCCACGGTCGGAGCATCGGGTGCCAAGGGTTTCGGTTGGGTTCCCCAGTCTATTCCTCCTTCCCTTCCCTCGGACCCGCCCGCCCCCCCCCCGCTTCTCCCGCCTCGCTCCCCCTTTCTGCCCCATCCCCCGCCTTTTCCTCTCCCCTCCCCCTCCCCACTTCCTATCTCCTTCCCTCCCGTTCTAACTCCTCAGCGTACGCACTCGAGTGCCTCATGGATGCTGCCCTCCTCGGCGGTGGCGCGTTTGGCCCCGCACCACCCGCCAGGAGGAGGCACGTCCTGCCGCGGCAGGGGACGCGGAGGCACGCTGCAGTCTTGGCAGCTTGACCGTGATGCGAGACCGAGACCTGCCCGCGCCAAAGCCGACGCAAAGCACAGCGGCGCCACCGAACCGCTCCGACGGAGACCGTGGTGGAAGGCCACGGTCGGAGCATCGGGTGCCAAGGGTTTCGGTTGGGTTCCCCAGTCTATTCCTCCTTCCCTTCCCTCGGACCCGCCCGCCCCCCCCCGCTTCTCCCGCCTCGCTCCCCCTTTCTGCCCCATCCCCGACCTTTTCCTCTCCCCTCCCCCTCCCCACTTCCTATCTCCTTTCCTCCCGTCCCTCCCCCTCAGTCTCCAAGATCCCTTTAACCTCGCCCGTCCTTCCCTCCTCCCCCCCTTGTCTGATTCCTAGACGGTCCCAAGATACCCACATGGCCCACCCCAGAGACCTTGAACGTGTTTCCAGGATACTTCGGAAAAGGCCTCCTGGGTAGCCTTGCGATGTTTGCTTGTTCTGCGCTGAAGATTGTCCTCAGGGGGTAGGAGGGAGACAACCCTCGCGGGAAGAAGGAATGGAGAGGGAGGACGAGGAGACGGCGCCGGAGCAGCAAGAGCAGGAGGACGAGGGGAAGATTATCGATGTGGTGGGGGAGTGCAGAGGGGCAGGAGGAGGAGGAGGAGGAGGAGGAGGAAGCAAAGGAATAGCTTTACGAGGAGACGGAGGATGCGGAGCAGGAGAGAAGACCGAGGAAGAGGAGGAAGGGCATCTGGGCGAGATGGGGGCAGGGGGGCGAGGGGGACGAGGGCGACCAGGGGCTTCAGAAAAGAGCAGAAGTATGAACAAGGTACCAGTAGGAGAGCGGCGCCGTCGCGCCCGGGGCGTGCGATCGCTTTCGACTGAGCCCGAGCGCGCGCGCAAAGCGTGGCTGCGGCCCCTCCCTCGCGCTCCGCCGTGTTCGAGCCCCGGGTGCTGTGGTGCGGCAGGTGCTTCTGGCGGTGCGCCCCGCGCCCCTGGCGGGCCCCTGCCCCGTCCGAGGTCCGGGGCCCACTGCCGCAGGGGCCCGTGCAGTCCTGCGGGGCCCTCCGAGGCACGCGCGGAGCAGTGGAGCGGAGCGCCCTGCTCTGCAGGGCCACCAACACGAGGGACGTCAAGGTGGTAAAACTCAGGAGGGAAAAAAACACACAGACACAATTAATCCTCGATTCCCTAGAAAACATGCGAACATATGAGAAGTGGGAGGGAAGACAGAAACCCAGAAAATATGGGAAAATATGGGGGATCCTTTTATTTGTGTGTATTAATTTGTGTGTCTCAGGGCCCCTTCAAAAACGCCTCGCCGGTCAGGCCGACGAAGATGTGCCACATCCAGCCATGAAAAGTTGTGGCCAGACGCCGGGTGTGGTGCAGCAGTGTCATCTTGACCGGACACGTTGGTTCCCCCCCTTGGCGTGCGTCCGTTTGGGGTGTTCTGCAGACCTGACCCCTCAGCCCTACTCGACGGAGCAGTGCGGAGCACTGCGCTGCCGACCTTACCTTGCTGGCAGGTCGACGCCGTGGCCAAGGGCAACAAGACCGCGCGCTTCTACGCAAAGTCGATGTTCGGCGAGGAGCCTCCCTGCAGCGGGAGGGGGCACACAGACACAGGCAGGAAAGAAGCGTCGATCCCACGGAAAGACATGGGAAACGATGGGAAGTGGAGGGGAAGACGAGCATTCAGTACATAAATGAAGATGTATGGGGAACCTTTGCATTTGTGTCTATTCATGTGTGTGTGTCCCTGGGCCCCTTCACTGCAGCGGGTCACCTGCGCAGCGTGTGTGTATATATATATATACTTTTATATATATATATATATATATATATGTATATATATATATATATATATATATATATATGCACACGGCATGTTCGTGTAGTGCCGATGCGGCGGCGACCTCGCCGCGGGCGTTCAAGGCTCTGTGAGCACGATAGGGGCCTCAAAGGTTTTCTGGGGCGGCGTGAGGGCCAGCCACCCGCCACCGGAGGAAACCTTCAGGGAACGAAAACATCTACGTATCAGAGGGGGTGGCCCAGACAGGCGCCCCCATGTGATCGTTTTCTCATTCATTGTTTCGCCGATCGGCGCGGGCCCTCGCACCCACCCTTCCCCCCCCATGGAGTGGACCTTGGCTGTTTTTGTCGCCTGTCTCGAGCAGGGGGAGTCTACCCCAGAGGACGCACGGTCCCAAACAGTCGCACTAAGCAGAGGTCTGGAGCCAGACCCCACCCTCTCGCCCCCTTCCGCCCAATGTCGAAACCCCGAATAAAAAAAACGCTCACCATCAGCCCCAGCAGCCCCCCCTAGTACCCTATATTGTCGTAGGGCAGCCAGGGCCAAACAGGCCCAGATGCCCAAAGGAGGAGGAGGAGGAGGAAGAGGAGGAGGAGGAGGAGGAGGAGGGAGGGGGCAAGAAGGCAGAAATAAACGACAGGAAAAGAGGAACCCATGGGAAGTGTAGGGGAAGAGAAAGTAACATCGACAACTCTTGAGATATGGAACCCAGTGGTAATGTATAGATGTATATATGTATGTATGCATGCATGTACGTATGTATGTCTGTATGCATGTATGCATGTATGCATGTATGTATTCATGTATGCATGTATGTATGTATGCATGTATATATATATGTATGAATATGTGTACGTGTGTATCTTTGTGTGTTTATGTATGTATGCATGTATGTATGTATGTATGTATGTATGTATGTATGTATGTATGATAGAGCGCGCGCGTGGGGCCCGATAGACTAAAAGGGGGGACCCAGCTTGAAGCTACCCCCCTCCCCCTTCCTTGCTAAAGGGGGGGGGGGCTTCGGAAGCCCCCCCCCCTCCCCCTTTTCGTGGTTCGGAAAGGGGGGCGGGGCTTCCAAGCTACCCCCCCCTCCCTCCCTCCCTTTAATTGAGCGGGGTGAGTGAGCCAAGCCCCCCCCCCCTCCCTCCCTCCCTTGGTAAAGGGGGGGGGGCTTGAAGCCCCCCCCCCTTCCCCCCTTTGGCCGCCCAGCTCCCGGAGCCATCGCCCTCCCTTTCGCTTCCATTTATTCCTGCCCATCTCCCTCCTCTTCTTCCTTTTGCCTCCTCCTTTTCCTCGTCCTGCTCATCCTCCTCATAGTCATCATCGTCATCATCGTCATCATCATCGTCGTCATCATCATCATCAGCATCATCATCATCGTACTCCCCCGCGGGTCCTTCCGTTCCGTTCCTCCTCCTCATCCTCCTCGGTTTTCTCCTCCTCCTCCATTTTTCCCTCTTCCTCCTCCTCCTCCTCCTCCTCCTCATCATCATCATCATCACCATCATCATCATCAGCATCATCATCATCATCATCATCATCATCATCATCAATCATCCTCTTCCTCCTCCATCCTCCTCGAGATCTCTCCTCCTCCGTTTCCCCACTCCTCCTCCTCCTCCTCCTCCTCCTCCTCCTCCTCCTCCTCCCTCTCCTCCTCCTCCTCCTCCTCCTCTCCTCCTCCTCCTCCTCCTCCTCCTCCTCCTCCTCCTCTCCTCCCCAAATTCTTTTCCCACCGCCCCACCACCCCACCACGTCCGTCACCCGAACTCGCGCGCTCTTCTAATCTGGGTCCGTCCTCCTCCTCAGTCCTCATCCTCCCTCCTCCTCCTCCTCCTCCTCCTCCTCCTCCTCCTCCTCCTCCCCCTCCTCCTCCCCCTCCGCCTCCCCCATCCTCCGCCTCCTCCTCCCCCAGCTGGCCGCCGTCTTACACGAACACTGCCAAACCCGACGGGCTGGCGTCTTCCGAATTACACTTCGTGCAACTTTCGGGGGGATAGTATTTTTCCCAACCCTCCTTGGTTGGGTATTCGTTTTGAATAGGGCAGTGTGGTCTCCACTTCCTCCTTCCCGTCCCGTCTCCCTCTTGCCTCCTCCTGTCTTGCTTGCGGGGGGCTGCGATCTGTGAAACTGTCGCCACTTTCGAGGCTTGCTGGGGGGCCTAGCACAGTGACGCCACGGGCGGACCCAAACTAGACCTCGCCATCCCTGGGGGGCTGCGATCTGTGAAACTGTCGCCACTTTCGAGGCCTGCTGGGGGGCCCAGCACAGTGACGCCACACGCAGATTCAAATTAGACCTCGCCATCCCTGGGGCTGCGATCTGTGAAACTGTCGCCACTTTCGAGGCCTGCTGGGGGGCCCAGCACAGTGACGCCACGGGCGGATTCAAATTAGACCTCGCCATCCCTGGGGGGCTGCGATCTGTGAAACTGTCGCCACTTTCGAGGCCTGCTAGGGGGCCCAGCACAGTGACGCCACACGCAGATTCAAATTAGACCTCGCCATCCCTGGGGGGCTGCGATCTGTGAAACTGTCGCCACTTTCGAGGCCTGCTGGGGGGCCAGCACAGTGACGCCACACGCAGATTCAAATTAGACCTCGCCATCCCTGGGGGGCTGCGATCTGTGAAACTGTCGCCACTTTCGAGGCCTGCTGGGGGGCCCAGCACAGTGACGCCACGGGCGGACCCAAATGAGACCTCGCCATCCCTGGGGGGCTGCGATCTGTGAAACTGTCGCCACTTTCGAGGCCTGCTGGGGGGCCCAGCACAGTGGGTACCCACCGCAGACTCAAATGGGACCTCGCCATCCCTGGGGGGCTGCGATCTGTGAAACTGTCGCCACTTTCGAGGCCCGCTGGGGGGCCCAGCACAGTGGGTACTCACGGCAGACTCAAATGGGACCTCGCCATCCCTGGGGGCTGCGATCTGTGAAACTGTCGCCACTTTCGAGGCCTGCTGGGGGCCCAGCACAGTGACGCCACGCGCGGACCCAAATTAGACCTCGCCACCCCTGGGGGGCTGCGATCTGTGAAACTGTCGCCACTTTCGAGGCCTGCTGGGGGGCCCAGCACAGTGACGCCACGCGCGGACCCAAGTTAGACTTCGCCATCCCTGGGGGGCTGCGATCTGAGATCCCCGCTTTCGAAGTGGCTAGGGTTGCTCAGGGATTGCAACTAATCAGCTTTATCTATTTCTTGTCCTGAAGCCAGTTTCCTGCGAGTCTCCCGAATTCCGTCTGCAGACATATGTAACCCTCGCTCCGTCATCGCCCCCCTTATAAAGTGTCCTAAACGATTTACGCCCCGCGTTTGCGCAGGGGTTGGGTACGTCGCCAGTTTAATTTTTCGTTCCCGGGCGTTGGCACGGGACGAGTTGAATGATACACTTGCGTTGCAATCGATTGCAATCCATTGCGTTGCAAACGATTCGATTGCAATTCATTGGATTGCAATCGATTGGATTGGAATCGGTTGAATTGCAATCGATTCAATCGATTGGATTGCAGGGGAGGGACAGGACGGAAGGGAGGGAGGGGAGGAGAGGGAGGGGAGGGAGGAGATGGAACGAAGGGTGTGGAGGGAGGGGAGGGAGCGGAGGGAGGTGGGGAGGGGGATTGCAGTGGAATGGAGTGCAATCGATTGCAAGCGATTCGATTGAGATTTTCGATCGTCGATCGTTGATCGTCGATCGTCCATCCTCGATCGTGGATTGTTCATTTTGGATCGTCGGCGAAAGGGAGGGCGGAGGCTCCGGGGGCTGGGCGGCCAAAGGGGGCAAGGGGGGGGGGCAAGCTTCCAAGCCCCCCCCCCCTTTGGCACAAAGGGGGGGAGGGGGGTGGGAGCTTCCAGCAGGGCGGCTCCAAGGGAGGGGGGCGGTAGCTTAAGCACCCCCCCGGGGGTAGGGGGGGGTAGCTTCCGGGGCGGCCAAAGGGGGGGGAGGTGGGTAGCTTCCAATCACCCCCCCCTTTGCACGAATGGGGTGGGGGAGGGGGGGGGTATCTTCCAGCAGGGCAGCGCCAAGGAGGGGGGGGGTAGCTAGAAAGCAACCCCCCCCCTTATGAAAGAGGGGGAGGAGGGGGGGTAGCGTTTCGGGAGGGCCCAATGGGGGGAGGGGTGGGGGTAGCTGTAAAGCCACCCCCCCCTTGCAAAAAAAAGGAGGGGAGGGGGGGGGTGTGCTTCCAACAAGGGCGGCTCAAGGGAGGGGGGGTAGCTTAAGCCTAGCCCCCCCTCCCCTTTGCTCGGGCCCTGCGGGCGCGCTCTCTCGTATGTATGCATGTATGGAATGGCATGGCATGGCATGGCATGGCATGGAATGAAATGGAATGGCATGGAATGGAATGGAATGGAATGGAATGGACTGGAATATGTATGTATGTACATCTATATATATGTATATATATACGTAGCACCCCGCAATTTCGGATAAGAGTGAGGGGGCGGGCGCGGGCGACGCGGGCGTCGTCGAGCCGGCGGACCTCGTGGCCCCCACCTTCCTTGTCGATGGCGCTCTCCTCCACCTCCTCCTCCTCCTTCTCCTCCTCTTCCTCCTCCTTCTCCTCCTCCTCTTCCTCGTCCTCATCGTCATCGTCATCCTCCTCCTCCACCTCGCCCTCCTCCTCCTCCTCCTCCTCTTCTTCCTCGTCCTCCCTCTCCCCCCCTCGTCTTTTCATCATGGTCCTCCCATTGTCGTCCTCCCCCTCATCGGCCTCCATCATCGTCCTCCCATTGTCGCCCATCATCATCATCCTCCCCATCCTCCCCCTCCTCGTCCTCCTCCTCCCCCTCCTCCCCCTCCTCCCCCTCGTCCTCCTGCTCCTCCTCCTTTTCTTTTTCCACGTTCTCCTTGCATCCTCTCTTCTTCCACGTTCTCCTCGTCCCCTGTTTACTCATCCTGCCTCCCCCTCCTTTCCCAAGATAACTGCAACGCAATCTTTTGTTCCACTTTATGCTCCCCGCCTTCTCTGATCAAGGCAACTCGCCAGGGCAAAGTTGCTGGACGGGCTGGCGTGGATGTGCGGGGCGTGAAGAGGTCCTTGCGGGCTCAGACGGCATGCAAGAATCCGCCGCCGCGCTTGTGCGGCATTGGTTTGTTCAGTGAACGTGGTTTAGGTCGCGGGTGGGTCGCGGGCTCTCCACCTCCACCTGGAAGGAATGCAAAAGCAGCCCGCCGCAAGCGCCAAAAAAATTGGTTCGTACACGGAACGAGGTTTGGGTCGCGGGTGGGCCGCGGGTTCTCCACAGGGAACGAATGCAAAGGATGCCCGCCGCAGGCGCCGAAAATGTGGTTTGTACCCTGAACGTGGTCGCGGGTGGGCCGCGGGCTCTCCACCTAAAACGAATGCAAAATATGCCCGCCGCAGGCGCCGAAAAATGTGGTTTGTACCCTGAACGTGGTTTGGGTCGCGGGTTGGTCGCGAGTTGGTCACGGGATGTGTCGCGGGCTCTCCACTTGGAAGGAATGCAAAAAAGCCCGCCGCAGGCGCCGAAAATTGTGGTTTGTACCTTGAACGTGGTTTGGGTCGAAGGTGGGTCGCGGGTGGGTCGCGCGGTAGGTCGCGGGTGGGTCGCGGGTGGGTCGCGGGTGGGTCGCGGGTGGGTCGCGGGTGGGTCGCGGGGTGGGTCGCGGGGGGGTCGCGGGGTGGGTCGCGGGTTGGGTCGCGGGGTGGGTCGCGGGGTGGGTCGCGGGGTGGGTCGCGGGGTGGGTCGCGGGTGGGTCGCGGGTGGGTCGCGGGTGGTCGCGGGTGGGTCGCGGGGTGGGTCGCGGGTGGTCGCGGGTGGGGTCGCGGGGCGGGTTGCGGGTGGACGACGACAACAAACGACAACAACAACAACAACAACAACAACAACAACAACAACAACAACAACAACAACAACAACAACAACAAACAACAACAACAACAACAACAACAACAACAACAAACAACAACAACAACAAACAACAACAACAACAACAACAACAACAACAACAACAACAACAACAACAACAACAACAACAACACGAATCCGCACCGCGAAATTCCACATCAGCCACGCACCCAGGGACAGTGAATGACCGTTCGGCCCCCTCACTCTGATATATATTGTATGTGTGTCCCTGGGCCCCATGGAAGGAGGATGGCGAGGAGGACGGCGGCGCCTGCGCCCGCCCCGCCGCTCGACTCTCGGCCGCGGGACCACCGCGCCACGGGGCCGACCGCGTGCGCGCGCCCACCGTCGTGGCACCGTGGCCCGCCCCCTCTCCCCGTCCCCGAAGGTGCCGCGGGCCTCCCTGGACGGACGTGGCGCGGCGCCGGGGCGAGAGGGCTCCACTCCGATCGGGAGCCAGCCCTGAGACGGGGGTTAGTGCAAACGGGGGTCAGCCAGAGCGCCAGATCTAGCAGGATCCTGCAGAGACCCCCTCTGGCTGACCGAAGGGTTCGCGAGCCGCCTGTGGCCGCGAGGCGGCCGCTCGTAGTGGCCGACCCGGGTCTGCGAAGGCCTGCGCTGCAGTTTTTTTTTTCTGCATGGCAGTTTTGGGTTTCCTGCTGACCCGGGTCTGGATTGACCCGGGTCAGAAGGTCCCCGAAGTCTGACAGAGGCCCGCCCTCCACCCCTGCGCAATTTTTCTGCTGGGGCGGACGTGCGCGGCTCCGCGGCGAGCGCTCCCTGTTGAGAACGGCCCGCCCTCCAGCGTCGAGTCTGCTGCGGATGTCAAGCCTCACAAATCATATACACTAGGCATCGCTCGGACGCGTGCGTTTTTTCTCGGCGAGGACCATCGAAGAGAATCCTGGATCACCGAGCAAGAAAAACACGCACAACACCGAACACAACGCACAGGGAACGGACGTCCGAGCGGCGGAAGTACAGGTTGGGGAAGTCTGTGGCGAAACGCCAGGCGCGCCCGACGGACACATCCCGGGGCACGACAGGGACGAGCTGTTTCAAGGGAAGAGGGACGTGGGAGGAGGAGGAGATCGGGGGCGGCAAAGAGGGGGATGATGACTAGGGGGGGTGGATATCATGGCGGGGGCCATGATATTTCCCAGATTTCATGGCGCCTCTTCTTATTTCATTCCGTCCCTGGTCCCCCCGCTGGGCCGCGCACATGCCGCCGGTCATGATTTGCACCCCCCCCTCTTGGATACCCCCCTCTTGGCCGCTCCCGAGAAGAGGGACGGGGGAGGAGGAGGAGAAGGAGGAAGAGGAGGAGGAGCAGGATGAGCATGATGATCAGGAGGAGTGGGAGCAGCAACGCGTGGGGGAGGAGCAGCATCGGAAGGAGAGGGGGCTTGCGCAGAAGGAAAGGGGAAAGGTATGCTGGGCGCCCAGAGTCGAGATTACGGATGCAGACAGGAGGAGGCGCAGGAGGAGGAGGAGTTGGCCGAGGAGGAGAGGGAGGAGGAGAAGGCAAAGAGAGGGCAGGCAGTGGTGCAGGAGTGGAAATGGCACAGGAGGAGGAGGAGGAGGAGGCCAGTAAGCGTATGCAGGAGGATGAAGAGGAGGAGTGGAATCCAGAAATCAGGGGAGGGAGGGGGAGGAGTGTATGCGCTAGGGAGGGGGTTCCAGCGCAGATCCAAGGAATCCGCGTCTGGTGGCGATGTGGGAGGTGATGTGGAGTGCAGCCCTCTCCCCTCCTGTGATCAGGACGCTGTCAGTTGGGACGTGCGTGGTGATCGCGCCGGCGACTTCTACAGGGAGAATCAGGGCCTCATTCCGAAGAGTGCTGATTGACTCGTCGAGAGGTTCAGGCGGCCGTCCCTCGATGTAGTTCGCAACCTCAGCCTCACCTGTATTGTCTTGTTGCCTCATGCTCGTAACGACGAAAGCCAGTCAGCCCATGCTTGCGACGGTGGCGCGGGGTTGGTGCCAGGGGCGTGGAATCCGTGCAGTGCCGCCGCCGCAGGGAAGCCACAGTTTCGCACCTCGTGTCATGCGTGACGCAGATCGCAGAAGAACCCACTGCATCACCATAAACTTTCGGAGCTCGGCGCAGATCTCTTGGGATCAGCGCTGGACCCCCCCGGCGCGCTCCGCGCGGAGCTCCGAGAGTGTATGGGCCTGCCGTCTTTTCTTCTTCTAGAAGACCACCCGCAGGGGTCCAATAGAATCGTGCTTTGCCCGTCGCGGTCTGCTCAGGAGAGCTATCCAGTTGCAGAGGGTAGCTCACGCGATCTCGAAGATGTTTGACGACATTCCGCGCAGCGAGAAACGCGAATGTTGGTGACCTAGACGATGGAGGGGTCCTGGTGGTCCCAGAGAGCTTTAGAGGCTTTAGGCGTGGCAGCCGCTGCGATGCCTCTCGCCTCCACTGAAAAACCGTAGGTGTTTGGGCATTCGGGTCGTGCGTGACGTGCCCTGGCTTCTGGGCACCGTGGGAACACTCGACGTTGTTTTGTTGCTCGGTTTCGGGCTCCCAGAATTTCCCGATTTGATCCAGGTCGAGAAATCCGTCATGAACGGGTTCAAGATTTCGGGCCGTGATTTTTGTTCACGACCTTGTGATCTGTTCGTGTCGTCGGACGTTGGGAAGCGCGAGGAGCTTTCCTTGAGTTCCGGCGGGCTTCAACCTTATTGCGGCTCACAATGAATTGTAGTTGCTGCAGTTGTTGTTGTCGAATGAGGACGATTAGACCGGCCCGGGGGGACCCCAGCAACCCCAGCAACCCCAGCAACCCCAGCAACCCTTCCGCGGCCGCGGAAGGGGTCCTGGTAGGATCCCATAGGATTCCTGAGGGATCCCTATCGGATTCCTCAGGGATCCCATAGGATTCCTTAGGGATCCCATAGGTTTCCTATACGATTCCTATAGGATTCCTTAGGGATCCCATAGGATTCCTATACGATTCCTATAGGATTCCTAAGGGATCCCATAGGCTTCCTCAGGGATCCCATAGGATTCCTCAGGGTACCTAAGGGATACCCATAGGATCCCCATAGGATTCCTAAGGGATCCCATAGGATTCCCATACGATTCCTTTAGGATCCGCATAGGATTCCTATAGGATTCCAGTAGGATTCCTAAGGGATCCCATAGGATTCCTCAGGGACCCCATCGGATTCCCAAGGGACCCTACAGGATTCCTCAGGGATCCCATAGGATTCCTAAGGGCTCCCATAGGATTCCTAAGGGACCCCATAGGATTCCTAAGGGATCCTGTAGGATTCCTTAGGGATTCCATAGGATTCCTAAGGGATCCCATAGGATTCCTAAGGGATCCTATAAGATTCCTATAGGATTCCTAAGGGATCCCATAGGATTCCTATAGGATTCCTAAGGGGTCCAATAGGATCCTCTAGGGATTCCTCAGGGATCCCATAGGATCCTCTAGGGTTCTTAATGAATCCTATAGTATTCCTAAGGGATCCCATAGGATTCCTAAGGGATCCCATAGGATTCCTAAGGGATCCCATAGGATTCCTAAGGGATCCTATAGGATTCCTAAGGGATCCCATAGGATTCCTAAGGGATCCCATAGGATTCCTAAGGGATCCTATAGGATTCCTAAGGGATCCCATAGGATTCCTAAGGGATCCTATAGGATTCCTAAGGGATGCCATAGGATTCCTAAGGGATCCTATAGGATTCCTAAGGGATCCCATAGGATTCCTAAGGGATCCCATAGGATTCCTAAGGGATCCTATAGAATTCCTAAGGGATCCCATAGGATTCCTAAGGGATCCTATAGGATTCCTATAGGATTCCTAAGGAATCCTATAGTATTCCTAAGGGATCTTATAGGATCCTATAGGGTCCTATAGGATCCTATAGGGTCCTATATTTTTCCTATAGGATTTCATAGATTTCCTATAGGATCCTATAGGATTTCTATAGGATCCTATAGGATTTCCTATGGGATTTCATAGGATTTCTAGAGGATCCTATAGATCCTATAGGATCTTATAGGATCCTAGCAGAGCTCCTCATAGAGCTCATAGAGCTCCTCTATGGGATTCCTAAGGGATCCTATAGGATTCCGAAGGGATCCCACAGGGTTCCTAAGGAATCCTATAGGATTCCTAAGGGATCCTATAGGATTCCTAAGGGATTCCATAGGATTCCTAAGGGATCCCACAGGGTTCCTAAGGAATCCATAGGATTCCTAAGGGATCCTTTAGGATTCCTAAGGGATCCCATAGGACTATAGGATTCCTATAGGATTCCTAAGGAATCCCTATAGGATTCCTAAGGGATCCCATAGGATTCCTAAGGAATCCCATAGGATTCCTAAGGAATCCCATAGGATTCCTAAGGGATCCTATAGGATTCCTAAGGAATCCCATAGGATTCCAAAGGGATCCTATAGGATTCCTATAGGATTCCTAAGGAATCCTATAGTATTCCTAAGGGATCCTATAGGATTTCCTATAGGATCCTATAGGATTTCTCGAGGATCCTATAGGATTCCTCAAGAGCTCGCTGCACCGGTGCGCACACGCGTCGTGCTGTCAGAATCCGCATGGAGGACGTAGCGTTGAGAGCTTGGTCTGTGGAGGTAAGCTTTCGGGGTTGCTGGGGGTTGCTGGGGTTGCTGGGGTTGCTGGGGTCCCGCGGTTGCCCCCGGGCCGGTCAAGTCGGCCTTGTCCCTAGGGGAGGAGGCGCTGTGGAGCTCCCCACTGGACGGGCCGGTCAACTGCGCCTCGTTCTTGTTGTCGCTGCCCGAGTGGAGAGGCTCCATTGGCCCAGCTAGAGGAAGCATGGGCCACGACATAGTAATTTGTTGTGGCCTCTAATGCTTTGTCCTGCAAGGCTATCGTGGACGCTTGTTACTACCTGGGAGCTGTTATCTTCTGAGCACTTGTGATTGTATTTGCGGCATGGGCTACTATAATCAGCAATTTGTTATCATTAGCTGTTCAGCCAATAGCGACTTTGCCTTGGTGGAACATGTACAGCCTGTGGCAGTTTCAAAAAGAGTAGATTCCCACTTGTCAGTTTGCGGGTCTTCTACCCTTTGTCTGTGACATTCGTGCGTGTTGGGCGTGTCGAACGTCAGGTAAGGTGGCAGAATGTTGCTACGCATCGTATGTGTCTGGAGTCATCGCAGCACAGTCATGGATCTACTGGGCATTCTTACATGTCTGTATCAGAATGTCCCGTATCTGTTTGTCAACACACCGCATGCGCATGGAGCCTGTACAATTGTGGGCAGCCTCTCGCTATCATAACGCGAAGTGTGCGTGACGTTGGCGTAAGGGCGCCGATCATTGCACTTTCATTATGCCCGAGTGGTACACCCATGCGATCGATGTATATACACATATATATATAGATGTATATGTATATGTACATCCCTCTATATATACAGATTTATATTTAGATATTGATGTACATCGGTTGTGTGAGCGTACACGCATAACTATATGTTATGTCATGTCGCAGTACATGCATGTGCGTACATAATTATGTATGGTTCATGTATGCGTATTCCTCTCTCGGTTGCCCATTCGTGCTCGACCATTGCCAGAAAGCTTTGCATTTGCGTTGCAGCACGGTGCGCCCAGTAGGAATGTATGCATTGACGTTCTCGTGCCCTGTTAGTTTTCTCTACGCTCCTTGAAGGAGGTAGGATCGTTTTTCGGCAGACATTGGCTATGGCGCGATCCGCATTGTCACGAGGAGCTTGACCTCAGTTGTAAAGGGATTAGGGAACGTTCTTGCGGACTCAGGTGCCGCGTTATGATGAGCGGCATCCATCATGGAATATCGTCGCTACATGCTCAGATTCCGTGATTCTTGCGTTTCTCTGTTTGTTTTAGGAGTCCCAGTTGGTGTGAGCATGATCCCGTTCTGCTCTCTCGGGCCGCCGGGACTCCTGTGGCGTATCGGGCGTCGCTCCGTGGGGTCTCTCGAAGCGGCTCGGTATGGCAGGTTCGCGTCGTGTCGACCGGCGGCGACCTCAGCGCGTGCGTTTAAGGTTGAACGCCGCCCGTGGCCCAGAATCGGCCCGTCGTTGACCGATCCGGCGTTAGTGAAACGGCCGATCGTTCAAGTTTGAAACGATCCCCGCGGTGTCAGGAACCAACGCCGGGGTCGACACGACGCGATTCTGCCGCAGAAAGGATTGCGGTGCGTCGTGGCGGGACCCAGGGCCGTTTTGAAGCCCCCCTGCGGCGGCCCACGGCAGTCGGCGGAGCCCCTCGGGTCGCCACGCGGCCGTCTTCGTGGCCTCGGGGGGCTTTTTGCGGGGTGGTCCTTCGGCATGCCGCCTCCTACCTTGAGCAGTCCAGGGCATCGCAGCGTGCCAAGGCCACCGCATCGCAGCACCGAGGGGATGTCAAAGTGTTTCACCCAGGGCCCGGTGGCAGAGCGCCCTGGAGACTCGGCGAGGGCTTCTGGCCATCGATGAGCAGACGTCGGAGAAGAAGCAGAGACCACCGCCATCTGGAGCCCATCGGGGGGAGACGGCCGCGGTCCCTGGACGGTGGCACGCCCTAGCGTCACCCAGTACCAGACGACGCTCGGGTGTGCAGCTGTCCAGGAGCGGGTCTTTCCGGAGGGGTCCTCCGTGACCGCGGTATGTGTTTCTCCTCGGAGACTTGGGCAGATCCAGGGGCCTCTTGGTGTCCTGCCAGCCTCCTTGGACGGGCGCGGGGGAATGCTGCAGATCCCGCCGCTTCTCAGGGTGGTCTTGGGTTGCCCCGGGCCCATCTCCGGGCTGCAGGGATCGCAGTGGTGGCGAGACGAGCCCTGACCCCAAAATGGCACCCCCAGCCCCCGACGGCGGCACCCGCTGGCAGATCCCTGGCGTGTGTGTGTGTGTGTGTGTAAGTGTGTGTAAGTGTGTGTGTAAGTGTGTGTAAGTGTGTGTAAGTGTGTGTAAGTGTGTGTGTGTGTGTGTAAGTGTGTGTGTGTGTAAGTGTGTGTATGCGTGCGTGCGTGCGTGCGTGCGTGCGTGCGTGCGTGCGTGCGTGCGTGCGTGCGTGCGTGCGTGTGTGTGTGTGTGTGTGTGCGTGTGTGTGCGTGTGTGTGTGTGTGTGTGTGTGTGTGTGTGTGTGTGCTGGCACTGGGGTTGGGATGTTTGGGAACGAACGGCGAGCGCTCGAGCGCGAGCCTCGATGACCTTCGAGGCTGGCGCTCAAGCGTGGGCCGGTACCCAAAAATCCCGCTCCCAGCCACGGCACCAGACCGTTGAGCTTCTTTCGGCCCCGTGGTGGTTGAGTGCGGGGGTCTGTTGCTGGATGAGAGAGGGGCGCTCCTTTGGAACTGACAGATCTGCGACCACTTGCGAACCCCACCCCTACGGTTTCAATCGACGCTGGGGTATCGGACACCCCCGCTGGGGTTCACCTTGCTTCAGGCATCCTTCAAATTCTGTACCCCAGCCGGCTTTTCTGAAATCTGGCCTGCAGGGGTGGGGCTCATATGTCAATGCCTAAATCAGGCGATCGCCCACATGGATCAAGGGGGCGTGGATTAGCGGCGGGTCCCGTTTCCATGGGGAATCGCGGATTTCCGCCGCCGAGCGAGGCGGCACCGGCCGCATTTTGGGGAGCGCACCTCCCCCGATCCATGGATTTGGCGACCGCGCGCCAAATTCATGGATCGCTGATCTATGTTTGAGCGCCCCCGACTGACGAGTAACCCTACCAGCCGGCTACCATGCGCAACGCTATACCTTGCTCCCCCTTGCGAGGGCACGGCGGCGGATAGACAGCGTTGCCATAGCCAGTGCTGTCCTCCAGGCAGCGGGGCACCGCGAGTGGTGACTCCTGCTGGGCCTGTGCTGTGTCACGTGGGCTTTCAGGGCCCAGAGCCCCGCGGCTTGGGCCACGCGATGGACGCGGGTGGCGGCGGTGGCGTCCGTACCCTCGTCCCTCGGCTGGTCCTCCGCGCCGCGTAACAAGGTGCAGCGTGATGCACGGGACTGCGAGGAAAGAATGTGGGAGGCGTGAGGAGGAGGAAGAAGAAGAAGAAGAAGAAAACGACGAAGACGAAGAAGAAGACTAAGAAGAAGACGAATAATAATAAGAGGAATAAGAGGAGGAGGAAGAGGAGGAGGAGGAGGAGGAGGAGGAGGAGGAAGAGGAGGCTCTTTAGCCCGTGAAGGGGGTCGCGGTCGTGGTTGCTGGCACGCCGCGGCCCTCACGACCGAAGCTCCCACCTGCCTGTGGGTGTGGTGTGGGGGGGCAACGCACGCCTGCTCGTGCCCGTAAGCTGGGGCCGAGCCGGGCCACCCGCTGGCCACAACCTGGCCGAAACATTGGGGCGGGGGCCACCTTTCGCGAGGCCTCCTCGAGGAGGGAGGAGGGAGGAGGGAGGGAGGGAGGAGGAGGGAGGAGGAGTAGGAGTAGGAGTCAAGCTAGCCAGCTCGAGCGAGAAGAGGGAGGAAGAAGAAGAAAACGACGAAGACGAAGAAGAAGACTAAGAAGAAGACGAATAATAATAAGAGGAATAAGAGGAGGAGGAAGAGGAGGAGGAGGAGGAGGAGGAGGAGGAGGAAGAGGAGGCTCTTTAGCCCGTGAAGGGGGTCGCGGTCGTGGTTGCTGGCACGCCGCGGCCCTCACGACCGAAGCTCCCACCTGCCTGTGGGTGTGGTGTGGGGGGGCAACGCACGCCTGCTCGTGCCCGTAAGCTGGGGCCGAGCCGGGCCACCCGCTGGCCACAACCTGGCCGAAACATTGGGGCGGGGGCCACCTTTCGCGAGGCCTCCTCGAGGAGGGAGGAGGAGGAGGGAGGAGGAGGAGGAGGGAGAGGAGTAGGATAGGAGTCAAGCTAGCCAGCTCGAGCGAGTCAAGCATGGCATGCCCAGTCCCACCCGCCCTCCCACAACATAAGAAGCAAAGCTGGCACAACTGGGGGCCGAAGTCACACCGGCCAGCCGGTTTGGTACAGCTGATGCGGCCGCGATGGCGGTTGCCGACGGGAACTGGCGAGCGCGTGTTGAATGCCGCGCACGCATTGCCAGACGAGTCGAGAATGGCCCCGTACACCGCAGGAAGCCAGAGGTGGCCGGAGGAAGCCCGACGGTCTGACAGGACACCCCAAAGCATTTTTGTGAAAAAGCATTGGGTTTTTGATGTTTTTATGTTGAAATGCTTGCAAACACACGGTGTTCGGTAGGATTCTGACATGAACGCGCGAGTGTGCTCTTTGTGGTATTTTTTGCACAGGATTCGCGGCCTGGGTGCATGACAGAGCATCGCGAGTGCACCGCGCGATGACGTGAAATCGCTGGATTTGACAGAATTCATAAGATTCCTATGGTTTTCCTATGATTTCAGCAAGAGAGCCCGGGCGGGAAATTTGTACAATTTTTGTGAAAAGCATTGGGTTTTTGATGTTTTTATGTTGAAATGCTTGCAAACACACGGTGTTCGGTAGGATTCTGACATGAACGCGCGCGTGTGCTCTTTGTGGTGTTTTTTGCAATGGATTATCGCCGTGGACGACATGACGTCCATGTCGAGAGGAAAAAATAAGAAAAATGTTGATTTTGTATTGTTTTTTACAGGTTAGGATGGGACCACCCGGATGCGCCCGCTATCTGCCGGCCTGAGGGGGGAGTAGGAGTATATTCTAATAAGGAATAAGGATAGGAGGAGGGAGGGACGGAGGAGCAGGGCCGTTTTTTTCACCGCTTCCGAAAAAAATGCCCCTTGAAAATGGAAGCGGCAAAGAAACGGCGACCGGAAACGGCAACAAAAACGGCTCCAGGATTGGAGCCGGAGCCGGAACCGGTCAAAAAGCGGCGACCAGTAAAAAAACGGCGCCGGAACCGGCAAAAAACGGCAAAACGGAACCGGTAAAAAAACGGCCCTGTCGTTTCCAGGACCCTTTAAGCCGCTGGCCACAACCTGGCCGAAACATTGGGGGGCTGGTAGTTTGGTCGTCGTTTTCTTATTCGTTGTTTTGCCGATCGGCGCGGGCCCTCACACCCTTCCCCTCACCCCATGGATTAGATCTCGGCTGGTTTGGGCGCCTGTTTCAGGCAAGTGGGGTCTCCCCCACAGGAGGCACTGCTGCAAACAGTGACATTCAGCAGAGGTCCGTAGCCAGAAGCCCCCCCTCCCGCCAATGTCGAAACGCCTAAAAAGAAAACGTTCACGTAGTTTGCCTTTCTCATCAGGACTTCTTTGCCGCCGTCTGTGGAGGGGGCGGGAGTGAAGGCGGATGTTGAGGAGGAGGCCGAGGGTTGACAGGATCAGGGATACGGCAAGGGTGAGTTGGAGGAGACCCGTTGCGGGTCGTCCCGGGGCTATGAGAAATTGTTCGCCACCGGAAAAAAGAGTCCTGTGGCTTAGGACGAGGTCTCTGCCCCCTCCCGCCAGCACCCCCACTCCTTCTCCCCTTCCTCCTCCTCCTCCTCCTCCTCCTCCTCCTCCTCCTCGTCCTCCTTCTCTTCTTCCTCCTGCTCCTCCTCATCCTCCTCCTCACCGTTCTCATCTCCCCATATCTGCTTTGAGCAGAGGTGGCTGCCACAAGGTATGCTGATTGCATATACCGTGCGCCAGCACCAGGTGCCAAAAACGGTCGTCGCAACAGGCTCGGGGACAAGAAGGTGACCCTCCCAATCTTCACGACCACCGCCTTCAAGGATGAGAGAGCTTATGCAGCCCCCCCGACTATCAGGGATGTGTCCACCCCCAGGGGCATCAGTAATACTTGGCATCGCTCGGACGTGTGCATTTTTCCTTCGGCGAGGACCATCGAGGAGCATCCTTGATCATTTGGCGGAAAAAACCACGCACGAAACCGAAAAAAGCACAGGGACTGGACGTCCGAGCGATGACCAGAATACACTACAATCCCCCCCCCCCCCTCTCTTCCTCCTCCCTTGCCCCCACCACCACGCCAGAAGCCAGAGGCGGCAGCGAGAGGTGGACCGCGGCAGTCCGCGGGAGGCTCCGCGGCGCGGCTGCCTGCGGAGGATCGGCACAGGGGGCTCGTGCCCTCGCCGGAGGCGGCAGGCGACCGGCGCGTGTCGACGGGCGCGGAGGGGGGGGGGCGGGGGGCAGGGCCTTCTTGCAGAGCCTGGCATCGCTCGGACGTGTGCATTTTTTTCGGCGAGGACCATCGAGGAACATCCTTGACCATTTGGCGAAACAAACCACGCACGAAACCGAAGAAAGCACAGGGAATGGACGTCCGAGCGATGGCCAGAGAGAGGCCCCTGCCGTCCGAGGGGGCGCAGGGAGTTTTCGAGGCCAGGGGCTCCCAGACGGCCCCCGGGGGCCCCTCCGAAGGCCTGGGCCGTTCCCTCGGGGGAAGGGGTCGGGAGCGTTGGGGCGGGGGTCAGTGCAAGCGGGGGTCAGCCCGAGCGCCCGATCTTGCAGGCATCCTGCAGGGCCAGGGTCGCAGTGACCCGAGCCTGGGCGCAGGATCCTGCAGGGTCTCGCAGGATCCTTCGCGCTGACCCGGGCCTGGGTGCAGGGCCTCGCAGGAGCTTGCAGGATTCTGCAAGGCCTCACTGACCCGGGTCTGGATTGGCCTGGGTCAGAAGCTCCCCGAAGGGGCCCGTCCCTGCTGTGAGGGCCCGACACCTTTCTAAAAAACGCCGCTCAAGCGGTCTGCCCATGTTGTGCCCGCCGCCATGCAAGGATCGCTCACCGTGTGGCATGGGCTCCTTTCCACGGCTATATCCGCCGTTGCTGCGCCTTCCCTCGCACCCCATACGATTCCCTTTTTTCACGATCCCGTCTCAGCCTCCTTGCCCATCCTCCTCCTTTCTTCCTGCTCACTATTCGTTTTCTTCGTCATTCTCCTCGACCATCCTCCTCGTCAGCATCCTCCCCCCCTCCTCTTCCGCCTCCTCCTTCTCCTCCTTCTCCTTCTCCTCCTCCTCCTCCTCCTCCTCCTCCTCCTCCTCCTCCTCCTCCTCCTCCTTCTCATCATCACCATCATCATCAGCAGCAGCAACATCATCATCAGCATCCTTATGTTTTTCATCATCCTCCTCCTCGTATTATCAATCCTCCATCCATCATCGCCCTTCTTGTGGTCCGTCTCGTCGTCCCCCCTCCTCTCCTATCCTCTGCTCCGCTTACCTCCCCACTCCTCACCTGCCTCCCCTCCTCCTCCTCCTCCTCCTCCTCCTCTCCTCCTCCTCCTCCACCACCTCTCCTCCCTCCTCCTCCTCCTCCTCCTCCTCCTCCTCCTCGTACTCCTCCTCCGCCTCCTTCTCGGCGCCCTCATCTCGCAGAGGAGACGCAGAGAGGCGACGCTCGGGCATGCCACCGCCCAGGGGTCCCCCCCCCCCGATGGGGTCGTTTCCCTCATCCCCTCATATCCCCCCCTCATCCTCGTCCACCCCAGCGACACGATCGCGCCTTTTCTCCATCTCCACAACCTCCCCCTCCTGCTCCTCCTCCTCGTCCTCCTCCTCCTCCTCCTCCTCCTCCTCCTCCTCGAGTCCTTTCCCTCTCCCCTCCCATTCCTCCTCCTCCTCCTCCTCCCATTCCTCCTCCTCCTCCTCCTCCTCCTCCCCTTCCTCCTCCTCCTCCTCCTCCTCCTCCCATCCTCCTCCCATTCCTCCTCCCCTCTCCTCCTCCTCCTCCTCCTCCTCCTCCTCCTCCTCCTCCTCCTCCCATCCCTCCTCCTCATCCTTCACCTCCTCCGCCACCCCGTCCCAGCCCCCACCGCGCAACTTCACGCCCAGATCCGACCCCGTCCCAGACAGCCCCCCGCCGACACTCTGGCCCTCGGGCGCGTCGTGTTTGGCCGCCTTTCACTCGTACTGCCCGAGCATCGCCTGCGAGTTTCCCGGCGCGCCCCGTCGCTCTGCGGCATCTCCTCGGTGGAAGGGCGCGCCCGGCGTGTCCTCTGACCGTCTCCTCCGTGCTCGCCTCCCTTGGCGAGGGCGGTCGCCATCTCCCTCCCATCCTCCTCCTCCTCCTCCTCCTCCTCCTCCTCCTCCTCTCCTCCTCCTCCTCTTCCTCCTC